TTTTAATTGTATTATCTTCTACTCTAGGATATGACTCTTTTTAAATAATTCCGAATTTCAATTTTAATTTGATCAAAATCGGACGACTATATCATATAGCTGTCATAGGAACGATCGGAAAATGAATGATAAATATTAGAAAATTGAACATTTTTGCGATTTGTTAATTAATATGAATGATCTGCAAGGGTATATAAGCTTCGGCTGGCCGAAGCTAGCTTCCTTTCTTGTTCAATTTGATTGCCATCACGCCACGGGGAGTCGCCAGTTGCATGTTAAATGGGGTGGGGTTTTTTTCCCATGGTTGTGGGGGTTCCGTGAAGCCTGCGCTCAAATAGACCACAACTAACGGTGCCCCAACCCAGTTTTTTTACGAACCCATTTACCATTCTTGACCACTTGAAATTTCATTGCACTTGGTGAGTAAGAGAAAAAGGAATGTCATAGTTCGCGAAGCCGAAGTTTTAATGCCCTTTTATGATATTGTGGATATGATATCGATATGATATGGATATGACATGGATATGATATGGATATGGTATAAATATGATATGGATATGATATGCTGATACGATATGATAGGATAGACGGTAAACAGTTCATTGTAAGAGTGTAAGAACTTTGCAATTGCTTTGTTGTTGGTGTTCAGTTGTTTTCCATTCTTTTGCTAACTTTTTGTTGTGTGCGTAATACGAGGAAAACTCTTGAAAAACCCATGGGCACGTGTGTGTGTGGGAATGAGGTCATATTTTGGAGCTGGCATCGCTATTTCAAGTGTGTTTGTCTCCGGGCTGCTTTTCCGTTTTAGCTTTTCTTTTCGCTTGTCGCTTTACAAGTTCGACAGCGAAACAAATGTAAAGCAAGTCAGGCAATAAAACAGCGAAAACGCGATAGTCAAGAAGGACGCAGAATCCAAACCTCGCGAAAAAACTAAAAAAAAAACAAAAAAAATTAAAAAATTGAGTTCTAAAAATAATTCTACATGGAGAAATTGGGATAAAATGACTAAATCTATGATATCTATAAAAGCAGATTTTGGTAAAAATTAAACATGAAATTGTCGTCCTTTCGTTCTCGCAGTGTAAGAGAGGAGCAGACTTACTTGACTGAGTTTTAGATGGAGCCACGCAAAAACACAACCACAAGAATGTATTAGAAGGAGAAGATGTCAAAGTTGAAATGGCAAACTCAGCAGGTCACTCCCCTTCACCCCTCTTCTTTTGCCACCCCTCCGCCTTTATCCTTAGCCATTTTTTTTGGTTGAAAGGATTTAACGCCTCGTTGAATGGCAAGCAAGTTAATTCACATTTTTTCGCATTACCAATTTTTTATCGAGCTTCCTTCGTCTGCAGTCTGCAGACTGGAGTGGCCTTCAGTGTTTGATTGGGTTTCAGCATTTCGACGGCATTGGAGGAGGCGTGAAGAAGGGGGCGTGAAGTCTACTGGCAGAGTCTGCACTTTTTTCATAGCTCCGGGCTAATATTTCAGCTTTATCTGGCATCCGGCGATCAGCGAAGTTGATTTAAAAGTTCTCTTAGCACTGAAGATACGTATTGAATCAGTTAGTACACTTTTTAAAAATGACCATTTCCTAAATTCGAATACTTTTGCAACATTTTTCTCTTGTTTTTAAGAATTTGCGGTATTTATTTTATTCATAACTCAATTTTTGGCTTTATATAATAAAGTGTATTTAAAATGTGGTAAATTGCTCTTCCTTTTGTTCTGAAGAATTCGCGGTTCTAGTTCTAGTTCTCCTTTTTCTTCGGCTTTTCCAACCCTTCCAAGGAATTTTCAGCTAGCGTGCCCTTTCAATTAAACTTTAGCATTTTTTATGGCGACTGACCAACGTGCTGCAAGGTTAACACTTAATGAATACATAACACTACCCCCATTGCGAATTCGTGGCTAAGACCATTTGGGAAATTGGAAAAGGAGGATCCGGGGCTTGGCAATTTGCACCGCCAGCGATGTGTGGCCTTTGGGGGCGTGGCCGAAGGCTGATGGCCTTCTATGCTCGAGTGCCTCCCCCAAATGGGTTCTGGTATCTCGCCAGTATCTACAGAGAAAGCCGAAGTTGCCTTGCTCTTGGACTTGGACCGTCTTAATTGGTGCGGAAATTATTAATTATCGTGTTCGCCTGGCACCGCAGAAATCGAAAGCTTTGAAACGGCTATTCAATTACAAGCCAGAAACTCCGGCAGATGCGAAACAAAGTGCAATTGTCTGCGGTCTTCGCAATTGCGCACTTTGCACAGCGGTTTTTGGCCACCCTGCGGCTGACCATCTAAATCTGTGTGCTGGCTGCAAATTATGTAATTTACTCAGCTGGCAGTGCATTCAAAGATAATTGGGATGGGTTTCTAAAATATTTTGATTGGGTGATTTTTATTATAAGTCTTTTGAAATATTAAAATAGTTTACTAATAGTTTAAACTAAATAAAAGAAAAATTTAAAAAGCTGAACTTAATTTAGACTAATAAAAAGCAGAATTCTTTCATAAATTTGTGCTAAGCTCATAAATAAAATGCAGAATTTATGAAAGACTTTTAGCAAACTCATTAGAATGTGTAGTAAATTTTGACCATTAAACTAACTTTAAAAACAACTAAAAAAGAGCGGAATGTAATTTTCGTTGCAACTTGTAAATCACTTTTTGTACAATCGCCGACATGAACGGACTTGTTCACATTGCAGTTGGTTTTGTCCGCCTCTCTCCGCTTTCTCCGGGAAAAGTTCTTAATTGCAAAATGCCCAGAGCCTTTCTTCCTGCTCCTCGGCTCCTCGTAATCCCCATGGACGTCTCATTTGGCAACTTGGCTGTAATTTGGGCATAATTATGACAAAGCCAACAGCTGGCGGCGCAACAGCAGCCACGCCCCCTTCTTTTTTTTGGCGGGGGTCTGCACTTTATTTTCGGTTCAGTTCAGTTCTTATGCAATTTACGTTCGGAGGGGCGGACGGAAAAGTTTCCTGGCCATTTAAACTTTAATTACTCACAGACATTGGCTTCAAATGGCTCCGTGCATTGTCAGCGAAAAAAGTTAAGCAACAGGAGAAGTCGGAAAAGTCCTGGCAAACGGGCCGAAGAAACCCCAGAAAGAAGGTATATAGACGGGGATCTGGATCTGCCTTTGCCATTGATAAAATTGCATGCCATTTCCGGTCAGTAAACTTTCAATGTGGAAACTTTTTCCTGCCCTTGTTTGTGTGCGAGTGATGGTCCCAAAGTAAATTTCCAATCGAGCCAAGTTATGCAAGTTATTCTGCAAGCTGCCTAGGGGTTACCTTGTTTTCGGGTGTGCCAAGATGCAGGTGCGTTTCGTAACCATAAATTGTCTAAGGTGCTGTAAAATATATTAAGAAATAAGACAAAATTCTAAAGGAAAATAAACTGTATTTTAGATTTTTGTTTAAAGTGATTTAACGAATGTTTATAAAATAACTGGTTTTACTTGATTATGATCATTTGCCTCTTGCTTAAATAAAGTTAAAAGCCAAGTCTTAAACGTAATTTAAAAAAAATCCTATTCATTCTGGGGAAATAACCTTACTAACCACATTTAATGAGTTTATGACCTTTAATTAATGTATAGTATATTTTTTGGTGGTTAAAATACGGTACATTTTTGATGTAATCATACAAATTGAAAATCTTATAGTTATGATATAATGGTATTTTAAAGCCTTAAATCGCCATATCGCACTGCACTTACTTTAAGCCATTTAACTTATGTGTGCTCCCCGTGCCATACGATACGCAAGTTGAAAATTTCGTTAAGCTGCTGGAAAGAAGGGTTTAAACTTTAAAGTTTTTGAGTTGCATGCCCAACTTGAATAACTCAATTAGTGCGCCATTGTTATAAGTTTGTTTGTGTATAAGTTGTGGCAGTTGTTGCTGCTTGGCTCTTCTCGTAATTGTTGCTGTTGCTGCTGTGCATTGACTTAGAGCGCAATTTTCACGCTTCTTTGACTGGGCCAAGCCCAAAAACGAAAGCGAAAAGCGGGCTGGAAAAGTGAAAAATGGGGAGATGGAGAAGATATTAAAGAAAACCCCGATCGAAGCAAATTAATTGGAGCAAACGCAAGCAAACAGCAAACATTGCGATTGCAGTTGCAGGTGCAATAAAAGTGAAATTGGATATATTGCAGTGCTGCACCCAGAAAAAAAGAAAAAGATAAAAACCAAAATCGCTTCTTCTCATTTTGAGAATAAAGTCTTCTCACTTCTTCTTGAAATCAAAAAGAAAGCATTGTCGACTTTGGGTCTTAACGGATCCAAAACAAGAAAGGTTAGAGAAACAAGTGGATCTAAAAATCTACTTTTTTCCAAGAAGTTTGTTAAACTATTTTTAGGAAGGTCACAAAGGGGTCTTATAAATTAAAAAACGCTTACATTCTTTTTAAATGGTATAATATTTATGTAAAAAAAACATTTTCTAGTGGCAAACAATATTTAGTGCCTGAAATTAGACCCCATTTCCCACACCCCTTTTCCCAAACCCTTCCCTTTGGATTTTGGTTTTCCTCCTGTGCGAGTTTTTCTGTCAACAGCTCAATGTAAATTTGTTTGACTTTGCGCCCAACTGTGCGTGGCTTTTCCGCAGTCGCTCGGCCGCTCCCAGTGGTCGCTAATGTGTCGCTAATTAGCATTAGTTGGCTGCGAAAATGCGTGGGTGCCTTGGGAAATTCAGTCCCCCTTTGTGGCCGCTAAAAAATGAGCCACAATATTTGACTGCATTGCGGATATTTGTCAACCCGTTTCGCAGGATGAGTAATTTTTTTTGGCTGCCACCTGGAAAATTTTTAAATCGATCATGGTCATTTTTCTTACAAAACTGCAACCTTTAGTTGCTTAATAGCTAATAATAACTCAGATACTAGTCTTAAAAGGTTCGAAGTTTCGTTAAGTAGACACCAAGAATGTTAAAAGGTTGTTTCTTCATAATTTAATTTTTAAAATCTATTATTTTTCTTTCAGACTTGAAATAAATTTGCCATGGTAAACGGCGAAGGTGGCGAGGCCATCACAAATCCCGGCAAGCTCACCGGCTACGACTTCTACCGCTCCACCCTGGGATCCCCGCGCTATGTGGTGGCCCCCATGGTGGACCAAAGCGAGCTGGCCTGGCGGATGCTGTGCCGGCGATATGGCGCCGAGCTCTGCTACTCGCCCATGTACCATGCGAATCTCTTCGCCACCGATCCCAAGTACCGCAAGGATGCCCTGCAGACGTGCGCCGCGGACAGGCCGCTGATCATTCAGTTCTGCGGCAACGATGCCCAGCAGATCCTGGACGCAGCCCTGCTGGCCCAGGACCACTGCGATGCGGTGGACATTAATTTGGGCTGTCCACAGGCCATCGCCAAGCGCGGTCACTACGGCTCCTTCCTGCAGGACGAATGGGAACTGCTGACGGAGATTGGTGAGTGATTGCAGCTTCCATTAAGTGGATATAAAATTAAACAATTATTTCCTCATTTCAGTTAGCACATTGCATGCCAAGCTAAGCGTACCGGTGACCTGCAAGATTCGCATCTTCGAGGATCTCGAAAAGACCATCAGATACGCCAAGATGCTGGAGGCGGCCGGCTGTCAGCTGCTCACAGTCCACGGACGGACGAGGGAACAGAAGGGTCCGCTGACCGGGGTGGCCAACTGGAGCTACATCAAGGAAGTGCGACAGCACGTCAAGATTCCCATGCTGGCCAACGGCAACATCCTGGCCCTGGAGGACGTGCATCGTTGTCTGGAGGAAACGGGCGTCGATGGCGTAATGAGCGCCGAGGGCAATCTCCACAATCCGGCCATCTTCCAGGGAATCTCGCCGCCCGTCTGGCAAATGGCCAGTGAGTACTTGGAGCTCGTCCAGCTGCATCCCTGTCCAAGCTCCTACATTCGAGGGCATCTCTTCAAGCTCTTCCATCACATGTAAGACTTGGGGGTTTTTTAGTTTTCAAGTTATCTCTCTTAAAGCTGTTTCTCCCCCTATTTTTAGTATGAACATACGGAACAACTCGGAGCTGCGCCAGTTTCTGGCCACTGCCAATCAGCTAGTGCAATTCCAAACTGTGGTGCAACAGGTGCAGGCCAAGTATGAGCCCTTCCATAAGAAGGAGGTGGTCTACGAACCGGAAGAGTGGGCTGCTGGCTCCGAGGAAGAAGTAAGTTAGATGATCTATATAAGAGCCCTGCATGAATGGATTCAATGAATTATTTTAAATTTTTTGTTTCATATGAATGAATTAATTCGAATTTTGAGTTTAATAGAATTGAATGAATTTGAATTTTGAGTTTAATCGAATGAATTTTATTTACTATGCAGTTACCATTGATTTGTTAAAAATGTTCCACTTTTTGTTCTTAAATGAAAGCATTTGTGCTTTTCTGGCAAATTCAAAAAATTTATAAAAATTATTCGTTCATTCACTCATTTGAAATGAATTAGAAAAACATTTAATTTATTTCACATATAATTGAATTAAGCAAATCAGAAATTTCATGGCATACTAAGATAAAACAAAAATTGAATGATTCAATAAGGGCTCTAATTTATTGTAATCACTCTTCTCTCTCTCCAGAAGCTACCGCTGGATCCCTGGCTGTGCCAGCCCTACATACGCGCCTCGCCCGAGTCCCACCGCCAGAAGATCGCCGAGAAGGTGCGCGAGGCCGAGGATCCCAACAGGGCCAAGCGGCAGTACTTCGACAATGCCGGCAACGAGATCTCTCGCAAGCGGATGAAAAAGCTGCGGCGGCGCCAGCGAAGACCAAACAAGACAGAGGCACATGTTCAGAATCGGCACGAGCGGCGGCTGGAATACTGCTCGGAGTGCTCCAATCCCCAGGGATCCAAGTGCGAGTTCCGGCTGTGCCGCGTCTGCTGCAAGGACAGGTGCTACAACAACGACCGCGACTGTCCCGGCCACGGCATCCTGATCAAGTCGCGCCGGGCCAAGGCCAAGCGGTTCGAGGAGCCCATCGCAGAGGATGATGTGTCCAAAAAAACAGACAACGACCCAACGATAGCTTCTATCGGTGCACAGGATCCGCTTTGACGTTGACTTGACTGGGAGCCTTAGAAGAAACTACTGCTATTGTTTGTGTTCCTACGATCGATAATAAATGTAGATTTTTGTTTTAATCACAAAACGTTTAGATTGGAATTGGAAACCTATGATCATTTAATTTATTTTATGTAAATAAATTTAATTTGTGCTTTTATTTTCTATATGAACCAGCTTTTCTAATTCTAACAGATTGGAATTGAAAACCTATGATCATTTGTGCTTTTTTTTCTATATGAACTATGATTTTTTGTCAAGCTTGGCCTTCTTCTCCAACTTTTCTAATTCTAACAGCTCGATGCGAAGCTTCCCCTCTCGAACTTCCTGGTTCAGCTTTATCCTCTTCTCCTCCATCACCATCTCGTGCATTTCCTTCAATTGCATCGTCTTTGTCCTGACAAACTCCTGTTGCAGCAGGATGAGATTGAGCTTCTGCTGCTCTACGATTCCCCCGGGGGCTTCTTTTCCCCTCTCGGGCATCATTTTCTCAGACCACCCAGAACTGGAGGCTGGGGGTTCTTCTTCTGCCAGAGTGTCCTCCAGGAATGTGCTCGCATCGCCAACCTGAAGGGATAATAAATGGCCTTAGATACGATTTAAAAGAAAATTTAGCTTTAAGATACTTGCATCGTTTGTATCATCTTCGCTGCCTTCGCGAATGAAATCAATAAGTAATTCTGTTTTTATATTACCTGTAATAAAATTGGGTTAAGGAATTAGCGGTTCAAGCGTAATTTATATAAATAAACAAGAGGGAACGTTATAGTCGGATGCCCCGACTATCAGATACCCGTTACTCAGGTAAAGGGAGTGCGAGGGAGATGGAGATAGAGATAGAAAACGTTGATCACGCATAACTTTTTAACGAATGGTCCGATTTGAAAAATTTCTTCTACATTTCGATAGGTATTGATAAACACAATAAAACTGCATTTTTACTTTTCCAAAATATTAAAATTTTTAAAATCGTATATAAGCGATGGTGGGCGTTAGAGGGGGCGTGGCACCATTTTGAAACAAACTTGCGCTGCGTAGGAATTCCTAGAATCTGCATGCAAAATGCCAATCTTCTAGCTTCTATAGTTTCCGAGATCTCAGCGTTCATACGGACAGACGGACAGACAGACAGACGGACAGACGGACAGACGGACATGGCTAGATCGACTCGGCTAGTGATCCTGATCAAGAATATATATACTTTATGGGGTCGGAAACGCTTCCTTCTACCTGTTACATACTTTTGCACGAATACAATATACCCTTTTACTCTACGAGTAACGGGTATAATGATAGCTTATTTTAGTTGCAAATTTTAAATCTTAAAAATGTCATATTGGGATTTCCTAATCACAGTTGGAGTGGCTTAGTTTTTAACAAAAATGGGTTGAGAAATAATACCGACTTCATAATAGATTTCTAACTAATATTTTTTAGTATAGGCAATTTAAAAAACTTAAAAATATTTTTTTAAGATTACTCAACTTTGTACTGTTCTAAGATTTATCTTGCTATTTTCAGGATAGATCATAGCATGATAGCTTATTTTAGATGCAAATCACAGTTGGAGTGTCTTAGTTCTTAACAAAGTTGGGTTGAGAAATAAGAGCGACTTAATAATATATTTCTAACTAATTTAAAAATCTTTTAAATATCTTTTTGAGATTACTTAACATTGTAGTCTTTTAAGATTTATTTTGCTATTTTCAGGATAGATCATAGCATAATAGCATATTGTAGATTCAAATTTTAAATTTTTAAAATTTTATATTGGGATTCCCTTGGAGTGTCGTGGTTCCTCACAAAGTTGGGTTGAGAAATAAGAGCCACTATTTTTTTGAGTTTACTTAACTTTGTAGTCTTTTAAGATTTATTACCTTAATCACAGTAAAATTTAAAATAATGATTTATCCCTTTGTAATTTTTTTTTGGAAATTTCTGCTATTTTCAGGATAGATCTGTTGGTCAATACGTACTGGTGTCTATTTTCATGGGGCTCTCCTCCATTGGCTGTTGTGCCTTTGGGGTTTCGATCATTGGCTTTTCCGCTGTAGTCTTTTCAGCTACTGGCTTTTCCGCCTGCGTTTTTTCCGGTTCCCCATGCAGCATGGAGACTATCAACTCGGTCACGGCTCCTTTTGTGGGCTCCTTAATGTTCCTCTTTCTCAAATCCGCCTTGCACTGGCGCTTCAGGGTGCAGAATTTTTCCCTCAGTACTTTGTAGTGCCGACGACTGCCTGTCCTCAAATATAACCGCTCCTCTATATCCATCCACGTCCTCTGCTTTCGCGACCAAGTCTCTGCATCTGATTTCGGGTCCTGGAGCACCGCCTTCTCCTCCGCCACGAGCTCCAGCAGGACCATCTCCTCCTCCGCCGTGTAGTTCTTCCCCCGGTATTTCCGATGCTTAGTTTCCTCCATCTATGCTGTTATCCTTGTGGCCAACAGGGAAAAGGATTCCATACAATCCAAGTTTCCTTTTTGTTTTTCAAATCAGCTGGTTGGTCAGTGTGACCTTCAAACTGTCTCCTGCGTACTGTGCTAGTCACACTTGAGGTTTTCAAAATATCCTTAGTCCTTAAATAGTTTTCATGGTTTTTTATATCCCAAATATTCAGTTAAGATCAGGATCAAAAAATTATCCAAATTTTTAAGGTCGTGAGTCTTCGATGCAACAGCTGTTCTTCCAAATATCGATAACAAACGCCGCAAAAATCGCCATCTCTACCATTTCCACGCTTTTGGGGCTCCCGCAAAATCAAAACAAACCCCAAAATGGAGCAAACAAAGCCTTTTTATGACTTTAGCGTACCCTTTAACAAGGACGACTCGGTGATGAGAGCCCTGCTCAACGAGCTGGTGGAATGTGAGTAAGGTTTCAAAGGTGTATTTCCCTATATTACAAAAGAAAACTTTACAGGTGGCTACAAAACCATTGCCATTGATCAGAGTTTCGACCACAGCAAAAAGGAGGCCGGCAAACGGGGATCCGAGATGTTTCCCGAACCCCACAAAATCGAGCATCTGCGCAAGGAGTTCCAGGATAAGCTGCGAATCCTGCAGAGAATTACCATACTCTATGTGGACGTCAATGTGGCGCATGCGATGGTAGGCATTTCGGGATTATCCATTATATCTAGATAAAAGATACATTTCACATTCTATAAACCAGAGTGTTTCCCTGAATCTGCGAAAATTCAATCTGATTGCTGGCCAGCCCAAAACAGATGCCGCCTTGACTGTAAGTTTGCTAGAAAAGCAATTAGTTTTTCAAGTCTAAATCAGTCTAATAAATGTACTTGCAGCACTGCTGCACCGCCTTCAATGGAGACCTGATAACCTTTGATCCTGTGGCCGGATCCCGGCTTCTGGTCAATCGGAAGGCCTACCAGGTGGCTGTGCGGCGGGGCATGTTCTTCGAGATCAAATACGCCCCGGCCATAGTCGATTCGAATAACAGGAAGGACATGATTAAAATTGCCCAGAACTATTGCACCAAAGGAAAGTCCAAGAATATCATTTTTAGCAGTGGAGCAGCCCACCAATTTCAATTAAGAGGTCCCTACGACGTGGCCAATCTGTGAGTTATCATCGTTATACATATAATCTACAAGTTAATTTATTGCACTTTTTTAGGGCCTTCATTTTCGGCTTATCGGAGGAGCAGGGCAAAAATGCTGTGGATCGGCACTGTCGACAGCTCTTTCTGAAGGCTGAGTCGCGTCGTCTGGGCAAAACCATCATGTTCGTAAAAGGCAATGGACCCATTGTATTCTCGGATAGCTCGGAGGACGACGAAGAAGATGATGAGATGAACGACCTACAAACGGATACCGGAGTAGATGATGAATCTGAAGTTAAGGATGAGAATAAGCAAGCCAATAAACGACTGAAAGTGGCGTAGCATAAATTAAATGCTTGAATTTTAATTTAAGGTAAATTCAAATTCAATTCTTACGTTGCGATGTTTAACGTAACGCAATAGGTTTGAGTCCTGTCTAAACGTTACAAGTCATGGTTTGGGTCCAGATAATTTTGATTTATCCGATATTTTTATTGCTTTCTTCAGGACGGGTAATTAACATATATAACTGCTATAGTCTAGTTTTTATAAGAAAACCGACAATTTAAGTTCCCAGCCCGTAATTATTTTATCTTATTATAACCACCTTCGTTTGTTTACGTTTTTGCGTTAGTGATGTGCCTCTGCTAGTTATTACGGGCCGCATCGATTGTTGCAGAAACCATCGATATTTTCTGGCTGCACCGATAGTTTCAAATAAACATCGATTTTCGGGCCAGCTCTAGCGTACAACAACAAAACAAAATGGAGGTCTTTGATGTGTGTGTCGCGTTGTCTTGAAATTTGCTGCTAGAATTTTGCGTTAAACGGTAACTAAAAGTGCAAATTAATTGAGAAAAGTTGCGGAAAAACGCTTTCCAGGTTGCCGGCAACCGGAAAAGCAACGAATCCGAGCGGAATTGAGCGTATTTTAAGCGAAAATTGCATTTGAAAAGCGCTCGGAACCAAGACACTTGAAAAGAAAAAAATGTGCAAAGAAGAAGAGAGCGGAGAGGCGAGCAGGAGAGAGCGAAAAGAGCAAGGAAGACAAGCGACGAGACGAAAAGAAAAACGGCAAAGAAATGTATTTCGCGAGACGACGATGAAAAGCTGAAAAGCAGCCAATTTCCAATGTCCAATTTCAATTGTTTTTTCCTCGGCAGTTCCAAGTGCATTTCTCTACGTGCCTGTGTGCGTGAGGCCAGTGTGTGTGTATGCGCGATTAATTAATGGCGAGATTGGCGAAGAACATCGAAAATCAAATGCAAAAGTGTGAGCGGCGACCGTCTAATACAATTAAAAATGGACCTCAACTCTGTGTGTGTGTGTGTGCGATGCTCGTTTGTGTTTTCGCCTTCATCATGAAGTTTGTTTGATTGTAATCATCACGCTGATTATTGCCTGGCTCTTCTGATTTCTTTTCTCCTGCTTCTGCTCGCCATTTTCTTTACCCCCGCTTTTGACTCCCAAAAAGTATATTTTGTGTGTTGTTTCAACTTGGCTCATTTTTTCTTCGCGTATCGCGCGTAGCATACATTTTGTGTATGTATTGGTGCTGCTGCAGTGTTGCCAACATTATTCGGGAGATGCAGCGCCGCACATTTTGCACCTGTGCAGGAGACAATCTGCGTTATCCCCCCGCCCCCTGCTACTCATACCCCACCCCCGCAATTTATCCATCTGCCATAATGGCTACTGCTACAGTTGCTCTGCCGACGTCGCAGTCGACGTTCTCGCTGCTCTCTTCACAGTTTGTTATTATTGCGATGGGAGAAATCGAAGTGCATGTACTAAATTAAATTGCCATGTTTAATTCGAATGATGGCTGAAGATCATTGCAAATATTACTATGAACCTGCTTTAAAGTTGAATTTAAAGGCCAATTAAAAATTTTTTAGCGCTTTTTCTTTTGAAAAATGTTTGCGAAATCCCAAATTAAATTTTTATAGAAAAAAGTTAGAAAGCTTTCTAGGTTAACAATTTTGTATAAATCTAAAAAATCCTTTTTTTGTGGCTGGACCTACCTAACTAGGCTGCACTGTAGCTTGCTCGCCCCATCAATATTTCGATATTGATGGCCTGAAGTAGCACTCACATAGATACAGTGCACATTGCAACGGTATCCCCATTACGGCTCTTCCTCTTGCTCCTCTTTGATTGCTTTTTGCTCTGCTTCGGCCGCTGTGTCAACTCATCTGTCTGCCTCCCTCTGCCCCACTCCACTCGGTTCGCACTCACTCGCACGCACACACTCGCAGTCGCCAGTGCTTGGACACACGTTTTTCTAGCCGGGCCACTCCGTCTCCCCTCCCACTCCCACTCCCTCCTTTCTCCTTCTCCCTCTCCTGCTCTCGCACACACAGCGCTACGACGCGCAATTGATGAGAGAGCGTAAAATTCATGCGCTTGTCGCCGCTCTCGACGCGTCGCGTCGTCTGTTGTGCGTCTCTTCTTCTTCCACTCGGCGGCTGTAACAATTTTTTCTTTTTTTCCACTCCATCTGCGGCCTTTTTCCTTTTTCACTTGTGCAATTACCAAGACGCACAGATTTTCCCCTGACTTCCAGCAATATCTATCGATTTCTTTGTTTCTTTTCGGCTGTAAAAAAACTTCGTTTAATTGTAATTACCGTGCCTTAGTGTGAGTGAGTGAGCGAGAGAGAGGTGCGGGCCGCGAGAAGAAGAAGCAACAGCCTCGCAATTGCAATTGCAATCGTTGCGCTTTTGTAGTTTTCGCCATTGCTTCTTCTTCTTGCAGCGGCAATTGTGCTACAATTATTATTTCGCATGTGTATCTACACTTGAATTAGCATTGTTGTTGTGTTGTGGTTCGTTCTTGGTGCCCTTTCATTCGTCGTCATCTGTCATTCCGCTGCGCTTAACTATCGATAACTTGCGTCCGAAATGATTGCGTGACCAGAAACCAAACCGAAAAACATAAAAACAAAAGAAACGGGGGGAAAATGCTAGAGAGAGCGAGAAACGTGAACTTAAACCGTACAAATGAACTGTAAATTGTGAGAACCTGCGATAATAAACAAGATAAAGTCAAATGGATTAGCAGCACAAAAAATGAAAAACGGTGAGTAATACTATTTGCAAGTCGCTTTTAATTATAAGTACTCTGCGCCGGGCGGAATCGTGAAATTGCGGGCGATTTACAACAATGGCCAGGCAGAAAATGCTTTTTAGAAATAATTATGTATCTTTAACCGAAAACAGATACACACGTACACTCAGCGAGACACGCAGACACAGACACACAACCGAATTGAGCGAAAAAGTCGCAAACACACAAACACAAACGCCAACGAAATAATTTCAATCAACTCTTTTCGGTGAAGAAGAAGAAAAAGCAGCGAAAAAACGTCACACGCCTGTTTTCTCCCTCTTCGCCGCGCCGCGCCACTCCTGCCATCTCCTGCCCTCCCCCACTCGTTAATATGCGAATAAAGCTAAAGTAAAGTAAAGTTGAGGCGAGTGGGCAGTTCCGCTCATTGCTTACAGTTGTTCTTGCTTTCGTTGGGGCTGCGGCGAAAAAATTTAAGTAATAAAAAGAAAGAAAAAATAACTTACGTGACGTGCAAATGAGAAGAACAACAACAGGGGGCAGAAAACTGAGTGGAGCTACAGTGAAGCTTCTTTATTGTGAAACCTGATTTTTTTTTAATTCGTTCCAAGTATAAAATTATTTTACAAACAGAATATTTACGATAGAATTCGTTTAGAAGAGGTTTCCCTGAAACTATAATAGTTAAAAGATTAAAGTTGTTTCCGTGTAAGCCATGACTTGCTATCGAGGTTCCACTGTGTCCAATCAAAAAGAGCGACTAGCGCAAGAAGAAGAGTTGATGACGGGCGAGAGAACCGAACGATGGATGGAAAATCGGGCAGCGACAGCGACAGAGACCATATAATATCATCCATCCCAAAAAACCGAATCAAAACCGACCAAACAACACCAGGCAGCCAGCAACAACAACAGCAAGGCAAACATATGAACGACGACGACCCCAACTCACAAACACACCCAGGCCAGGAGACCCACACAAATGAAGATACAGATACACATGTACAAACAAAAGGCACCACGATATGCGAATGCGAATAAAATAGCAGCAACAACTATGCGGCGAATTTGCACGAATCATGCGAATCTCCAACTCACAAACACACACACATGCATAATACGTGTTTTGTACTTGTCGCCGTAATGTTGTCGCCGTCGCCGCCACTCGCCGCCTTTTCTTTTCTTCGCTTTGCTTTGTTTCGCGGATTTTCTCTTACCTCGCAATCTCTCACTTCTGATGACCACCCAACAACAACTGCAAAACTCAACTTCTTTGCCCGTCTCAAATATTCCATATCTCAGATACTTTTTTCTTCAAAGTTTTCAAAATGTTAAAAGTGCTTTAAACGACATTATTATGTTATTAAAGGGTTGTAATTCATTACTCATATGATTTAAAGGTAGCTTTATTAGAACATTCCGACATTTACTAAAACTTTCTAGAACGTATTTATTTACATCTCAACTTTTCCATTGACTGCAAAGTTGCAATCTTTTTTATTTTCATCTGATATTTTTTTTAGCCTTTATTAATTTATTTTCTGTCGTCTTCCCTGCTTCTCCTCGGGTATTCGCACTTTTTGTTTTGACTGGCTCATCGCCGCCTCCGCTGCCCACTCTCTTTCTATACGAAACAGTCGCTCTGTCGCTTTGTCCCTCAGTCGCTTTTCCTTCCGTCCGTCTTGCATGCTTTCCGCAGTCGGCTGCGACGCTGGCAGCGCTGCCGCCAAAGGCCGGCACACGCCCCCTCTTCACCGCCCACCCCCTCCCCTTCGGTGGCGCAGCACGTGATATACTCGGTTTGCTTTTGGTTTGCTCTTTAGCGCACGCTATGCTTTGCTTTCGTCTTTTTTGTTGTTTTTTTTTTCACTTTGTATGGGCAACATTTTTGCTCGTTTCACTTGTTGGGCTGTTTTTTTTTCCTCTCGTTTGGCTGTGTCGTGTGTTTTCGCCGCTCGCTCGTTTTCAGCCGGCACGCCGCTCTTGGGAGAGGAGAGCCGCTCTCTTTGGGGTCTCTCTCCCTCTCCCTCTCTGAGTTTTATTGTTGCCGGATTGACAATGGGCACCTCTATATCCATTCGATCTGGTTTAGGTCCAGGTGCAAATTTTATACAACAGTTTAACTCGATAATCGGGTCAGGACTTGTGTCCTGCATCTGTGTGTGTTCTCGACTTCCTTCGGACGCCTTGTTTTCGTACAATTTTGGTAATTCTAGCGGGAAACATGGCGTCAGTTTTGTCGCAGGCATAAAACTAGGATATTCCTGTTCCCCGTTTTCCGGCCTCTGACACTTTGGCAATACTATTCGCAACGTCATTGTGCCTCGTTGCACACGTCACCTCATCCACCGATTAGGCTTAATAGATATCGCAAGAGTCTGTTCTCACGGAACTAGATTTTGATCAGGTAGGTGGTGTAGTTTATTTAATTAAATACAATTATATGAATTATATAAAAGGCTGTTTTCTAAATAAACGATAGGCGTGCTAAAAACTTGGACAAACACACATGTCGAGATACAAGAAACAATCTAATTTTTGTATCTTTTTGTTTGAACTGGGAAATATTTATTCGGCATTCATGCCGGTTTAAGATTATTGTTTCAAGAGCTCTAAGAGATTATTTGCTTTATACTTTTGTCCATTTTATATTCATTAAGAAGCTTATCACCAAAATATTATTATGACGCGCGTGAGGGAAGTTGTGCAATATTTTTGTAGATTTTTTTTAGAAACATCTTTTAATTCTACATATTAGTATTGGACTGGATGCTTTTTAATCGAAACGCAGATAAAAAATATTTAATTTTTCAACAATTTCAATTGCAATAAGCAATTTTTTATGTGCATTAAGAGTAACCTAATAATTAACCACTTTTAAATGTGTAACAATTTCCATCTTTAAAGTCAATTTCCATATTTCACTGTTTGGTTATCGGGAATGTTGTTTGCTTGTGTGCGTTTTGTGCAGTGTTGATGGCAGCTAGAGGAATTCCCGGTCGTCGATGTGGCCACTATCGCACTCCACTCATCTCTAATGCCAATTGGGCCTGCCATAAATGTACCGTTACACATTCAAAAGGCTGCGACGTGTTTGTAATTTTTGCCCAGCGAACTTTGGTGGGTTGTTGCTGTTGCTGTTGTGTGTCTCTCAGGCGTTTGGAGAGTGAGTTTCGGCTGATGGCTCTCAGCAGAGCTCTTTGGCTTTTCCGAAAACTGTGTGTGGCTTTCTGCTCTTGTGCTTCTTCTTCCTTTGCTACAGCTGCCGCTGTTACTTTACCTATTTTATTACCATTTTTATGTACGTACATCCCGGGTGTGTGTGTTTGTGAGTGCGCGTTTTGCTGCTGCGCCCATCTGTCTCTGCTCTGCTTATGCTTCTGCCACCGCCACCTTCTTCTACTCCTCCCCCTCCCCCTCCTTTCTGCCCCAGCCGCTCTTTGCCTCTTTTTGGACCGCGCTGAGTGACGGACTTGGCTGCCGGTGTGTGTTGAATGTGGCTTTTCTTACACAAACCAACTGTACTTTTTAGTTACTGTTAGCGCGGACCCAGCCACTTGACTTGATTGTTATTAAAGCCAGATTCATTCGTACGAATATGTATATGCATCATCCCATCACGACGTGTATATGCGGAGTTCTCAGAGTGTTTCCATTATGTGACGACACTTTGCAAACACCTCTGTGATTAGCACTGCAAAAAATAAAATCATTTTAAATTATTGGTATAATTACCTAGAATGTTCCTGGGTTCTATCGGAAGAGGGACCGCCGAAATCTTTTTGGAACATAAACTCCCATTTCACATTTCCAAAACTTATATTAAAACAACTTTATTGCCATACTTAACAAGCTGGATGATTCATATAAAAATGTGTATTTTCGCGATAAGAGACCAACCATTTCAGAAATTTAATTCTTGGAAACTAAAATAATAATATTATAATAATATAGTATAGTATAGCCTTTACTTTAATTTTTTGCCAAGTGAAGTCCAACAAAATACTATTAGCTTTTACTATATTATCTTTTTTTAAACATAGTATAAGTAAGCTATTTTCACTCTCAGAAAGTATATAAATATGACTATTAAAATGTTTCTTATCGGCTACAGCTTAAAATGGCTTTCGCAAATATTTTTTTTCTGTGCTCGCTGACCCCAGCCGCACTGCCCCCTTTTAGCCATTGTGGGTCAGATATTCGTTACATTTGAAGAGTTTGAGATAAAAGAGCTCACAAAGTTGGCCCTAAATGCGAAGCAAGAGCACAAAACGACTGTCAAAAATTGTGAGCTAACTAAAAACATTTGCCCAAGACGGAAGGTGAATGAACCCTTTTCTCGTTTGTGTTGTGTTTGATTATTGTTGTTGCTCTTGCAAAATGTTTAATCGTAAGCTTGGAGAGTTATTCATTCAGGTTTATTGTATCCCATTGGTATAGCTATGTGAAAAATATTAGTAGAGAGCCTAATAGATGTAATAAAGCTAATTTAAAGATTAATTACGAATATGTAGGTTTGTTAAATTAAGATAAAATTAATTTTAAAAAAGGTTTATTTTTTCTTCAAAAATGCTCTGTTATCAACAGTTTTTTTAGTTTCTTTCTTTGTCATACTTAGAGCACAGAATACTATCCGCATTTTTCATATTTTTAAATTATAGAAACGTTGTTTACACATTTTTACAAGGAAAGCTATCGACGGGTAGCACTTTTTTAACGGTGAGAAAACTGTGACTTGAGTGAACTCTTTTGAGAGCGATTTTCATGGCTCATAAAACGATGGAGCATGGGAACGGAGAAGAAGCAGAAAAGCTAAAGCTAATCCATTCTGCCATTGCCATTCTGATGGTGGTGGTGCTTTGCTGTTCTTCTGTGGGTTTGTTGCTTTTTTCGGATTGTTCGAATTGTTGGTGGTGTCGTCGTCGTCGGGTCACAAAAATGTGGCTCGCGTCTTTGTCGTTGGACACACTGAAATTTGCTTGTCTATTATCACCTTTAATCGATTTTTCGCTTATTTAAAACAAACGTACAGTTGTGCGCAGAGCACAAAGCGACATAGACATAGACGTAGACATGGACATAAAAACACAGAAAGCGACGGAGAGAGGCAATAAGTAAAGTATAATTTCACAATTTTTCAGATGTCTGCTTTGCTTACCCAAACACACAACCGAACAAAAATAAAAACAAAAACACCAAGCCACTACTACAGACATATGCATATTACTATTGCTTTTAGTTTATTGTTTTTGCAATTACTCTGCCTGATTTGTTTGTGTAATAGCCACGCCAAAAAATGAGAAGAAGCGGGCAAGAAGTAAAAACTAAAGCGAAAGAAGGAAAAAATGCGACATACACACACTCACAGTCGCACTCACCTAACCGCCGCTCACTGATACTGATAGATATCCATCCGCCAGATATACAAAAGCAAAGTCTCGCCGCTCACCATTACCATTCGCATTCCCATTTACCAGTATGTGTACATACCGCTCGCCTAATAATAATGGCAAGAGCTGAAACTAAATAAATAAATAGCTGAAATTGCAAAAGCGAAATGTAATTGATTACGGCAAAGTCAAAGCAACCGGGGGACAACAACAACAAATGTGCACTGTGGAAAAATGTAGAGCCCATTTTACCCATTTAAAAATTTTTAAAGGTTATTAAGTTACAATGACTATTTATTCAGTATTTATTAACTTATTCTCTTCATTATAATCAATTAAATACTTTAATTTAATTTACTTCAACTTTATAGTGTTTGGATACATTTTTGCAAGATAGACAGATAGATAGATCAGATACTTTACTAAAAATTTGTTGAGTTTTGTTCAATAATCTTTAATTTATAAAAAATATAACTAGATTTTTTATTTGAAAACTCCATATTGCTTTTTCTCGGTGTAGAGGCTACGACGACGACTGGCTAAATGATTGTCCAATGAGCGCGAACAACTCACGGCAAACCCACAAAGGGGGTGGTGGAGGAGGTGGTTGGGGCGTGGGTAGGTGGGTGGCCGAAGGGGTGGAGCGGTGCTAAGCTCGCCGCTTAGCCCATGTCAGCCACTCCACATAAGTTTCGCTGATGATGTGCCATATAGTGTAAGTGTGTGCGCGAGTGGGTGAGTGTGTGAGTGGTTGACTGACTGCGCTATAGATCGACCCCTTACCCCCTCCCACTTTCCCCCACCCCACCTTTTGGCACACGTATTTATAACAGTACACTGAGCACCGAATTTCGGCTGTCTGTCTGGTGACTGTGTGTGTGTGTAAAGTGCATATCTCTATGTACTCTCTGTAGTTTTGTCTCTATATCTCTCCACTTTCCATTTGCACACACATAAAACAGACACCACACCTTGCCACCCCACTTTTCCCCCGTCCCATTTGCATATCTTTGGGCTCTCGCAGCTTCCAACAACAATAACAAGCGACCAACCAGTCAGTCAACCCACCCGCATTTTTTTTCTTCGCTCTCTGCGGATTTTCCACTGCTACTTTAGATTTTCGGCTATAAGCAGCCGCAGAGACAATGCGAAAAATCGATAGAGTTGCCATTGTTTTTCTCTCTGTTGCCGCAGAAGATTTTAACCCAAGATTCACACCTACACACTACCCACTTTCCCTCAAAACAAACCAAAACCAAAGAAACCTCAGTTTTATCTAACCCCCTTTGCAGCAGAAGTGAAACATTAATTTAGTTTGCACTTTTATTGCCTTTCAACCTTTTTTTTTCCCCCCGAGTTTTAACCAAATGTTACTTTTACAATCTGACAATATTGCTTAACATTTTGGGGGGTGAAACTGTACGTTATATGTGCCATTCTATGAAATTCATAAGCGTATAGCTTTTCCCCTTAAAAGTTAATGCAAAAGCAACAGAAAGTGTGATTAATTGTAAGAATAATTCAAATATATTTGTAGATTATGTATTTTAAAATTTTATTTTGGCTAATTACCACTTTTTTTTTCTCTTTACAGGTCCCCTGTTAAACAAATCTCAAATGCAAACTCTCGCTTAAAATACGCTCAAACCGAAAAATAATGCACTACTCTCCGCCCATAAATTACCGTTTTACGTGAAACCTTTTATACGAATTTGATCGATAGCTCGATACTAACCCATTACCAACTCGAAATCTCTCCGAAATATTTCTTACAGCTGTGAGCGAATGTGTTTCACTGCGAATATGTCAAAGGTCGGCCATGAAGTGCGCGAAACACGAGACACAAATGACTTTTTCCATATAAAAGCAACAACAAGACGTTAAATTGCACACCAGTTGTAATTAAGTTTAGTAGTTAGAACCCGCAACAACCAACCAATATATAATCGTAATCGATAAGGCGAAGGTGGAAAGAGAGACCAGAGACACCAGATCCCCGGGGAAAGGATATCAGCAGCACCCCTGAGAAGTGGAACTTCTCCGCAACCGTCTGGTTCTCAGTTCTCGGTCCTCCGTGACCTTTTAGGCTTTCGACATTTTGACAACGGCCACGCGCAGAAAGCAGCATCAAAATTAAGCCAATAGACGACCAAACCTAAAACGCAGCGGCGTCGCGTCCTTCGACGCGTAACGGACATTTCTGTGTGCGCTGCGTTTAAAAAATCTGATGGATGGAAATGCACAAAATATGTTTCACGGAAATCATCAAGGGTGAGTTTTTGTGTTTAGGATTGTCACCCCAAGTGTCGGAAAATGAGCCATCAAGGGTGAAGAATGTCTCTTGTTGTGGGGAGTGGAAAACAAAGATTTGTTTCTCAATTTCAACTAATTAAAATGTATTTTAAATAATCATTTAATGGGGTAGTTTTGTAATATCTACTTCTGTAGTCAAACTAAAGGGAGATGGATATATAACATTTTGATTGCTCATAACTTTTTAATGAATGGTCCGATTTCAAAAATGTCTTCTACATTTGGATAGGTATACATATACACAATACAATTGCATTTATACTTCTCGGAAATCTTTAAAGGTTTGGGCGCCAGACAATACTCTTCAAAAATTCCTTATTATATCCTAATCATCCGCTTTTTTTGACCCCACAGAGATCCCTATTACCGTTACGATGCGGCAGCCGCCGCAGCAGCCGCCGCCGCGGCCAATCCTCGGGCAATGGGACCGCCCGGCGGCTATCCGCCGCGCCACCGCCCCCCGCATCCGCTCCAGCAACAGCCCCAATACCCATCGTACCAGCCAACGGCGGAGAATCTCTACGGGCTGGGGGCCGCCGATCACCAGGCGGCCATGGGCGTGGGCCTCGGCGTTGGAGTAGGCGCCGGAATGGGTGATCTGAGCGGCTGGGGAGCGGCGCCCTCGGTGCCGGGCCAGGCGGCAGCGTATCCCGGAGCGGGACTGGGGGCCTACGGTCATCCGCAGGCAGCTCCGCCAGCGCAGCAGCAGCGCCAGAGCAACGCCAGCGCCTACCGCCAACACATGCCCGCCTACGGACAGCAGGAGCAGCAGAAACTGGCGACCTACGGCGCGCAGCAGAGCATGATGGCGGGCTACGGATCGCTGGCGCCCCAGCAGCAGCAACAGCAGCAACCGCCCACGCCGCAGCAGCAGCAGGTGGTGCAGCAACAGGCACAGCAGGTGCAACAGCAGGCGCAGCAGGTGCAACAGCAGCAGCAGCAGCAGAGTCAGCAGCAGGCTCGACTGCCGCAGCACTATCCACAGGCTCCCGGCCAGCATCCGTTGTATCCCGGGGTGGGAGCACCCACTGTCCAGGCGGGACAACCTCCCACGCCCCAAGCCTACGCCCACAGTCCGTACGGCAGTCCCATGCAGCACCAGCCGAGCAGAGGAGCGCCCCAGCACGTGGGCTACGGGCACACGGGACTGGATCAGGCCTCGGCCTACGGGCAACACGTGCCGGGAGCAGCGCCACCGGGCCACCACTTGACCGCGCAGCAGCAGCAGGCTGCGCAGCAACTGGGCGCCCACCAGCAGCAGCAGCTCCAGTCGCAGCAGCAACAGCAGGCGCAGCAGCAGCAGCAGCCGCACGTCTCGCTGATGCAGCAGCAACAGTTGCCGGGCGCAGGTCTGCCGCCGCCACACATGGGAATGCCGCCTAGCTATGGGAGCCACCACCAGCAGCAGCAACAACAGCAGCAGCAGCAGCAACAGGCCCAGCAGCAACAGCAGCAGGCAGCACCGCCTTACATGTCCAGCAGCAAGCATCAACAGGCGGCCGCCCAGCTGAACTCTTCGCCCCAGTACCGCGCTCCGTTCCCTCAGCTCTCGCCACAAATGTCGCCACGTCCGCCGACCATGTCGCCGCATCCACAGATGTCCCCGCGACCAGTGGGCGTGTCACCGGCGAAGCCACCGCCTCCCCAACAGCAGCAGCAGCAGGCGCAGGCCCAGCAGCCCCAACAGGTGGTGAACAATCAGCCCAGCCAGCACAGCATACAGGGCATGGTGGGTCTCCCCTCGCCGCGTCCCCAGCCGCCGACCAGCGGAGCGGGGGGAGCGGGAGCCAAGGTTCCGGCGCCAGTTGCGGCGCCCGTGAACACTCTACAGGCCCTCGAACAAATGGTGATGCCGTCGCAGGCCCTCGGACTGCCGCCCATGGATTACCCGTCGGCCTACAGAAGTTCCGTCGGTCCCAGGATGCCGGCATCGCCGCAGCAACAGCAGCAGCAACACCATCAGCAGTGGGGCGCTGCCCATGGAGCACAGCACTTGGCGGCCCTGCAGCAGCAGCAGGCCCAACAGGTGCAGGTGCAACAGCAGGCGCAACAGCAAGTGCAGCAGGCACCGCCGCAGCAGCAGCAGGCGGCCATGTTGCAGCAGCAACATCACCAGCAACAACTGAGCATGTACGGCCAGACGATGGGGCAGCAGCAGCCCCAAACTCCGCAGCAACAGGTTGTGCCACCAGTCGCGGCACAGCAACCGCCAGTAGTCCCAGCCAGTTCCCAGCAGCAGCAGCAGCAACAACAGCAGCAGCAGCAGCAGCAGCAACACCAGCAGCAGTCACTCAACGATCAGTTGCAGCACTCGATCAACGATATCGTTGGGGGCGGTAACAGCAGTGGGGCAGGAGCAGGAAGCACCCAGAGCCAACAGCAGCCCCAACTGGCGGCCATGTCCTCACCGTTGCATCAGCAAAGTCTGCCCAGCATGCACCATTTAATACAGCCAACCATGGAGACGCCACAGCCGACGCAGCAGCAGCAACAGCAGCAAACGCCACAGCAGCAGCAGCAACCGCAGCAGCAGTCGCCGCACCACCAGCAAATGCAACATCAGTCGCCTATACACCAGCAGCAGCAGCAACAGTCGCCGCACCACCAGCAACATCTACCCAGCTACAATCAGTCGCAGCAGCAGCAATTCGATCCTTTTGCCAACATCCTAGGAGACAATCAGCCACCTGCGCCCCAACAGACAATGTCGCCTGCTCATGTCAGTTCGCCGATACCGGCGCAAATGCAGCAGCAGCAGCAGCAACATCAGCAACAGCCAGCCCAGCAAGTACCGCAGACCCAACAGCAGCAACAACAGGTGCAACAGCCGCAGCAGCAAACGCAGCAGCCTTCGACACCCTCGCATCACCTGAGCAGCATTCTCAACGAAACGGCCAACTCGAATGATTCCTCCACTTTGGCAGTGGCTGCCAATGACAGCAACAACAGCAGCAGCAACAGCAGCACCAACAGCATCGTCAACAACCAGCCGACGTCGGTGCACGACAGCAACTCGCAGAGCAGCATCAACAGCAGCAGCAACAACCAGCAACAGTTGCTCATGGACAACACGAATTCGCACGGAGGCAATTCGGAGTCTGCCCAGCATGTTGGCGTGGATGTTGGTCTCTTCGACAACAACTCCATGTCGTCCACATCCGCAGCAGTGGCTGCCGTGGCCTCGAATGCAGCTTCTGCAGCAGCAGCACTGCTGGACAGCAATTCGCAGTCGTCGAATGCCGAGTTTGAGAAGAACCAGAGCGAGGGCGAGGGAATCGGTGTCCCTGCCAATGAAACCGAGTTGCCGCAAGACGAGAGCAGTGTTTCCAAAACCCAGGACGTAAGCCTAAGCACTGAATTGCCGGCAGTCCAGGAGGATGTGCAAGATAAACCCGCCGAGGAGATGGAACAAACTCAGCTGAGTCAATCTCTAGGCGATTTGTTGGAGGAACCCAAGATCGTAGAGGAACTGGGAGAGGATAAATCTCAATCTGCCACTGGAGGAGTGCCGCCTGTGGATCCTACAACCCTAGTGGGACAACCGCCGCAGCAACAGGTGCCTCCCATGGGAATGCCCCTGCATCCAATGGCCCCCGGATACGATGGTCAGGCTCAGGGTCATCCAATGATGCCTCCGTATGGTGGAGCACCCGGCATGTATCCACCGTATCCGATGCTGCATCAGCAGGAGATTGCCGCACTGCAGCAGCAGATCCAGGAAATGTACTGCCTGCCTCCGGGACACGAGCTCCAGCACCAGGACAAGTTGATGCGAATGCAGGAGCGATTGAATCTCCTCACCCAACACGAGGTAAACGATCAGTGTGCCGGCGGACCGCAGTGCCTGCTCTTCCAGAACGTGCCGCCAATGTACGGACCCCCGGGAAATCCTCTGCTGAACCAGCAAATGGTGGAGAGCCCCCAGGTGTCCAGCACCACGGGAAGGGGACGGGGAAAGGGAGCCAACAAGCCAAGGAAACCGCGCGCCAAGAAGGGCGAAAAGGGTCAGGCTGGTCAGCAGCAGGATCTGATGGATATCAGCGGCAATGTGGTGACTGCTGGAGCAGCCAGCGGTGTTCCGAGTATCCCAACGACACAGCTGCCCGTCTCCGAGGACTGCGTGACTCAGGGAGCGGGCGATACCAGCGTGGTGGGCATGCTGGAGTACAGCGAAGGCATGGGCGATCTCTCGCAGGATGTGCACTCGGCCAACGAACTGGACACCTCCACCGATGGCAGCGGCAAGAAGAAGAAGCCACGCAAACCCAGGACGCCCAAGGATCCGAATAAAACCCCGCGCGACAGGACTCCGAAGGCCAAGAAGCCCAAGGATCCCAGCGATCCCAACTCCACTGAGACACCGGCAGCGGGTAAGAAACGAGCCAGTGTCGCGAAGCGCAGGAAACAGTACGGCGAGGAGGGAGCCGAGCAGACGGGAGAGGGCAGCGAAGTGGAGGACAACAAGCCGTTGGTGCCCAAAGCGGGATCAGCCGACGGGGAAGCGGAGACCACTTCGGGAGGAACTGGCGTGGACGGAGAGTCTCCGGACTACGATGACATACCCGTTTCGAAGATTCCACGGGGCGCCAATGAAGAGGACAAGGACGCCGAGGCCGGCGATGAAACGGTTGACTCTGTTCCAGATTCGGCTGGAGATCCAGCCTCCACTCCGAGCAGAAGAGATCGCAAACGATCCACTGCCAGGAGTCGCCGCAATGCAAATTCCGAGGAGGGAGGCAGTGCGCGCAAGAACCGAGGATCCCTCTCCGCCAAGGCACTCAAAAAGCGCAGGAATAGGGGACGCATTGTGCCCGAATCCGATGGCGAAGACGACACATTGGACAGAACTCCGCCGCCATCACCTCCGCCGGACTCTGAACTGGATTCCAACAAGCGAAGATCCTCGAGGAATACGCAGAGAAAGAAGTACATCGACGATGTAATGCTGAGGTTCTCCGATGACGAAAACTCCTTGTTGGTGGCGTCTCCTGTGAAGAAGGATAAGAAATCCTCTGCCAATGCGGGTAATTCCAATGCAGGCAGTGATGTGGAGAAGGCGGAACCGCAATCCGGTGCCGAAGGAGAGGCTGGCCAGGAGGCGGGTGGCGAGGAGAAGTCGAACCTGCCAGTGGATGAAAACAGCCAACTGGAAGCCAGTTCGAGTACTTCAGCAGCGGCGGCAGAAAAGGCGGAAAAGGAGCGCCAAATCTCCAGCGATGCCGCAAACGCAGCCATGTCCTCTAAGCCCAATTACGTGTACATAAACACTGGCGATGAGGACAGCATGGTTGTGCAATTGGTCCTGGCCATGCGGATGGGAAAACGTGAACTCATCCCTGAAAAGCCCAAGGAAAAAGCTACTGAACCAGCTACTGAAAAGAAGGAAGAGAAATCGGAATCTGAAGAAGCTTCAGCGGAAAAGGTTGATGGCGAGGAGAAACCCAAAATTGAGGGTGCAGATGGTGAATCCAAGGAAGAATCAGCCGATCCAGAGGGTGAGAAGTCCGAAACCTCCAAAATGGAAGTGGAGGGCAAGGAGGAGGAGGATACTAAGAAATCTGACGAGGACAACAAGGATGAGGACAAAATGGACGTTGATGATGAAGCTGAAAAGTCAGATAAATCAGATAAAAGTAAACCAGAGGAGGAGGAGCAATCAGAAACAGTAAAGACTGAGGAGAAGGCCGAAACCACTGAGGAAGACAAATCTTCTGGCGTAGAAACGGCGGATGAAGCCAAGGAAACGGAGAAAATGGATGTAGACGAGAAGGAAGAAGCCAAGTCGCCTAAACCCAAAGAAGAATCTGATGAAAAGTCAACTGACGAAGCCAAACCCGAAGAGGCTACTGCAGAAAAAGATAAGGAAACTTCAGAGAAGAAAGACGAAAAGGAGCCAGGCAAAGAGGCAGAAGAGGAACAACCAGAAAAGAAGGAAACTGGTGACGAAAGCGAAGCTGACAAGGAAAACAAACCCGAGCCCGTCTTTATCGATGTGGAGGAGTACTTTGTCAAGTATCGCAACTTCAGCTACCTCCATTGCGAGTGGAGAACCGAGGAAGAGCTCCTAAAGGGAGATCGTCGGGTGGCTGCCAAGATTCGCCGCTTCCAGCAGAAGCAATCGCAGCAATTGAATATTTTCGAGAACATCGAGGACGACCACTTCAATCAGGACTTTACCGAAGTGGACCGAGTGCTGGACATGTCCGTTCACACGGATGAAACCAGTGGTGAGACCACCAAGCACTACCTGGTCAAGTGGAAGTCCCTGCCCTACGAGGACTGCACTTGGGAGCTGGAGGAGGATGTGGATAACGACAAGATCGAGCAGTATCTGCGCTTCAATAAAGTTCCTCTAAGGTGCGAATGGAAAGCCAAGAAACGTCCGCATCCGGAATTGTGGAAGAAACTGGAGAAGACTCCCATCTACAAGGGAGGAAACAGCCTGAGACCTTATCAACTGGAGGGTCTCAATTGGTTGAAGTTCTCCTGGTACAACACGCACAACTGCATCCTGGCCGATGAGATGGGTTTGGGAAAAACCATCCAGAGCCTGACCTTTGTGCACTCTGTCTATGAGTACGGAATCCGAGGGCCCTTCTTGGTCATTGCTCCGCTCTCAACGATTCCCAATTGGCAGCGAGAATTCGAGGGCTGGACGGATATGAACGTGGTGGTTTATCACGGTTCCGTGACCAGCAAACAAATGATCCAAGACTATGAGTACTACTATAAGACAGACAGTGGCAAGGTGTTGAAGGAGCCCATCAAGTTCAACGTTTTGATCACCACTTTTGAGATGATTGTCACGGATTACATGGACTTGAAGGCCTTCAACTGGCGTCTTTGTGTAATTGATGAGGCTCATCGTCTCAAGAATAGGAATTGCAAGCTCCTCGAGGGTCTGCGTCAGCTTAACTTGGAACACAGGGTCCTGCTGTCCGGAACTCCCCTGCAAAACAACATCAGCGAGCTGTTTTCGCTGCTCAATTTCCTGGAACCCTCGCAGTTCTCCTCGCAAGAGGAGTTCATGTCCGAGTTCGGAAGTCTTCGCACCGAGGAAGAGGTGAATAAGCTGCAAGCCCTGCTTAAGCCAATGATGCTGCGTCGTCTAAAGGACGATGTGGAGAAGAGCTTGGCGCCCAAGGAGGAAACCATTATCGAGGTGGAGCTCACCAACATACAAAAGAAGTACTATCGCGGTATACTGGAACAGAACTTTAGTTTCCTGAAGAAGGGAACCACATCGGCTAATATTCCCAACCTGATGAACACCATGATGGAGTTGAGAAAGTGCTGCATTCACCCGTATCTGCTGAACGGAGCAGAGGAACAAATCCAGTATGATTTCAAGTCCCAGCACGGCGAGGATCCCGAGTCATATTACAAGAATCTGATTCTTTCCGCCGGTAAAATGGTTTTGATTGATAAGTTGCTACCCAAACTGAAAGCCAATGGACATCGAGTGCTGATATTCAGTCAGATGGTGCGATGTCTGGATATCCTAGAGGACTATCTGGTGTACAGAAAGTATCCCTTTGAGCGAATTGATGGACGCATTCGAGGCAATCTCCGTCAGGAGGCCATCGATCGTTATTCCAAGCCAGGATCCGACCGATTTGTATTCCTGCTCTGCACCAAAGCAGGAGGGTTGGGCATTAACTTAACAGCTGCCGATACGGTCATTATCTACGATTCGGATTGGAATCCACAGAACGATTTGCAGGCCCAGGCCCGATGCCATCGTATTGGCCAAAGGAAGATGGTGAAGATCTACCGATTGCTCTGCAGGAATACCTACGAGCGCGAAATGTTCGACAAGGCTTCGATGAAACTTGGACTAGACAAGGCTGTCCTGCAGTCGATGAACACCCAGGGCTCCAAGGATGGCAATAACAAGCAGCTGTCCAAGAAGGAGATCGAAGATCTTCTAAAGAAGGGCGCCTATGGCGCTGTCATGGATGACGACAATGCTGGCGACAAGTTCTGCGAGGAGGACATCGATTCGATCCTCAAGCGCCGCACTCAAGTCATCACCATGGAGTCAGAGAAGGGCTCCACCTTCTCGAAGGCTTCGTTCGCTGCCTCTGGCAACCGATCGGATATCACCATAGATGACCCCGATTTCTGGACAAAGTGGGCCAAGAAGGTTGACATTGATCCCGATGCTTGTGAACGAGATGAAACGGAGGATTTGGTCTTGTCCGAGCCCAGGAGACGCACTCAAATCAAACGCTATGGCCACGAGGATGTGATGGAGATCAATTCCGAGGAATCTTCTAATGAGAACAGCGATGAGGAGGGAGGAATAGGTGAGTGTGAACCACTGGTAATTTTTATGAATGCTTATGAATCATTTATACCATCCAGGACTCCGTTCCCGTCGCCGCAAGGAGAAACGCGATCGTAATCGTGAAAAGAAGGGCCACGATGAGTACATTCCACGCGAGCGGGATGCCCTGGCCGCTTTGGGATTGGAGGAGATTCAATATGGCAACTGGGCCAAGTCCGAGTGCTTCAAGGTGGAGAAGGGACTGCTTTCCTTTGGGTAAGTATTCGATAGGTTACCCCACATAGTGTGACTAGACTATAATATGCTTTATTTTTGGCATGTAACCAGCAACCAATGCTAAAATTTAATTCTCTTCGAGTCGATTTCGCCGGCGAATGGCATTGTTGAGCTTCATATTGAGGATGTATATCTTGCGGTTAAGCATCTTCTCCTCTTTCTCGAGCACGTGGGCCTCCTCCTTCCGCTCTATGTACTCGCTGACACTCGGGGCCTCGTAGTCCTGAAGCTGGGCCCTCAACTCATCCAGAGTCACGTAGTCTTTGGTGTTATGTTGTTGAACGGCGGCCACCTCCTTTTCCAGCTTCTGAATGGCTCGCGTGATTTCCTCCGTTTTGTTTAGCACGGTTCGCATCTCCGTCTCCAAGTTCATCATGGCCTGCTTCTCCTCTGTCATGGCCAAGGACGTCTTGCCGGTGACTCCTTTGAGTCCCGCCATGTGGATATTTTTCTCCTCCAACTGATTGACCAGCTCGGTTCTCTTTATAATCAGCTTCTCAAAATCCACTGCCGTCAAGATACCACTAAGATCAGATTTTGTTATCAAATCCGCACGGTGCTGCTGGCATGTTTCTTGCAGAGATACTATGGTTAGTTTCATAGTGCCCAGTAGAGCGCGTGCGTTCTTAAACCAATTTGTGGTAAACTTGCGAAGCTTGCGTTCAATCTGCCTCTCGGTGGCGGACTCCAAAAAGGCCACATCGTTCTCATCCCGCAGAAAGTGAAGCATAAAGTTGTTCTCCGTCTCAATGGTCTCCTCACTTCGGAAGCGCAGCTCCTCTATCTTGGCCCTAAGCTGTTTCACCTCGGTCATGGCTGCAAAATAGTTTGGAAATGAGTTTCAACTGGAAACAGGCCAACAGGCCATCCAACTCACCATTCCTTTCGATATCTGCGACCCGCTTTTCCACCTCAGCTGCTCTTTTCTCCGCCATTTCAGCCTTGGCCTTGAAATTCAGCTTGTATTCCACTCCGCGTCGCTTTTCCGGAGCGCCGCCCATGCCACTTACGGAGACCAGCTGGTTCACGGACATTGGAATGGAGCGCTTGGAGCTCGAGTGCCGGCTACTCACGCCATGACTTCCCTGCGCAGATCCCCTTTTCGTTTGCAACTTTCTGAGAATCGAAGTGCGCCGCTGCCTTAGTCCCAACAGAAGCTTTGGATCGTTCTTCTCGAGAAACTCGACCATGATATGGTTCTCCAACCTGAGAGTGGCCACATCATTATGCACTTGCTCGATGGTTCGCAGCATATCCAGGGCATCCAAACTGGCCAATCGCAACTGACGCTCCTCCTCAGTGAAGTTGCGAAAGTCCTCCAGATAATACTTGTAAATGATGGCCACGACATCCAAGTCCTGCGGCGCCACATATTCGAATATGTGCAGTTTGCTTGCATGTGATTTCACCGATCGCCTGCTCTGCGTATCGGTTTTCATGCTATGTTCCGACATTATGCTCGTCATGATTGCAGAAATCTAAAGGAATAAGGTTTAATAATGCAACAGAAAAAGTATTTGGTTGGTTTTTGGCTTTGTTGAATTTTTAAGAATATTTCCTTGCTTGTGTGAAAAAATGTTTGACCAGTTTTGTTATGATAATTGGAAAATGAATGATGACTAGGGTGGTCGGAATTGTTGCTAACAAATCTATTTGTCTTTCCTTTGCAGTTGGGGCCGTTGGTCGGAACTTTTGGAGCTGGGACAATTCAAACGAGGTTGGCGCGATATAGACGTCGAGGACTGTGCTCGCATCATCGTAAGTAAAACAACCAACTTTCAGATTAAAGATTATTCAAATTACATTAATGATGACCAACCATGCTAATATTGAGGAAACTTTAGGTTTTCGCTGAGTAAAAACTAACTTCTCAACCTGCTGAAATACAAAAATAACATAAGTGATATCCAATATTATTTAAAGCTTGCATTAACACAAATGTTTTCTATACTCCCCGCAGCTTCTTTACTGCCTGCAGGTCTACAAGGGCGACGAGAAGATCAAAACGTTCATCTGGGACCTAATTACGCCGACGGAGGATGGAGAGGTGCAGAAGATCAGCAGGGATCATAGTGGCCTACACAACTTGGTGCCACGAGGTAGGAATGCCAAAGGTATGGTAAAAGATACATTCACGCACACTCCAACTGCTGCACGGACGTAGAGAGTTATCAAAAAATAAAGCCAACAAATTATATAAGAGAAGCGAGCTGACAACACCAACCAAGTTTTTGTACAAAATTCTTTCACGCTCTGTCTATGGGACTGTGGACTTCCTACCTATAATTCTAAATGTGGTTTTCGACTTTTCCGTATCCGTTAATGTCAGACATGTATTGGCCTCCGATCTTTCCGTGTTACCACTGCTCTACCTTTGCTTCCTTCTTAATAACTCACCTCAAATCAAATCTCTCGACAAAGACGTTGAACCGGACCTGGACAGAAACTTATATTGACCTATGAACTCGACACGACGAAGAAAAGTGTGTGTATGTTTTGTTGCCATGCAATTGTATGCCTTTTACTATATCAACTATTTTATTTTGATGTACATAATAAATAACCTAGTACTTATAAAATAGCTTATATTCGCAAATATATTGTAAGTTATCGGTGAAGCTTTTAATACTAATTCATTTGTTTTGCTTGTATTGTGATATAACATTTAAGTGATTTTTAATAACTGTATTAAAAAGTCAATTTATATAACTTTCTATTAAATGATAACTAAATTATCGAATATATAAAAAATACAAGCTTATCGACCCTTTAAGTTTTGTAATTAACATGTAAAAATTATAAAATGTATATATTAAGAAACCAAAAATATTTGAAAAGATCAGCTATTCCGAATTTAATATTAATATTAATTTGCATTTTACATTTGCAATACAACGATGAGTTGTCTTTCGGATCAAAGTTTAATCCGAGGGATGCTCAGAGGAAAGAAAACATACTAATATTTTAAAAACGCTTTTGGCTTGCAGGTCGAAACGGTGGCAAGTCCAACAAGGAAACCACTCCTGCCCCCGGCACCGCGTCCGGTAGTAATAGTGGCAACACGACTCCCGCCCACAAATCCAGTGCCCTGGATGGATCCGACAAGGATGGCGGTGGAATCAGTGCCAGTGCTGTGGCCGCGGCGGTCACCAGTATCCACGATCCGAATCACTGGAGCAAGAAGGAGAAGTACGACGCGGATGCGTACTTGGAGGGGGCCTACAAAAAGCATTTGGGCAGACACGCCAATAAGTGAGTCGTGTGGAATCGAACTCGTTATAAGCTATTCCCAAAATTGGAGACCGACTTTTACTAATACGAAATTTCTTCGCTCTCTTTTCTTTATCATTTGCATTTTGTTTACCTTGCTTAAATATTCACAGGGTTCTGCTGCGCGTGAGGATGCTCTATTATATACAACACGAGGTCATTGGCGAGTTCGTTCAGCAGATTAAGGACAATACGCCCATCAGGTAGGCGCGGCACTCTGAGTCGCCTGCTAAAGACTTGGCATTCATTAATCATTTTGTTTGTTTGTTGTTGTTGTTGATTGATTGATTGACTGACTGATTGCCAAAGAGTGATGATTATTTTTTATTTAATTTTACATTTTATTATAGATATTTTAATACTTTAATTACTAATGCCAATTTGTGATCCGTTTTTTTAAAGAATTGTAAACTGTTTTTAATAGAACTGTGGGTCGGCCGATTAATCAGCTGGCCCATTAAAGTTCAGGTGGAATGCAACCGTCTTTTATCCGCTCTCTATCTTTTTACCGTAACTCTCTATGTACGTTCGATCGCTTGTCCATTATGTTAACACTTGTACATCTTCACACGACACTGCTCATTTCTAACCACAACTTTCATACTCTATATTTTGCCAACTAATCCTCGGCATATCAACTCTACTTCTATCGCTGTGTTTTGTGTTTTCGATTCGTTTAACCAACCTTTAAAAATACTTGATTGACTTCATTGCGAATATCTATACGTATATTATATAACCACCAAAAACTGCAGCAGTACGAAAGCCAAGCAGCAGCTGGCACTAAATCTGAATCTGAATCTGGAAAGGTAATATCCCCATGAGTTCCCCAACCTCCGATATATATCGATCGCCATCGCTCGTCGCCCTCGCTCGCACGCACGCTAATACTCTCGCATTTAAGAAGAAAGCAGGCGAATAGGGAAACCCACGCTACTCAATATCCTTATATTCTTCACACGTGCAATCGTCCTCATGATACAAGAAAAAAATCAACCGAAATTATACATGCAATTCCATAATTTTATTTTTTTTTTTTGAACGAATTCCAAATTCCAAAAAAGACGATGAAGAAGCTCATCAAACCTTTTCAATTTTGCTTTGTATGAATTTCTGCATTTTGTAGTGGTAAATCTGTAGTGCAAATTGGCAATTAACAATGTTACGATTTTCATTTAATTACCCCTTATGATTTCTCATTTTTCTTTTGGTGTTTTTACGTTATTTTTATTTTACCTCATACCGAAAAATTGTTGAACCAACCGAAATTGAATTTTTACTAAACCAACGCATTTCTTTTTTCGCGCATTTCTCAAATCCCCCAATCCACCAAACACATTTGAATGTTATCGAATGTACTCATCGACCGATACGATCATATGTAGCGAGCTCCCCATTCGCCCGCCGCCAACGCCAGATCAAGTGCCATCCTCATGGTGGAATCCCATTTGTTGTGATAAGAGTCTGTTGGTCGGAACCTACAAGCATGGCTGTGAAATGTATCGTCAAATGCGCGCCGATCCCAATCTGTGCTTTGTCACCCATGTGGGCGCCGGTGCGGCCGGTGACGATTTGGCTGTCACGAATTTGCCGATGTAAGTCTTAGAAACGAATAAAACCAAATCAAAATTAATCCGGTGTGTTTCGAGGAGTCTTTAGATAATTTAAGGTGTTGCTATAACTAATCGTTTTTGTCTATAAAGTAAAGATCTTATTCTGAAAACACTATAGTTTGTTATTTTTAAAATTATAAAAATATGAATTCGTATTTAAATTATAGTGCTGGAAGTAATTAAAGGGACATTTAAATTAATCATTTTTTTCTAAACATTTTAGTCCCTTAATAATTGATAAATTTATTTAGAGTTCTTTCCTTGAAACACACCGGGCAGAAAAACACAAATCAAAGTAGTTAGGATCCATACATGAATGCCATTAAGTAATTCACATACGTCACACACAAGTACTAAAATGAGGAGAATATCCAAAGCTCAGACACTTGGAATCAGATGAAGAAAAGGAAACAAACAGGAAGTGCTTAAACTCATTTCCATTCCCATCCTCCACGCACACACGCACTCATCCCAAAATCATGGCATTTAAATATGCTTCAAATAATTTAATATTTCAGCTATTAGTGCCTTGACATTTAATATTTTGAAGATTAATAAAAATTGGAAGGCTCTTAAATTTACAAAAGTACATTTCTTTCCCCGAATTTAAAGTTAAATAATAATATATTAATGAATAATAGTTGGATCCTTCATGAGCTTACATGTCTCCCATTAACACGCACATTGAAAGCATTGATCCATTGACATTGCGCCGAATGTGTGTGTGCGTGTGTGTTGTGAATTTTCTCTCTCAGTGTATTACGAACGTTTAACTGCGTTGGGCATGACCTTCACCCCAAATGCGATCTGGGCGTTGGAGCAAGTGGTTACTAACTTTCTAAACTTTTCTCTGGCACCCTAGAAACGAAGACGACGCAAATTCGAAGCACGACGATGGCGATGAGGTGGACGACGATGGCACCACCACGACCAAAGACTCCGACTCCACCAAACTCACCGGGGGCGACAACAAGGACTCGCTTCTCGACCCGGAGCGCCCCAGTTCGTCGGGTAAGACCAGCAGCGAAAATGGCAGCGCCGGCAGCGAGAAAACGGAATGCGAAAAAGAGGCCACGACCACCGTTTCCGAAACCGAATCCTCATCCAAATCCGACGTCTTGCCGGGCAAGGGCAGCGATGTCGATGTGGCGGTCGCCCAGCAGGATGCACCATCAGCAACTCCAGAATCGGCAGACACATCAGATACTAAAATCAGTAAAAAGAGCCCGCCGCCAGTCTCAGTCTCGGCTTCCCGCGATCCGGCCGACTCCAGTTCCCCGGAGGCGGCAGGAGAAGTCCAGGAGACCGGGGCCAAGGCTGGCGGCGATGCCGGCGAATCGGACATCGAATCGGAGAAAAAAGAAAAAGAAACCGAAAAGGAAAGCGAGGAGCCCACTGCTGCTGCTGCTCCTGCTGGGGAAACCAAAGGCGACGCCGCTGCCATTGCCCGAGCCGAAGGCGATAAAACGGAATCATGCACTAACAATGCTACCACAAACATCTCCACCACCACCACCACCACTACTACTACTACCATTACCAATACCACCACCAATAATCCATCATCCAAAGCGGCTAACTCTAACAACACGACCGACAATGCTAACTCCAACTCACATTTAGGCTTGGACGAGGAGGAGAGCGTCGCCGGCAGCTATCCGCCCACCGTGGCAGCAGTCGAGGATGCCACAACCATGTGGCCGTCGATGCAGGACCTCAACACGCGTCTGCGGCGAGTGATCACCGCCTACCAGAGGAACTACAAGAAGGAGGAACTGAAGTTGCAGCAGAAGGCCAAGGTGAGTCCACTGTTTTTGTATCACTAACCCACAAGCCCATCATCTGTTTCTCTCTCAGTCCAACTTCACTTCATTGCCATTCTTTTACAAATAAAAAAGATCAATCTATAACCAATAAAGATCAAAAGTTTTAATGTTATTTAAATAATTATATAGATCTTGATTGAAAAGATATATTTATTCAACAAAAGATATCAAAAATTAATTACCCTTCAAGGGTTTTTATTATCAGGATAAAAGAAAAGAATAGTTTTAAAGTCAGCCGCTTATTAAAATAACTATTTTATATATTTTCAACCCCATTTCTGTTGACTAACCCAATGATATTTGATTTGTTTTTAATTTTCCTGTTCTGTGTTCTATGATTATGTTGTAGTGTCCAGTGTTCAAAGTACGTAGTTTTGTTGCTTAGCTGTTGGCCGTAGTTAGTTGCGAACCGTGCACCGTAGTTAGCGTACAGAACGGACAGCGGACAACGACAGCGGACAGAGAAACGGATCCGAAATGTAATCGAGTTCGATCACCATCGAAAATGTAATATACCACAAACTCGAGCAGCCAACAGCTGATTAACAAAACTATGTAAAGCGCTGACAGAGGATTGCACTTAATTTCTTTACCATCAAGATCATCTCAGTAAACTCATCTCCAGTCATTCCCCCTGAATCCGTGATCTTGTTGCTGTACTTGCAATATTACCAACTCCTCCAACTTTGTCACGTTTGTCCCACAGCTCCAGGCATTGGTCTCCTCGACGCCCCCGCTCTCGGTGCCCACCACACCCACCCTACAGTCCATGCAAATGCAGCTGCAGAGCGGCTCCGGCGGCAGTGGCTCCGGAGTGGGATCCTCTGGTCAGCACGATGCCAGTGGCCGGAGTCTCCAGGCGTTGATGCAATCGCAGGGGGCCAGCACATCCGCAGCAGCGGCGGCGGCCGCAGCAGGTGCCGGAGGATCCGGTGGTGGATCCGGCCAGGTGGGCACGGGCGGAGCGGGCGTAATGCCAGCCATGCCCACCGCCGCCGACATCAGCCTAATGCTCAGCATCCTCAACACCACGGATGTCAGCCAGCTGGCCAACTTGGACATCAACAAACTGGCCATGTACCTGGTCAGCATGAACAATGTACGCTAGTGATGAGTACCTCCTCTCTATATAAACCCTTTTTATATTATAACCATTTACACTACCAGTCCGAAGAACAATCAACCCCTCTCGCCCTTTTAATCAACCCCCACTCAGACCAAACCCCTGTGGCTTGAAATCAATCCTCAACTACCACTCATTGGCCAAGCCAAAACAAAAAGCCACCCTTTGAGGCGCTAATAGACCGTGAACAGTCTAATAAACTCCCTAAAACACTGACATAAAAACCACGCCACTACACAAAATACTGCTAACCCTACTTGCATATCTTACTAACCTGCATGATTTGTCAACTTACCGAAGTATGAAAACTAATAAGCATTTTGCCTAACTCATTACTAATTATCCTGCGTTGAAACTTGAGATAACAACTAATGTTTTTTTGTAAAAAGTGCATTCAAGAACATTACAAATTACCAATATAGCTAATCAGTGCAAATTAGTCGATAATGTGATTTCCCATACCAAATAGCTTTTGGCGTTTTCTCCAAAATTTCAATACACCCCCGTTATTTGCCATTTATCGACAAATCTATTTTGCCAGGGGGTCGTGTGAAGAGCCAAAAAATAGCTCGGGAAATCTGACTAAATAAAAAGCGAAGTCAACACCCACCCGATAAGGTGGGGGACTTGGGGTTTAGGAGGTGAAAAGTCTGCTAACTCGCTGTGTATCCTCCCTGTATCGGTGTGTGCGTGGTCTTACCGAATGAACAAACAAAGCGAGCGACGAGAAATCGAAAACGAGGCAGCGAAATAGTAGAGAAACGACAGCAAATACACTTATGCTTAATTTATGCAAAATAAAAGAAATACATACACTCGAATTTGAACCCGAAATGCGGTGCACACGATGCTCAGATGGTCCTCTCATCGGATCTGCTGTCCTCTTTCCTCATCTCATCTCGCGAATGGGAATGCGAATGAGCGGCCAAAACGGAGGAAATGTCAAACCACTTTGCACACCCAGCGGCAGCAGCAAAAACAAAAACAGCAACACACCAAACTCCACCTCAAATCCTCTGTCTAGTACGAAACCGTTGCTTTCGTTTCCTTGCGTCTGCTTCGCCTTTTTGCTGCTGCCTCTTGAGGTGGCAACAACAACAGCAGCAGCTATGCGGCAACACAGTGGAACCCGCAACGTGTTGGCCAAAAGGCTTGGGTCAAATTATGAGCCAAAGCGAAAGGCCGGAGTCAATTGTACAACCTGACGCTTCGATTTGCGGCATTCCCACTGTAGTGGCAGACGTTAGAGATGCGCCAAATAAGAGCTAAGTCAGGGATTGAAAGGATTAAAAGGATTTCATTATTAGTAATATAGGATTTGATCTTAGAGAATTGGTCAAGTTGTTAATCGCCGTTCTGTTATGTTTTCATGTTATTTGTTCTTAATTGTCCTTAACGCATTATATCTATTAAATTGCCTGATCGACATTAACAAATTTATGAGTTATACTAAAAAAAAAATAGAATTGGTCCTCAGAGTTAGTCAGGAACCATTAATCTGAAATAGATCATCAGTAGATCATTTTCTTAGAGAATTGGTCAAGTTGTTAATATTTGTTCCTTATTGTACTTTACGTATTATATCTATTAAATTGGCTGATCGACGTTAACAAATTTATGAGCTATAGTGAATTGGACCTTTGAGTTAGTCAGGAACCAGTAAATTGAAATAGATATTCAATAATTTTAGTAAGAAAGCAAGGTTACTTTAGACTGTTTTAATAGGATTTTAGTAAACGGATTTTTTAACACGAGTCAGAGGTGGCAAAACATGAAAATCCCACGTTGGGCGCCAAAAAATAGAAAAATTGTCTTCGACTTAAAGCTGTTGTATTATAATCGTTTAATAAGCTAAACTTAGAATACGATTAAGGCGTTAGTAGGCTTAAAGTGAAAATTCCACGTTGGGCGCCAAAAAAAGAAAATTTTCTTCGACTTTAAGTTGTTGTATTATAATTGTTTAATAATATAAACTTTGAATACGATTAAGCTGAATTAGTGGTTTTTCCTTCACAAGGAATTGAGAAAGGGCGCTAGAAGGCTAAAAGTCAGGATCCCACGTTGGGCGCCAATTTTAAAAACTATGTTTAAAAACTGAGTTTTTGAAATTGGTTGTCTATCAAATGACATACTTAATTGGAGTATAGGTAGGACAAAGAAACTAGCCAGATTCGGGAAACTCCTTTTGTGTCCAAGTGGTCATCGCTAAATGGGCGACGCCGCCATTATCAAAAGGCAGAGACGCAGCGGTAAAGGCAGCGCGCCATCAATCAAACCTACAACAACAACAGGAGCAAGACAGAACAAAGAAGGGAGAGGGGGGGTGGGTCTGAGCGGTGGAAGGAGGTGGAGGCAACAAGAAGACCGAAGCCAATTGGTTGTTGCTGCTGTTACCGATGTTGTTGTATTGACGAAGAGAAGTTCTTCTTTGGTGACGATGATTGTTGCGGCTGCCGCGACGTAAGCAGTGGCGTTGGTGGACGACTTGGTTTTATTGCTCTTGTACTTGTTGTTGCTGTTTGGGCATTCGATATCATCGGGTGGTTTTGGTTTTGCTGCCTAGCTACGTTGGCTGTACTTGCGCTGCTGCCACCGCTGTATGTATTAGTTTTCCATGCGAGAGTGCCTCGTTCTGTGCCTCTGTCTCTGTCTCTCGCTGTCGCTCTGTCCTGCTCCCTCGCTGTCTGCGATGTGTGTTTGTAATTTTACATTTTCTGGATTTATCCAATGTTTAATTTTTTCCTTTTTCGTGTGCGCCCACCCAAATGTCTGAGGGGGGTGGCTGATGCTACTGCTGCTGCTGCTTCTTCTTGTGCCCCTGCTCTCACGAACTGAATTATTGAGCGCAATATGTGACTTGGAAGTGGATAAAAGGAGATGGGGATAATGGTGACCTGTTCCTGTTTCGCTTTCCTGTCCTCTTCTTTCGCATAGCGCGAGTTTTCGATAAAGCCGCCTAATTGTGCTCATTTGAGCTCCCATTCCACTGCCCCCCTCCTCTTTCCCTTTTTTTTCACGTTATGCTGCTGCCGCCGCTGCAGCTTAAAAGCATTTTTCGCTTTGTTTTGCTGATTCCTTTTTGCATTTGCAACGTGTATTTGGAACACCGAGCATAGAGAAGTTGCTTTGGCTTTCCTCTTGTGCGTGTGAGCGTGTGATTGCACCGGTGTGGGTTTGCCATTCTTTTTTGTTTCCATCTTCGGTCGGTCCCACCTTCGACTTGCTTGGATGCTTTTGCTTTTGTTGCTGACCGCTGTCGTTGCTCTTTTTTAGACTGGCCATTGCTGTTGCTGCCATTCGATTTATTATTTTATTAGCATTTGGCTGCCGCTTTTACAGTGGGTCAAATCGGGATAATTTTAAGATTTGAAAAGGAAATATGTCGTAATGGTTGTCATTGATTTTTTGATTTTCATTGATTGTTTTTTTTTTTGCTATTTAAAATTCGAAAAATGAACGAGTTTGGCCATTTTGAACAGACTACAAAGCCAAGGTCCCACGTTGGGCGCCAATTTTTAAAAATGTCTTTTTCGAATTAAAACTGTATGGTTGATTGTCTTAAGTTTATACCACTGTGCGCGTGCGCCTCACGTGTTGCTGCCGCATCTCATTGCTGCTCCTTAACGGTCCCTCTCTCTCCTTCTCCAAGTGCATTTAGGAGATGCAGCTGCTGCGTCGGCGCATTTTTCACTTCACACCTGTCAGTCATAAAACATTTGGAAAAGTCGCTGCCTAACCAATATGCCGAATGGTCAGTACATCAATATGGAACCGAGACTTTCGAGTTTTAATCTCATTGAGAGCCGACTTTGTCTACCTGCCATTGCGCCTCGTCTTCTCTTTCTTCTTTCTTCTGCCTGATTTAGTTTAGTCAAATTTAGGATAGAGAAGATTGAGCTGCCGCCCTCCATGCTCTCCATTCTCTGCCGATCTTGCAGGCTAGTTGGTGTTGTGATGTGCTGGTGTGAGTGAGTGCATTGCATTGCCGAAGATGTGTCGCCATCGCGTATCGATTGTGCGATTATATCCGCCCTGCTCACTCATGCATGTACGTATGTATTTCGGTGTGTGCGATATCCACTCACGGGTTCGCTCACTCATGCGGTATCTGCATCTGTATCTTGCGGATTGATTAATAATCTCGTTTCGTTTTTGCTCTGGCTACGTGCTTATCGCACTTTGGCCCTGTTTCCATCTTTCGCTCTGGCTTTCTGACTGCCTCTTGCTCTCTTTCCCTGTCTTTCCCTCTGTGTGCGAGTGTGTTGGTGTCGTATGTAGATAGCCCAAAGGTCGAATTAATTAAACAATTGCAAAATGCCAATAATCAAAGTCAAATGGTGACTGGACAATATACGACTGAATCTTCTGGCCCACGCAAAGTTTAATTTATGGTATACTCTTTCAACTTTTACTAAGTGACTAAGATACTTCAAATAACTTCGTTGAAAGATCGTTTGCATACGAATATACATTAGTAGAAAAGATTAGATATCTACTTTTGGATTTCCATCTAAGTTTTATAGAAAACTTAAATAGTTTTATTGTTACATAGTTTTTACCGGCAGAGTATCGAGTATTTCTTAATTTTTTTACCCCTTTTGTACCTGCTTTTCGGACTTAATCCATTTTCATGGCTTTACTTCTCCATCTTCTCTTTCTGCTGCCGCTGCTCCTGCTGTTATTATTTTATTTTATCCCTTTTTCCGCTGTGTCCTGCGTCCGTCATTACCCCCCCTCCTCCTGGTCCTGCTCCTTCTCCATCTCCTCCGCGCTCTTTCGCTCTTTTATGCCGTTCTCTATGTGTCGTCAACAGTTTTTGTGGTACATTTGTTTCATTGCCTTGGCTTTTTTGCCTCCGATTCCGCCGTGTGTTGTGTGCCCCGGCTCCTTGTCCTCTTCCTCTTGCCGCTCCTTTGGGCCTGGGCGCGAGTGTGAGTGTGTGGCAGGCTGCTGGTGCTCTGCTTCTTTGCTTACATTACCCAGTTGACACAATGTGCCTGCTGCGACGGCCGCTTCTTCTTCAACTCGTCCATCCAGTGCACACTCGCTCACTTCTGCTCTCTCCTGAGTCGGACTCTCCCGCTCCTGGCAAGCCGAAGTCAGGCTCTCTTTCGGCTCTCCCCCGTTGCAAGTGACGCTCATTCACCTCAGAGTCGGCATTCGGCTTCAGTTTTTAGCCCATCTCATTCATATTCACATTCACCCAAAACGGCGTTTGGCTTAATCTCACGATTGTTTGGTTTCCCCTTCCCACTCTCCCGCGCTCCCCCGCTCCTTCCTCTCTTTTGAGTCTCTCTTGCTGGCTGATTCGCATTCGATTTTAGCCGCTGTCGCCGTTGTTTGCCTGCGTGTGTGTGTGTGTTTGGGTGAGGAGTGTGTCTTGTATTTTAGTCCGCAATGCGCTCCGCTCATTATTTGTTTGAGCGCCGCGGTGTAAAGTTGTAAAAAGTCCAAGTGCTCGTGGAAACTCGAAGCGAGACGCGATACGCGAGACGGGGAAAACGAAACGCGATAAATCGCGAGAATACGGGAGTGCGCCAGAGGGAGAGGGAGTGATAATCAAACGGAATGGAATAATGTAATTGCCGAGGCAACGACAACAACAACAACTACGTGCAAATAGTTGTCATTGGGGCGCAATGAATGATAATTAGTGCTTAATTGAAATCAATAATCATGACGAAACCATAAGGCTCGAGATTTCGCCAATATATATTTTCGATATTCTTGATTACCAGTGAGACTGTGATATTAGTGTGTGTCCGAAAATGGAGGTTATTAAACCCATGGACTTCAGCAGCTTTTCGGCGTTCTGCGAGCATCTCAACAAATCTTCACAAATTGCAGCAACAACTGCAACGACGTTGCCACCAACAACATTAAACAATGGAAATGGCATTTATTTGGAGGTAAATGCAGAAAGATACACCGAATGCGATGGAAATTTCTATATGGACATACATCTCTTAATTAAAATGAGAATGCAAAAGTGCAGAGAGAATATGCAAAGAATGTGTGTGCAGGCAACAAATCAAGAAAAAGTAAACGAGACTCAAGAGTGCGAGAGGGAGAGGCATAGAGGGACCAGTGGGGCCCGTTTGGCTCCCTCTCGCTCTCAATTCGCTGTGCAGCGAGCGAAAATACAAAACAATAAATTTATGCCTATAGATTTCACATGAACGAAGAACGAAAATCGTCGTCGTTCCGACTTTACACGGTCATGGAAGGGGGTGTTGGTAGCAGAGTATCATGTGTAACTGCCAAGCCAAAAGCAAATGAAGAAGAGTAAAAAGAAGTCTTCGCAGTCACCTGAGGTTGAAATAATAGCAGGGTCAAAGAAGGACCGTAAGAGATATTCAGGAGTAAATTTGGTACCCATTAAGGCGTTATAATATGGAAATATATATCAGATAATATCTACATTACGATAGTTGATATGAATAAAAATAACTAAATTTAAATTATTAACTAGTCTAAAAGCTCGAGAACATTAACCAATAAGCACCATGGGCTATTATTATGGTTGATAGATTTGAATAAAAAGCATAATTGTATTCTCTTCAGTTCGTTTAGTGTAATGAATGAAAACTAGGCATCTTTATATAGTTGGAGGAATATGAATTGATTTCTTTCAATAATCGAAAACATTAAAAAAAACTTCAACACTAATTTAATACAACATTTCCTAAAACACGCAAGGCTTTGCTTATTTTTTTGACCATCACTGTACTCGTGTTTTATCTATTGGTTGGCTGTTCGAAGCGGTGCTCATTTAAATTCGTTTTTCCGCGGTGCTTACTGCTCTGCTCCCCTTTCTCGCTCTCTCGTTCAACCTCCCGCCTCTTAACTACCCACCGTCTCCAAGTCCAAGACGAAGTCACAGTGGCAGCCCTCGCTATATAGTTGTAGCCATAGCCATCGCCATCGGTTCTACTAATAATCATAATCAATCGCTCGAGTCGCCTCGCACTTGTATCGTGTAAATGCGAGAGAGAATATGCATTATGCTACGGGGGAAATGAGTGCGAGCGAGAGGCGGATGGATAGTACCCAAGGAAGAAGAGGCCTCGAGTCGCTGCTGTCGCTTTATCTTCTTTTGTCGTTTGTTTTTGTTTGTCCCCCTTTTCGGATTTCGTTATGCCATCGTGTTCGTCGGCTGCTTCTGGAGGTTTGGTGGGGGGCTGGTGTGGGAGCACTAGTAAAAAAAGCCGTTAGCTGTATAAACAGAAACAGGGAGGCAGAAGGAGACACGGCAGACAGAGTTGCCAACCTGCGCGCCACTTGGCATCCTTTTTTATCCTCCTTTTTGGATCCGGTCCAAAAGGATTTGGAGCCCTAAACACACAGACACTTAAAAAATATACCGCACATGTACAACCACTGTGCAATCTCTTGAAGGATTGCATTGAGTTTGCGGTTTGGTGCTGCATTTATTTGTCAACTTGGCAACACTTGTCGTGGTTCCCCCATATTCGTATATCATATACACGAAGGGAACACGTACTTGTAGTGTTAAGGGGTTATTGTTTATTCGCTAATTTGGGTTGAAGCTATCAAAACTACCAACGCATATCGTGTTCCTTTTTCCGACTTTTCACCTCAATTTTTAAATAAAGGGAAAACCTATCTGTATTGTATTAGATAGGAAATACAGGATAATTAACCCCCTAAATTAATACATATTTTAAATCAATAATAATCTATTGCAAATAGTGAGTCCTTCCAAGTTTTCGAATTTTAAGACGTCAAACTGCATGATATTGGGTATTCCAATTGCTGTATTCATACTGTCCACTGGGTCGTCTTACGAAATTCTCGGGCACCAAACAATTTTGTGTATTTGGGCTGCCTTTGGCTTTGTTTCTTGCCTTTTCGTTGAGTCTAACTTTACGGCAGTGTGTGGCCCCCTATTATTATTATCATAACATCCAAACCGACGTACGAAACGGGGCATACACTAAATGTGGGTGGGTGGGGCGAGTGTATGAGCTTCTTTGGCTGTGGCGCGTGCAATTGGTCTCACAGGATTCATTTGTTTGTCTCCGTCTCTGGTTCGAGCCTCCTTCGCCTTCCTGCTTTTCCGTTGGGCGCCATTGCTTAGTGTGGCGTTCATGTGCCCCGTGCTCATTCTGCCGTGTCTCTATTTCCACCTCGTTCTCTGTTGCTGTCGCCCTTTGGCCTCTGTCCCCTCTTTCCTCTCCCCTGTCCCTTGTCCTCTGGCCGGAGCGTTATTAGGGGTGTAAAATGGATTTTTTACTTTTATTATTATGATTTTATTGTATTTCCAGTTTCGGTCGCCTCTCTCTTTGCGCCTTTGTCTCGCTCTCATTTTCTTTTGCGCTTGCCATTCGCATTTTGTCTTTCTGTTAGCTTCTATGTTGTTGTTGCCTTTCGCAAAAATTTGTGTGTAATTCGAAAGCCAGTAGTCTGGTATATAGAGATGATGATGGTGATGAGGGAGGTCGTCCTACCCGCCACCCCACAGCACCACCACCACCGCGAAGGGCGGGGTGATCCCACCCCCTTGGGAAGCAGGGAAGGGTGGTGCATTGGCAAAGGGTCGTTCCTGGTGGACGCTTTTTAATTCTTTTTCCAACCAAATTGTGTAAATATTCGTAATGAATTTGCACTTGCAAAATGCACACATCACATATCGGGGTGTTCTCTTTATGTGTGTGCTAACGGGGTGGCCCAACTTTGTTATAATTGCAGAGAGATAAAGTATAGAAAAATGCAGAAAGCGATTATATGTGTATTTGTTTTTCTGTTGACAATACATTATATGGCAATAGATACATACTTGTCAAGACAAAGCCTAAAAAGTCTTTGGAATATGTAACAAAGATATTATTGTTCACTATTTAGCTGGGATCGTTCACTACAAAATTTACTTATATTAGATAAATGCTTACTCAATTAATGCTTATCTCCAGCTTCTGAGTAACGCGAATTGGGAACTGACCTAATTCGATATAATTTCCATAGTATCTAACTATGTTCTCTATCATAAATAGGTTTATTCAAGTTCTTAGGATTGTGAAACGCACATTATTAACTTCGTTTGCGACGTAGTTGGTATTATCTTATCTTGATTTTTAGTACAAATTTACTGGAATTGTTGATGCGAACGGATCAGGCACAGCCTAATCTATTGAGTCATGACACAGTTATCAAGTAATTATCTATTTCTGGGAAGTGTTTTGGGAATAGTGTAAACTCAAAGAACATGTAAATGCAGTATGACATCTGAGTGCTTTTTCTATTCATAATGAAAAAAAGGTGTTGGTTAATGTGGGAAAGTTATTAAAAGGGTTGGTAAGGAGACTAATTAGATGTTAAATACGAAGTATCTATAATTCAAAGCTACATTGTGAATACTTATTGTACAAATATAAACCAATTGACACCCCTAACTAACTTTCTCAAATCTTGAGTTATTATAATAGGTATACCTTTACTAATTTATTACTTGTTTTCTACCATTTCTACAGAAAATGGAGCGGCAGGGCAAGATGGAACTGGCCGCCAAGGAGCGTGAGTCCCAGCGCCTTCAGCTCATCCCCAAGAAGTGGAACCGGCGGGAAGAGTACGAATTTCTTCGAGTTCTTACCGGCTATGGTGTCGATCTGCACCTCTCCACACCTATGGGCTCCAGCAGTGGAAGTTCTCTGTCGCCCGACTGGACAAAGTTCAAGCAGATGGCTCACCTGGAGAGGAAGAGTGATGAAACACTGACGGACTACTATAAGGTCTTTGTGGCCATGTGCAAGCGGCAAGCGGGTTTAAAGCTCACGGAATCGGAGCGCGGCCTAGAAGGCATCATCGAGGAGATCGAGAAGGAGCACGCGAAACTCATACTGGATCGCTTGGAAGTACTTGCCAAGCTGCGAGAAGTGGCCCGTAATCCTGTACTCGAGGAACGCTTGAAACTCTGCACCAAGAATGCTGATACTCCCGATTGGTGGGAGCCTGGTCGCCACGACAAGGAATTAATTACCGCCGTCCTTAAGCACGGACTTTATCGCTCCGAGACCTTCATCTTTAATGATCCAAACTTCAGTTTTGGAGAGTCAGAGAAGCGTTTTATTCGTGAATTGGAGGCTCAGATCCAGCGTACCATCAAGCTGGAGGCTTTCAATGCTGAAAAGGCCGAAAAGTTGGCTGCAGCTGAAAAAGCAGCGGCGGCTGAGAAGGCGGCTGCAGAAAAGGCGGCTTCCGTCAAGAACGAGGTCATAGATCTGGATGATGAACTCATGACCGATGAGAGCGTCATCAAGAAGGAAACGCCTGCTACTCCCGTAAAGGATGAAATCAAAGCGGAAGAGAGTCCAGAAAAGAAGGACACTGCCGACAGCCCCGAAGCTAAGAAATCAGAGATCGAAGAGGAGCCTACAAAGACTGAAGCTGAGGTCAAGGATGAAGAAGATTTGAAGACAGAAGCCCCTGAGAAAGAGGCTGTAGACGAAGCTGAAAATTTGGACAAGGATAAATCCAGCACTGAAAAATCGGTACCAGAAGTCGAAGAAAGCAAGCCTAGCGAAGAGAAAATGGAAACTGAGGAGTCAGCCATTGCGGAAAATGGTCAGGAGAAGGAGGGTTCCCCTGAAAAATCCTCTGAGGCTGAGGAAAAAGAATCTGTGGAAGAGGAACCGAAAACATCTGAACCTCCTGCAGAAGAAGACTCAAAAATGGAGGTCGATGAAGTTGCCTCGAAGGCGGAAGAAAAATCTGCTGAAGATTCGGAATCCCCCGAAAAGGAATCGGAAGATACGGCAAAGACTGCCAAGACTGACGAAGAGAAAGTAGAAGAATCAAAAGAAGAGTCCAAGGAGCAAACAGAAGACAAGGAAAGCGAGAAGAAATCTCCCGCAGAAGCTGAGCCCACTGAGAAATCCCCAATTGCATCAGAACCTGAGGCAGCTGCTCCCAAGAAACCCGCTGGCGAGCAGGAGATTCTCGACTTGGTTGCTGGTCCATCGGATCCCGACGATGACGAGGTGATGAAGGAAAAGGAAAAGGCCGTAGAAGAGGAGTGCAAGAAGCAGGCGGCCGAACTGAAAGCCCGCTTCCCGGACTTGGAAGTAATCCAGCCTGCAACTGTGAAGCAGCAGAAGTTGGAGAAGCCCAAGTTGGAGATGTGCATGATCCGTTGGTTCAAGGACTTCGCCTTGGAGCGCCGCATTGCTCACATCGTGGCCTGCGTCGAGTCTGGAAAGTGGCCTGTGGACAGCAAGTACAGTGCCTTTGCCAGCTGCAAGGGGGCCACTGATCTGAGCATTGCCCTGCACGAATCCATTCCCCACCTGAGCAGCTTGGAGCGTCGGTCCACAACCCCCGATGTCATCACCATCACCACTGATCAGGGTGTAACCAAGCACCTGCAGTCCTCGCATATGCAGCAGGTTGCCAGTTCAGCACCTGCGTCCTCGGGAATGCCCCAGGTCACCCAGTCGAAGCCCTCGTCGGGCAACAGTTTACCCGGCTTGGATGCCAAGAGCATCAATGCTGCGGTTGCGGCGGCTGTGGCAGCAGCTGCAGCGGGTGGAAACGCCACCTCGCTATCCTCTTTGCTCCCGGGAATGTCGCTGAGTGCGGCAACTGGTTCGTCGGCCGGCGGAGTCAGCGGATTGAATGTCCCGAGTGCCGGATCTGGAGTGGGCAAGAAGCGCAAGCGACACATCGCCATCGACGTGGAGACGGAAAGGGCTAAACTGCATGCCTTGCTCAATAGTTCGACAAGTAGGTTTATCTCGGCTTTGAAATCTTTAAAGTTGTTTACTAATTAATCCTTTTTCCGTTTTAGTGGCACCCAAAGACTGGGAGAGTGAGATTGCCAACATGGAGGCCTTGACAGGCTCTTCTGGTCGTGGTCGAGGAGGTAACTCTTCAGCCCTGAGTGGCATGCAGCCGCCCCCAGCCCATCAGCATGCTTCGCTCTCGCGTCAGTCCTCTGGGCAGTTCAGCAAGCCAGCTGTGCCCGCCCTGAAGACACCTCCACCCTCTATGGGTGCTCCCATGGATCTTTCCTCAAGGTGGGTTCATAATCTATTATGTTTAATGGTTTACTCATACATTTAAAATTTTCTCGCAGCAGCCTGCCGAAGATGAACATGACTGAGATGCTCAAGTCGGCCTCCAGTGCGGGAGCCATCGATTTAAGTGAGGTCCAGGACTTCTCCATGCCATCCAAGAAGTCCAGTGTGCATGCTGCGCTAAGTTCCGCCTTTCCCTCAATGGGTAGTAAGAGCAAGCTAGACGACACACTAAATAAACTAATGAAAAAGAACAATTGCGTAAGTTTTAAATTTAAATTTCTCCATAAATAATGGATTTTAGAATGTTACGATCGTGTAATTTAACCCTTACTTCAATTACAGACCATTGAAGAGCCCGTTATTGGCAAGGAGAAGAAACGCAAGAAGTTGGACGAAATCGTGCTCGGCCTATCGGCGGCTAAGGAGCAAAAGACCTTCCCGGACCCATCGCTGCCGTCCTCGAAGAAGCCGCAGATCCCGCCAAGCGTTTCTGTGACGCCGGCCAACCTTCAATCCTCGGCCAGCCAGCAGTCCAACCAGAAACCCTTTACCATCACTGTTACCACAGTGCCCGGAAGTGAGTTTGAGTCTCTGCGCTTTTACTTTTTCACCGCCCGAGGACTGGCACCCATCCCATAGAGCTAACCACTAATCGAATGTATCTATCTCTTGCAGAGTCCAAGGGCGGATCGTCCAGCGGCGGATCCGGCGCCGGAGGAAGCTCATCGGCCAGCGGCGGAGGTGCCGGCGGCAGCGGCCTGAGCGCCCTGCAGAACATGGCCATGGGAGGGCTGTCCTCCAAGGACAGTCTGAATGCCCTGCTGGCCCAGACAATGGCCACCGACCCGCAGACGTTCCTCAAGCAGCAGCAGAAGATGATGCAGTTCCTGCCGCCTGCCCAGCGGAAGGCGTACGAGAACATGCTCGCCGAGATGGAGCAGGCCATGAAGATCAGCTCCAAGTTCTCGGCCAATTCACCGCACGACGTGAAGGTCAACAAGTGGCTCTCGGACATGACGAGTCCCCTGGGCGACCAGCTCAGCATTGATTACGTGGGCGGTGGCGGAGGAGCAGGTGGTGGAAGTGCCAACAGCCGGCGCTCCAACCGCCAGCAGGGCAACTCATCGCAGCAATCTTCGAGTGCCGCCCAGCTGCAGAAGCAGCAGCAGCAACAACAACAGCAGCAACAGCAGCAGCAACAACATTCGATGGCTGGTCCCCAAAATCTGACTGGAGAGGAACCTGTGCCGGTAATCAATAAGCAGACTGGCAAGCGTTTGGGCGGCAACAAGGCGCCCCAACTGAAGCGACTTATGCAATGGTGAGTGTGGCAACATAATAGACTAGAATAATTACTAATCCCTGAAATGCAATCTCGAATCACAGGCTCACTGAGAACCCCAACTACGAAGTGGATCCAAAGTGGCTGGAGCAGATGCAGAATCCCATGTCAGCACCATCACCCAAACCCACATCAATGGACAGCAGCTACGGCTCCTCGGCAGTAAAGTCACATGGAGGCCGCCCGTCGTCGAACTCGAGCAACGCCTCGTCGTCGTCCCACACCCAGCAACAGCAACAATCATCTGCGGCCCAATCGCCAGCGGGAGGAAACTCTGGCAGCTCCAAGAAGTCGTCCCGCCAGCAGACGGCGGCCTCGGCTGCCCTGGATCAAGCTGCCTTACAATTCGGCTCCCTAGCCGGTCTGAATCCCAGCCTGCTGGCCAATTTGCCAGGACTGGGAGCATTTGATCCCAAGAACCCGCTGGCCGCTTTTGATCCCAAGAATCCGCTGCTATCCATGTCATTTGGAGGAATGCCTGGAATGGGTAATATTCCCGGACTGGGTAATCTGAACAACATGAATCTGTTTGCCAGTTTGGCGGGAATGGGAGGATTGGGCAATCTCGCCGGGATGGACACCCAGTCGCTGGCTGCGCTCATGGCTGCTGCCGGACCAACTCTTGGCGGATTGACTGGTGCATCCGGAGGAGCGGGTTCCGGCAAGAGCCAGGGGCAGTCACAGTCGGGTGGCTCATCCGCCGCCTCCTCATCCTCGGCCAGCAAGAAGAAGCAGCAGCAGCAGCAACAACAGCAGCAGCAGCAGGCTCAAAATGAAGCCGCTCAACTGGCGGCTGCAATCAGCGCCAGCACTGGAGGATCATCTGGCGGAGCTGGTGGCAAGAATGCAGCAGCTTCTGCGTCCCAATTGGCGGCTGGATTCCCCTTCCTATTCCCGAATCCATCGTTGCTCTATCCGCCCATGGGACTGGGTGGCCTGAATCCGTATTCACTGGGATCCAGTGGTCTGGGTTCCGCCTACGATCAGCTGGCCCAGCAGTATAACCTTCTGAATGGAGCCACCTCATCCGCCTCGAACACAAGCTCCACGCAGTCCAAGTCCCATCAGTCGCAATCGAAGTCCAGTCAGTCAAGAAATGCCACAGCAACTGCCAACTCAGCAGCGAGTCTGATGAACGCCATGGCCAGCATGGGCGGTGGAGCGAGCACAGTGACCACGCCCTCCACCTCAACATCCGGATCCGGACGTGGCAGGCAGTCGAGCAGCAGAAGCCAATCGCAGACAACACCCACAGCGGCAGACATGGCTCAACTGAGTAGCTTACTCATGCCGGGTGCGGATCCGCATCTTCTCGAATCGCTGAGCCGCATGAGCAACATGGACTTGGCGCAGGCCACTCGACTGATGAGCTCCCTGGGAATGCCGCCACTGCCGGGAACCCCGAGTTCCTCTGGAGGAGGCAACTCCTCGTCCTCGAGCAAGAGGAGCAGCCAAGCAGCTAGTGAAGCCAACGCCCAGGCGAAGGAGCAGCAGAAGTGGTTCGAGAGTCTGGCCCGCGGAGCCCTGCCCACAGATTTGGCCGCCCTTCAGGCCTTCTCGCAGGGCAAAATGCCGTCGTCATCCAGCTCAAATACGGGAACATCCACTTCGTCCAGCAAGAGCTCGAAGGCAGCAGCAGCAGCTGCGGCTGCGGCAGCGCAACTGCCACAAATTCCCGGAATGTCCAGTGATTTCTCACAGGCCTTCTTGGCTGAGATGGCTGCCCAAGCAATGGCCGCTGCGGGCGGATCCCTGCCACTGAGTGGACCTGGTTCCTTGGCAAGTTTGGCTGGCTTAACTGGGGGCTCTGCAGGAGGAGCAGGTGGTGGAAGTTCCTCAACTTCGGGGAGCGGCAGCCACTCCTCTTCGAAGCGACAGCGAGAGCAAGATGCCTTCAAGCAACAGATGGACTATTACACCAAGACTTTGGGTCTGGGATCGGGAATATCGCTGATACCTACCTCTTCGGCGGGCGGATCGTCTGCATCCTCCAGTTCGGCGAACGCAGCAGCAGCTGCGTATGCTGCAGCCTTAGACGCAGAGCAACAACATCAGCAACAGCAGCAGCAGAAGGCCCTTTCCAAGCGCTCACGTGGCGGCGATTTGCATCCCACTAAGGAGGAACTGGCCGCAGCTGCCCTTGCTGCAGGACTACCCCTGAACCTGGGAGCCAGCATGAGCAGCATAGAGAAGAGTCTACGCGGCGGAAGCAGCTCAAGCAGCAGCTCCACGCCTGCTCCCATGTCGGCGGAACAGGATAAGGTTACACTGACTCCCCTTAATGCCTCTGGAGGGGGCTCCTCAGGCTCCTCCTCCAGCTCAGCGGCTGCTGCGGGATTGGCGGCCAACCTGCCGAGTCAAACCACAATAACCATAGCTCCTCCCATCAGCAGTGGAGCTAGCACTAGCAGCGAACGTTCCGAGCGCTCCGAGTCGCGCATCTCGCTGACCATAACCAATGCTGCGGATGCTGCCAAACTACCGCCGCCTTACGAGGAAGCCGACGAGTTGATCATACAGCCCATACTCAAGAAGCCGGCGGCTGCGAATCCAGGCAGCAGTCATGGCGGCAGCGTGGAGGATCTGGAAACAGCTGGAAACACCTCTGCGGCCAATCTGAGTGGCTCATCCTCGAGTTCTGCGGCGGCGGCGGCAGCAGCGGCTGCCGAAGAGAACCGTCGCTCCTCGAATCGCCTGAAGCGCCCGAGATCTGGAAACGAACAGGGATCCGTGGAAGGACAACCGCCCGAGAAGCGAAGGGAGCTGCGATCCACCCGACATACGCGCTCCTCGGCCGATGCCAGCACGCTAAATCTTTCCACTGGCAGCGAGTCAGGTGCGGAGGAACGGAACGAATGAGTATTGCGTAGATCCGAGCGCCAGCGCTAGCAGGATGACACGGCTCCTCCGAGGGGCAGGAGAAAGCCACGTGGAGGAGGAGTCTCAACTAGACAGCCACCACAACAACCGGAGCAGAAAATCAAGGACAAGAAGATCATGAGAAACCAGTTGCAGATGCGAATGCAAACGAGATCGAGGCGAAAATTGAATGCTAGGCTAACTGTTACCACTAGATCCCTTAAGCTTAAAGTTGTGTAAAGTATAAGAAGCATATATAAACTATATATAGAGGTTAGGAGCCAATATGGAGAGAGTGGATTGGGAAATTTGGTGGCAACGCCCTGCAGTTCGACACTGCTGCAACTCCGTCAGAATTGGAGGGCATGGCGCCATCCCCAGCTGATGATGGTTTACTGAAGTTCCATCTGCTGCACATAATGGAACTTGGTAAATCAATCGCTTCCCTCGCTCTGGCTACTTAAATATTCATACAGTTACGAACATAATTAAAAAGCGCTTATAATTTAATTGTAACGAGAGAAGCAAAGTGCTGATGCATGAAGATTATCCGTTTAAATTATTGCAACCACACACACATAATTAATAAGCGACAGCAAAAAGTTTACATAATAGACTATATCCATACACTAGAAGAAGAGACACAGATACTTGGGTTTCCTGCGCTGTCCTCACACATGAAAAGTCTCTATATACGATACCTGTACATAATTTATAATCTTTAAATGGCTCTCGCATTGCTTAACCGTTTTTAATATAGTAAGGCACCATGTATTCTCATACTGAATCATTTTCCACACTCCACCACACCCACTATGTTGTATTGTATACTGTACTCTCTACTCTCTCTGTGTGTCCCACGAAAACTGCGTGTAATTTTGATAATTTTAATTTTGTAATTAGTGAATGTGAAAGGAATGGAATGCTAAGGCGAGAATCAATCGTTGAAGCGAGTATTTTATTTCTTGTAATTGTAATTTGTATGTTTTAAAATGCACTCGAGTGTTCCGCAAAGAACAAAACCAACCTATAAGCAGACCTGGCGCATAACAAACAAATGAAAAATGTTTATTGAAAAATAGAATTTTTTAATTAAATCAATTTTAAAGTAATTGAGAATCGGAGAACTTGAATCTTGCACGTTTGATGAGCAGCAATGCTAAAATTATGGCATTTTGCATAATTATTCAGTTGAGTAAACGGAGTTATGGATATATTTTGCCTGCACTTTACGACAACCATTCATTTAGAGACGTTTACAATGCCACACACACACACAAAAAAAGAGAAGAAAGCAAAACAAACAACCAACATATATTGCATACTTAACTTGTAAGTATAAGTCTTAATTAAAATTATAATATAACTGCAGAACAACAAACAAAAGCAAAACATCAACCAGAAGAAGCAACTACAGCAACAACAGCAAGTAACAACCAAGCATCAGCTATTGATATTGATGATAAATAAATATATAAAAAATAAATTTAAAAAATTAAAACCAAATTTGAGTTATTATTGGATGAATGAAGATGTATATCATCCAATGATGGATGAATGAAGAAGAATATCATTGGATGAGTGAAGAATGTTATTGGATGAGTGAAGAAGAATATCATCGGATGAACGAAGAACATCTTTGGATGAATGAGGAAGAAGAATAAATACCATCGTAGACGGGATGCTAAATTTGGTAAGTTGTATATCTTTATCAAAGATTTAGCGAAAACTGGGCTCTTTTGACCACAGAATTAAACCATTAAGTGATAATGACATCCAAATTTATTGAACAAAATGTGTATTGCAAATGTATATTGCAATTTGCAATGCGGTAAGTCTGTTCCCCAATATTCCACAACAAAAAATTCACGATACGTACTTTCGTGTGCGATTCGGTGTAGTATTTAAATATTTTTACTACGCATTTTTAATGTACTTGTTAATCGATGTATATTCACAGTAATTGAGTAAACTTAGAAAAAGACAACAAAAGCTGCGCATGTAAAGTTCTGTTAAACCAAACAACGGTGTTTCTCAAATGTTTCGAGTTCGACAGAAGCGATAACTAAATCCTAAATATTGAAAATGTCGTTTTGGTATACTTAGGGGTGATCGAATTGGGGATGTGGTGATTTGCCTTTGGGCGAGGGAAAGAACTTACAATAATTACAAAATCGTACAAATATGTATAATATACAATATATAAATCTGTGTATCAGCAGTTAAAGCACTTGGCCCGCTTCGCTTTGCTTCGATGCGTTGCGTTGGTAAACTTTGAGTCTTAGAGTCTAAGATAACACTGCCCTACAAATAAGCGTTTGCTTTACTAAAGACATACTTTTCTATAGATGCTGATGGGGGACGCGTGTTGAACACGAGAAACTGATATATGGTTTCAGGTTTGATTTAGTTAACCTTCAGTTAGATGGAAACGTGTTCCTCAAAGGATATTTTTTTATGATATCATGGGATACAAGTTTTTTAGATCGCGACCCCAAAAACTATCTTTTTAGCAAACAATCTTGAAGGGCAGTGTAATTTGCGCATGCTTTGCTAAGGGCTTTTGGCTTGGTTTCTTCTAGGTGTCCATGCGATGTGGTCACATTCGAACTATAGATAATTCAAGAATTGGGATCGTTCGCAAGCCTCTTCCATTAGCCTTTGCTGGCGTTCCTTTTCCTCGGGAGTGAGTTCCTTTACTATTTCGTCGAAGCCGTCGTCCGAGAAGGCAGGCTCCTCACCGTCCACCTCCTCGCCAGCGGCTGGTGGAAGAAGTGGCTCCCCGATTATGCAGCGGATGTCGTTGGGAAGAGTTTCCGAGGCCTTCAGCTGCAGATAGATGGCCTCCGCAATTTGCAAGGTCTTCTGCACATCAATATTTCCAGACAGTTCGTTGACATGCTTCAGGATCTCTGTAAACTCGTACTGGCTCTCGATAATGACGCTCGTTTCCTGATCCAGGATGGCCACCGAGAAGAGCAGGTGGAAGTTGGCGCACGGCAGCCGTGTCCACAGACACTCCCACAACTTCAGCACGTCCTCGTTGCTCAGCTCCCGCTTGTACCACACCAGCAGCCATCTGAAGCAGAAGTACATGTTGTCCGAGTCGTGGGATCGCATGTAGTTGAACAGCGGAGCGTTGGCGAACTCAATCAGGCGACGCACCTGGCCGAACTGCGTCTTCATGCCCGCCTGGTCCATGTCGAAGTTGGTGAACACCAGCTCCATGAAGCCCACGAAGCACCAGAAGGCGTCCACCTCGTTCACCTGGATCTCCAGAATCGGAGCGAGGAGGTCGGACATTCCCTGAACGTAGCCAAGATCAAAGTTGTACATCACGTAGGTCATGAGGATGCCCTGCAGCAGGTCCAGATTGGGATTGTTCTCGCCGGCGAAGAACTGCAGCGAGCGGTCTGTGCGCTTCACGTCCTTCTCGATCTGGCACTTGCGCTCCCGGTAGCCGCAGAAGTTCGCCTCCTGGACCGTCGTCATGGCCAACCACTGGGCCTTCATGTTGTAGTACTCAATGGACTTTTGCTTGCGCCGCTCGATCCGCTCCACCTGGGTGTCGGACCACAAGAAGTAGTTGAGCAGGAACTTCCACACCTCTGCCCGCAGGCTGGGCACGATGCCGCCGCGGAAGATGAGCTCCTTGATGCGAACGCTGTCCGAAATGCGACCGTCGGGCGTCTGGAACTCCAGCCACTGCGTCTCGGTGAGAGGAGATCCTGCAAAGGTGAGTTTTATTTATTTCTTTATGAATGAATGGGGTTTTAGGAGGTGAGTTTATATTGTTAATATCTTTCAAAAAAATATTACACAATTTTAAGTAAGTGTTTTACATTACGTTATCAGAAAAATCAATTAGTCGTTTCGAGATTTTAATCAACAATGTTCATCGACAGATTTATCCGCTTTATACCAACTTACCTCGCTCCACTCTCTGCCGATCCGGCAAGTTGTTGACTATTTTCTCGTCCTGGGCATTCAGGTTCTCCAGCTCACTGTCCGCCGGGGACTTGTCCGCACTGCCGCCGCGACTCTGTCCGTTGGAGGAGCAGGCACTGTTGGTGCTGCCACTCAGTCCTATAATCTGATAGTTGTCCGGCGAGGTCTGGCGATCGCCGGAGATCAGTGCCCCTGGCCGGGATTTGGGCGAGCGCTGGAACGGCGGCTGCACGTAGTCGGGAATGTTGCCCAGGAATCCCGCCAGCTTGTTGGGCAGCCAGCTCTCGCGCGGCAAGTGGCTGGACTTGATCTGGCCAATGTCCAGCTCGGCAAAGGTCTTCTTCAGCTTCTGGTTCTCGGTGGTCAGGATGGTGTACTCCTCGCCGCCGCTGCGGCTGGTCTCGGCGGTCTCGATGAAGTGCTGGTCGCGCATGGAGCGCACAAAGAGGTCGGCGTTGCCGTGCTGGAAGAAGAACTCGCTGTGAATGCCCCCGGATCCCTTGCGCATGAAGCGGATGGTCTGGCCGCGGTGACGGACCTCGACGGAGGCCAGGTCCTCCAGCTGGGCGCGCATGACCCGCGAACGGGAGGCCGCCGCCCCGCCGCCCGGTTCGCTGGGCTTCGTGTTGAAGGCGCGGCACTCGGAGGTGGTGCGCGTGCGCCCGGAGATCCTGTCCACCAGCGCCCAGTCGCCCTGGTCCTGGCTGTCGTCGGCGATCATGATGCTGTCGTTGGGCTGCCACTCGAGCAGCAGCCTCCTGCGCGGCAGGTCCGCCGAGGTGCGCGAGTACTCCACCAGGGACAGGGAGCCACTGGTGTTCAGGTCGGCGATGTGCTCGGCGCTGGCCTTCTTCAGTAGCACCCCGTCGTGGGTGAAGAGGATCTGCGGGCGGGGGGCAGTGTAATTAGGCGAGAACACGTAATGGGAGCAGTAAAACCATGAGTCAGGCGAATTCAGGAGGCACTTACGTTGCCCGTTCCCTGCGCAGGCAGACTCTGGACCTCCTCCTCGGCGGCGGAGGACACCTGCGACTCGCTGAGCACGCCCAGCTGCACCTGGTGACAACGGTCGTAGCGCACCGATTCGTTCATGGCTGCCGGCGATGCTTGGTGTTCTATTGTTCAGTTAACTTCAGCGCTATTACGTTTCAGATATAAACAATTGGCCAGCGAAAGGTCCTAAATTTGCCCGTTATGCTTGTCAGCTTTGTGTTTGCACTTGGCGGTATTTTTCTGGCAACCGCAAGGTGGTAGCATTGATTTGCCCGATCCGGCAACCCCCTTGCGATCTGGCAGCACAGAGGGGCAAAGACAACATTGTGATTTGAATTGGTTCTTTTTGTTTATATTTGTGCAAATCTTCGTGGGCGGAAGTATACCTTCATGCAGCGATCCAAGCGTAAACTGCCCTCTCCTGTGGAGGACGACGATCAGCAGGAGAACAACCCGGATCGAGACAAACGGAGGATTAGGCAACCTCCTGCATCTGAGGATCTCTGCTCTCCAAGAGCCGTTCAATCTGGAAATACCTTGTCCAGGTTTGATTCCACCTGGCTGGCACTCCAACGTACCGGAAAAAGCAGCAGTCAGCCGGATTCTCCCCGAAGCTCGAGTACTGCATCATCTTCTCACCTACTTAACACCAGTTGGCCTGGACCGAAGCGGCGACCCAGAGCCTTGCCCATTGTGTTCCAAAAGTCCCCAAGGACTCCTCCCCTGGTCACGAATAAGCTGCCCAAAACAAGTTCTATGTTCCAGACTTATGGCAAAGCGCCAAAGGAGCTTAACTCATCAGCAGCCAATGAAAGAAGCATTTTGATGGAGTCCCCGTCCTTTCATCGCAGAAATACTCCGTCTAAATTTGATTTATCCTGGCAGGAGCTCAATAAGACTGCAACTGGCAGCAGTCAGTCGGATACTACGGCCAACAGCAGTTTCTCAACCTGCTTCCAGCTGCTGAACACCAATTGGCCAGGAACAAAGAGACGAACGTTGCCCCACGGGGTCCACCATTCTTCAAGGACTCGTACGTGGGACATAGACAATGAACTATCCGATGATAGCTGTACTGAATCCCCTCCACCTATTAAACTTGTGCCGGAAGAGAAGACCAAGCAGTATTTGCCGATCAACCAGAAGGCCAATTTAAAGCAAAATCAACGCTTTCAAAGAGGAGGCTATGCTGAAGACTTACGGCGATTCTTGAAAAAAGATCGCATGGATCAACGTCACATTAAGGACAGAGTACCCAACTACACGGTTCGAGTTTTGGGTATATCAAAGGAGTGTGGCCTTGCCTTAGCCTTGGTTGCACCGGAATATGGGTCCCAATTTAATATTCTTCTTCAGAAGAATCAGTCGGAACTACTAAATGTCGGCTCCAAAGTCCAACTCTACCTGAATCCAAGCACAAAGCCAATGCAGCTAAAAGACAAACAATTGATTTATTGTCGCCCTCACAACATAAAAGTATTAGAAGGATAGGCACTTTAAAGAACTCGGATATAATAATATTTAAACTACAAGTTACACCAGTTTGTTTAGTACCTGCGACATTATTTAAGAACGTCATGGGCACCAACCCAATAAAATATCCCATCGAGAGTAAAAGTAATTCGCAAGCAACAGAGCACGATTAATTAGGATTCTCTCGATTCTCATCAACTTCCCATGACGAAAGATAATTTTAAAATAACCACACATATCTTAGTAGTATTTTGTAAATAGATTAAAAGTGCCCCACTCGTGTGATACAGTGGTCTTCGGTCCTCTTCGTGCTGTTTTGAAAACTTTTCTCAGAGTTCAGTTTGTCCCAGAACGTCGAGCAAAGCACAAAGACGGTTCGCTTTCAAAATTCCGAAATATAACGAAACATAATCAGACAATATAGACCAAAAACAGGTGGGTGCAAATATATTAAAGCAACTAATGTGAGTTAAATGGTTTAAGTTCTCAAAGAGTTTGAAATAAATGAAAACTAACTTTATTGCGGTATCGAAAAAAAGTTTATAGTGCTAAATTCGAATTATATAACTCATGTTACCACAATTGCCTGAGTATGTCAACAAAAGTGATGCATCCTCTGAGTATTTGGACTTTTCCCAAAAGTTTCCAAACGTCGGTGAGACTAAAAATGTCATTTAAGGGTCACTTCCCCCAATATCAAATACCTGGCCATTATCATTAAGAACTAGAATATAAATATATCTACGTACAGTTTGGCTATAAAAGAAAAACATGATATTTCGATTTTATCAATGAGTTTTTCAACTGAATCCGAAAAACATGAGCAGCTATCTCGCACACCTTGGCATAAATTCGAATTGTGGGAGGAAAATCGAGACCCTTAACAGATTTTCACATCTGCGACGAGCAGTAAACTTCTCTCTTGATTGCTGTGATATCCAATTCTTGCGCTCAATCTCTTTTGGTCTACAAGTGAGAAGCCAAAATATTTATTCTGTTAATTTGAGAGCAGGAAAATAAAGAAAACAGTCGCATAGCCAAAAAACATGAAAATCGTAGGCCAGAAATAGCGCCACCCACCGACTGTTTTGAAACTAAATTGACTTACAGGGTATTTTTAAAAGAGAAACGATGAGGTGTGCCAGTTCTTTTGCTCACGTTCTGTGTTTTCAGAACGTCATGGAGAAGTCAACGCGACCCAAACGAAATCGTCGTCATAGCAGGTGGGTCGTTTTGGTAAACAGTTGAGAGTTTATATCTAATGTTCTGTGCACTTTTTCAGACGCGCCTGGCCACCGGAGGATGAAATGCAGCCACCCACGCGAGCCACCAAACGGTTGTTCACGCCTGACATCAAGAGGATGCTCAAGGACTGGCTGATTCGGCGGCGGGAGAACCCCTATCCCAGCAGGGAGGAGAAGAAGCAGCTTGCCGCGGAGACCGGTCTGACCTACACCCAGATCTGCAACTGGTTCGCCAACTGGCGCAGAAAGCTCAAGAACTCGGAGCGGGAGAAGGCCAAGAAGTCGTGGGGCCATCTGATCAAGAACTACAACCACAATGCGAGGGGCAATGTGGAGCAGTTCAGCATCTCGTCGGAGGATAGTATTTGGGAAGAGGAGATGCACTCGTGCCCAGCGGAGGACGACGAGGGCGACGACGACGACGAGTTGTCCAGCCACAGCACGGGCAGCGATGGGAATGCCAACAACGAATCCTCCTCCCAGTATAAGCCCAACTTTTATGTCGAATCTGCGGACTTATCCGAACGCATACCCACTTTGACCGAAGTTCAGATGGGAGGCAGGGCCAAGTACAAGCACCAGATGATGGAAAAGTACCTGCGGGACAGTTCCACGGCGGAGGCGGCCAGTCATCCGGGCACTCAGCTCAACAAGTGGCTGGAAAGTGCCGCCAAATTCACGCCGAATAGGAACAACTATCACATCGAGTGGAGTACAAGCAGGTAAGGCAGTTCATGTCTGCTATTTGCCATCGTGATAACAAATTCCCTTTATTTCAGGCAGAAAAGCACTAGTGATGCGACGGCTCGCGGTGACCGCTGGGTGCTTCATCACAAGGACGAACTGGACGCTGCCGAGGCCCTGGCCAACCTCGCCTTCAACTGCAGGCAGCGCTGGAATCACACTATCAGTTCCTGAGCGGCACCACCAAAGACTCCACAACTGACGCCATCATTCCAGCAGAAGTTCTAGGCCCCGTTGGAAAAGCGAAATCTAGTCATATGGGCTTTGTCTGGTTTTCATTTTCAAACTTTCTGATAATCAGATTAATCAGTGAGAACCAGATCGTGCCGAAAGTTAACCAATATTTAGCAGCTAGTTTAGAGTGAAAGACATTGATAACATTTTCAATTTTCGTTGTTATTTAACAAACTTGGTTTCACACGGACTCCTCCGTTGACTCCGGCGCCGCCTTCTCCGCTTCGCCTTTGGCGTGGACATCTAGGACTTGCACGAAGCTGTTTTGATGCGCCTGCAGTTGCTGGACTAGATTGCCGGCTGCCTGGTTGAGGGTCTGAACGAGCTGTGCCTGCGCCGCCTGCAGGCCGGGCATCTGGGCAAAGGCCATCAGCTCGTTCCTGCTGAGCATGGTCTGCTCCACGATGCCGCCCAGCAGGACCATTTGCGGCACCTTGCGGGTGATTTTCAGCAGGGCGGCAGTGCGCTGCTGGTCCGGGGAGAAGACGATGCAGTGATTGGAGTGGAACAGCGGCAGGATGGCCTCGTAGCGAGTGCCCTTCACCGCCTGGCCAATGATCTTGCTGCCGTAGGACTTGAGGTGCAGGTTCTGCTTGTGCAGCTGAACGCGCACGCGGAATATCCCGTCGGCTGTGATCGAGTTCAGGTGGAAGATGGCCACCAGCCGGGAGTGGTCCAGCCAGTTGCGCACCTCGCGTGCGATGATCTCGTTGTACGGATTCTCCAGCTGCTGCTGCGTGCGCTCCGCACGAGTCCGGAAGCAGCTCTTGGCCTTTGGTGACTCCGGATACTTCGAATGGGTGACTGCGATGACGCGGGCTCGCTCGTAGTGCGGCTCCTTGGGCCGCTGAATGTTGATCTTGCCCCTGTAGCGGAGGAACTGCAGAGCCGGAGTGCTGGTTCTGGCCAGCGGAAGACCTGGAATTCATTCAGTAATCCTCATATCAGGTAAACATTTAAACACATGTACTTAGTTACACAACAAATTCACCGGGGTCAGGTTAAACGCATGAAACGCATAAATGAAAAGCGGCACAACTTACTCTTCTGTATGAGGGTCGCCATCCTGTAATGCTGCTACAATATAACCGTATTCCTACTAAAACTAGTTAATTCATAAATAATTATTTATTTAACAACAATTGGAGCAATCGAAGTTTACTCTGTACTATCGATGTATAGCGTTGCCACCCGGCAGTTAATAGCGTGTTCAGACTGAGTGGTATTTCTGGTTTTCTATAGCGGATTTTGATTTAACTTTCCTCGTAATCGTAATTTGCACAAATCAAGGCCGACAGCTAAATGACTGAACAGCTAACAGCCTAAACTAACGATCCCCATCACTTTTGGAAAAATTAAATTTTTCACCAATTTTCACATTTTTGATAAGGGGTACCATCATGATTTTTTTTACAAAAATTGGCGAAAATTAAAATGTCCAGATTTGAACGCAAATCGATTCAGAATTAAACAACGAATTCAACAAGGTATGACATTCCATAATTGGACGAATATTTCCTATGTTTTGGCAAAAAAACTGATATTTTAGGGTAAAGAAAAGGGATTTAAATTTTAGGCAAAAACAACTTTTCCTTCAGTTTTTCAGTCGTTGAATTAAAATTGTTTCAGTCAAAAAGTTGATTTTTTTCGTTGAATAGATTTGAATTTAACGGCAAATATTGCCAGACTGTTTTGTCTCCTTTCATAGCGGAGACACCCACCGTAGCGGATACACATGTTTTAGGGTTACCGTTTATGTAATACAGATTATCGTTATATCTGTGACACGATCACAAGAACTTCGCGGTTGCCCATCTCTATGTAGCGGTTGTTTTCCAGTGGCAGCCATCTTGAAAAATGCAGTTTTGTGAGTAAGCTCAGATTTGGCAATTAATAAATTTAATCGGAAAATACGCAGGAATCTGATAAAATCCAAGCACAGAAGTGTCCACCGAGACAAGCGGCGTGTGATCCCGATCACCGGCGATAGGAATTTCCCGAGATCCAACCGTTTAGAGCTTTCGATTCGTCCAATTTTGCAAGGGGTGCCAGTTTCGTCTGCCGATTCAAGGAGCACGTGGACACCAAGGAAGCTGTTAAAATCCCAGCACAGAAGTGCCCAAGGAGACAAGCAGCAATCCCGATCACCAGCGATAGGAGTTTACCGAGATCCATTCGATCGATTCGGCCAATTTTGCAAGGGGTGCCAGTTTCGTCCGCCGATTCAAGGAGGAGCACGTGGACACCAAGAGCTCCTGCTCAATGCTCGAACTGGTGCGCCGCAAGCTTAGTCACACGCCCGCTTTCCCAACATGTTCCTGATTCCTTGTAAGTGTTCCCCTCTACCCAACTCCTTAAGAGCCATCTAATCATGAGATCATATTCCCCAATAGGTAAGGGAGTGATGCAGCAGATCGTGCTGCTGGTAGAACAGCGGCTAAACAGAGATCTCATCCCCGACCCGGACAACGACTGTCAACTGCAGCAAGAACGAGACGCCTATGCGCTAGCGTTTGGAAAAGGAGTCACTTGCAGATCTTTGAGATCGGAACAGAGGTACTGCATCATCGTCTGATCTGCGAGCAGCAGGAGCGAGCTCGCATGTACCGTCTGATCACCTAGGGCAGCACACCCGACTCCAAAAAAGAGTCTGGTGTGGTCAAAACTGCCGCACGCCGGATAGCATGTACATAGATGGAGTCGGCCTGTTAAAAGATCGCGCTGCCGGTAAATAGAGTGTTGGAGTTTTTGCAAAAGCGCGGCCAGACAACGAGAGCTTCCGCCGGCGGCAGGAGGAGTAGTGCGCCAACCAGAAGGCGGAGCTGAAGAAGTGGCCCACGGCAGCCTGCAAAGAGTGGTCGGGAGCATGATCGCGGTGGATAACAAGAAGATTCAGATCATTGTCCCTTTGAAAAGTAATGTTTCCAAATTGCAATTGAAATATTTTAATTTTATTCGCAATGGCTCTTTTTGAACACATATTTTTTTTTAATTTTCACAATTGTTCGTTTTTTGGAAAAATAAATTTTAAATTTCCGTTAGATCAGCAACGTTGTTCTCCGCCACTTGGTTGGATTTCTGGATTTCAGATACCAGGCGCACAGAAAAAACAGCAGGTGGATACATACTAATTTTTCGCTCTCACTAGAGATGTGTTGCCATAAGGAATACAAGGGATTCCATTGCCTATCGATCAGTCGCCCATCCCTAATTGCTCTCTGCTTTCAACTAACGGTTGTCTTCCAGTGAGCTCGACTGTGATTGGTCGATGGGGGAGGGGAAACATGCGAAGGGCAGCCATCTTGAAAAAAGAACCGTTATGTGAGAGAAGTCACAAAAATCAGCAGCGACCTACTACTTTTCTGCTGATTCTGTTCGCCTGGTGTAAAAAATCAGAAAATTTGTCTTGAAACGCACAAGTCGAAGATTACGGTAAATCTGGGGCCGAGTTGTGGCCAATTTGGTCCGCCAGATCGGACAATTCTCTCGAATTTCTAGATTTGAGGTACCAGGCGAACAGAATTAATAGTAGGTCGCTGCAGGTAATAGTGAACTCCTGTGACGTCATTATGCAAGTATGCTCCTATTGGTCAATGGCTTGGCCGCCATCTTGAAAAAGAACCGTTATGTGAGCGAAGTCGGAAATATCAGCAGCGACCTACTACTTTTCTGCTGATTCTGTTCGCCTGGTGTAAAAAATCAGAAAATTTGTCTTGAAACGCACAAGTCGAAGATTACGGTAAATCTGGGGCCGAGTTGTGGCCAATTTGGTCCGCCAGATCGGACAATTCTCTCGAATTTCTAGATTTGAGGTACCAGGCGAACAGAATTAATAGTAGGTCGCTGCAGGTAATAGTGAACTCCTGTGACGTCATTATGCAAGTATGCTCCTATTGGTCAATGGCTTGGCAGCCATCTTGAAAAAGAACCGTTATGTGAGCGAAGTCGGAAATATCAGCAGCGACCTACTGCCGATTATGAGCGCCTGGTGTCAGAAATCAAGAATTTAGCTCTGAAACCGCCAAGGTGAAGATTACGGTAAATTGTGATCAATTTGTGGCACATTTCGACCGAGATGCGGCACATTTGGCCAGTCAAATCGAGAGATTTGCAGATTGAAAGTACCAGGCGAACATAAATTGCAGCAGGTGGCTGCCCAATCTGAAAATCCTGTTGCGCCCTGATGCAGGCAATGGAAAATTCTTTTTCGGCTGCCCAAAAGTATGCTACAAAATGACTGCATAGGTATAGAATTTATTTAATTACAGTTATAACATTAACATCTATATATATAATGTATATATGTATGTAAAATGTTTCTGCCTGTTTAAGTTGTTGTTGCTTTTTTAAACTTTTGCTTGTTTAATCGCTATTTAAAATTACTTAAAATACTAGAAGAGCGTAACTTGTTTTTGTTGGTTTCTTTCTTTCTGGTTTAATTCTTGTAGTTCTTGTAGTATTTGCCTGTGGGGTAGACATCCGGTGATATTTTATATTCCTCTTCCGTTTGTTTTGTTTCAATCAGTTGGTGACCTGCTGTTCTGTGATTTAGACAGTGGCAATGACAATCAGGAGATGTGCCAACTCGGCCACGCGATTCTTGAGATCCGGAGCAGCACGCTCGAGGTTCTCGTTAGCGAAATCGCATGCCGGGAAGATGTGCACCACGTAGGCCGCCTGCTCGCTGCCCGGAATGGGTATGTTCACAATGCCGGCGGCCATTTTCTGTTGCAGGTAGGTGATGAATCCGGTCTGGAGGTTCCTGGAATGCTGCAGCACATCGGCGTGATCTCTTCCGCAGGGCAAAGCCAAAAGCATGCAATGCTCCTTGTCAACCTGGCAATTTAAAGGGGATTATGTTATTGTTGCCCAGATTGCTACAACAATGTAGTACCAGCTACATCGGTTATCTGTACATACCTGCATCTTTTTGGCGACTCCTTCCAGCTGTGTTTGCTCCAGTCTCATCCGCTGTGCAATCCTCAGCAGCGGCGTGTTGGTCTCCACCAAGCTGGGAAGTGACGCTCTAGCCACATTCGGGTTTCCATGCACAAAGTGCATTTGCACAGCGGCCTGGTCAGTTTTCAGGGCCAGTCACTGGGTAGCGTTGCAGGAGAGTAACCAGCGAGTCACCCGGTGGTGGAGCCATCGCCGGTGGAGCTTGCTGGGTGGCCAGTTCCATGCCAGCGTGCAGAGAAGGTGGTAGGTGCTCCTGCTGTTGTTTGACTGCGGGTGCGGGGGTAAAATCTTCGTTAGCTGGGATTGCCTTATACTGACCAAAGGACAGTTGACACTCACCGGCAGCTGCGATCATAGACAGATCGTGCATTTCCTGCATTTCCATGGGCTTGCCTGGATGAAGGTGGCTTCCCGGCTGCACGCTGCCATCGCGTCCAATAAACGGACTTCCGGCGGAGACTGCTGGCATTTGTGGCGGCACCACCACGCTAATGGAGGCAGTTGGTCGATGGGCCGGCGGTGGCTCCAGCTGTAGGCCACCACTCTCGTACAAGCCTCGCGAAGCAATTTCGCTGAAGTGAGCCGGTGGAATGCGGGCATTGTGTACATAAACCTGCGCCATTTGCGGCGAGTCTGTAAATAAAAAAGAGGATTATAAATTTCGGATATAACAAGGCTTAAAGCTCTCAACACTTACCAGCTGCGGTGCGATCCTGCGGACTCTGCAAACTGTGGGGCACTGCAATGGTCCTTGGAGGTCCACTGCCAGGGCGTCGTAGCTCCAGCGGCGGACTGTTGCTCATCTTGTCATCGTAGTCGCCACTTCGCATCAAGTGATGCTGGTAGAGCATGAAATCCCTGGAAGCAGCCACTCCTCGATAGGTTGAATCGTTCTAAAAATGACACATGACATAGAATTTATTGATTAGGCGTTCTTTTACACGTCTTAATGGTTTTTATATGGCTGCACAATGGGATAAACTTGGTTACGCTACTTGGAAGCTCCGCAAGTAAAACTTGTGCATTACCGGTGTTATGGGCGATGCCTGCTGATGAGCTGGAGGCGGACTCTGGGTTCGCCGTCCGCTGACATAAGCGCCCAGGTCATGCTGCATCCACAGTTAGCAATTTTGATAGTAAAATTAGTTTAACGTTAGTATGGGTTTTTTCTTAAGAATTTAAAGGTCATTTAAAAAAACAAAAGATATCAAATTATACTTAAATATACAAGTAGTTGGTTCAAATTAACAGAAATCTATACAAATATTTATTACTCACCAGGCCGGCGTCGAAAGGTGGCACTCCGGCCATTCCGGGCGGTAGAACCAATGGCGATACCTTCGGCTGGCCTTGTGGACTGATGTTCGGAATCGCTGTGCGCAGCCCTGTAAAATATCAAAGTTAGTTAGGGTCTTGCCGAATGATATAAGCACCCATAACTTACCAGCTGCTCCTACGGCGGAGTTGACCTGCTGCTGAGCGGATTTCAACACTGCAGCTGATACCGGCGGCGGACTTCCCACACTGCCTGCCATGATCTGGCCAGCCTGCAGGCCGTGTACTATGGGATTGGGCTTTCCAGGCGGCGGCGAGGGATTCAACTGATGCTGCTGTGGCTGCAGATGTGCTGGTAGTTTCTGCTGCAGAAGCATTCCAGGATGGGTGGGCAACATCATGCCGTGAGGAGGTAGTTGCACCTGAGCTCCCTTCTGCTGGTTGGTTTGCTTGTACAGGTGCTGTTATTGCTGCTGCTGAATGGATGCCAATGAAGTGGGTGGCAAGACAGAGGGTGCGTAGCCAAAGTTGGGCTTGCCCAGCTGCATGTGAACTCCTGCTGACGAAGTGGGTGGCGGCTGCTGCTGCTGTTGTTGCGGCTGAGCCACGACTGAAGCCTTGGAGCTCACCACATGCAGTATCTGTGGTGTCACAGCTGAGGTCGTTTGCTTGATCACCAATGTTTGTGGCTGCTGCTGCTGCTGGGGACTAACGGTGGCTCCTGGTCCCAGCTGTTGCTGGTGGCCAGGAATCCTTGGCGAGTGCGGCGAGTGAGCTGGCCGATGATCTTGCTGCCGTAGGACTTGAGGTGCAGGTTCTGCTTGTGCAGCTGAACGCGCACGCGAAATATCTCGTCGGCTGTGATCGAGTTCAGGTGGAAGATGGCCACCAGCCGGGAGTGGTCCAGCCAGTTGCGCACCTCGCGTGCGATGATCTCGTTGTACGGGTTCTCCAGCTGCTGCTGCTGCTGCGTGCGCTCCGCTCGAGTCCGGAAGCAGCTCTTGGCCTTTGGTGGCTCCGGATACTTTGGATGGGTGACTGCGATGACGCGGGCTCGCTCGTAGTGCGGCTCCTTGGGCCGCTGAATGTTGATCTTGCCCCTGAAGCGGAGGAACTGCAGAGCCGGAGTGCTGGTTTTGGCCAGCGGAAGACCTGGAATTCATTCAGTAATCCGCATATCAGGTAAACATTTAAACACATGTACTTAGTTACACAACAAATTCACCGGGGTCAGGTTAAACGCATGAAACGCATAAATGAAAAGCGGCACAACTTACTCTTCTGTATGAGGGTCGCCATCCTGTAATGCTGCTACAATATAACCGTATTCCTACTAAAACTAGTTAATTCATAAATAATTATTTATTTAACAACAATTGGAGCAAACGAAGTTTACTCTGTACTATCGATGTATAGCGTTGCCACCCGGCAGTTAATAGCGTGTTCAGACTGAGTGGTATTTCTGGTTTTCTATAGCGGATTTTGATTTAACTTTCCTCGTAATCGTAATTTGCACAAATCAAGGCCGACAGCTAAATGACTGAACAGCTAACAGCCTAAACTAACGATCCCCATCACTTTTGGAAAAATTAAATTTTTCACCAATTTTCACATTTTTGATAAGGGGTACCATCATGATTTTTTTTACAAAAATTGGCGAAAATTAAAATGTCCAGATTTGAACGCAAATCGATTCAGAATTAAACAACGAATTCAACAAGGTATGACATTCCATAATTGGACGAATATTTCCTATGTTTTGGCAAAAAAACTGATATTTTAGGGTAAAGAAAAGGGATTTAAATTTTAGGCAAAAACAACTTTTCCTTCAGTTTTTCAGTCGTTGAATTAAAATTGTTTCAGTCAAAAAGTTGATTTTTTTCGTTGAATAGATTTGAATTTAACGGCAAATATTGCCAGACTGTTTTGTCTCCTTTCATAGCGGAGACACCCACCGTAGCGGATACACATGTTTTAGGGTTACCGTTTATGTAATACAGATTATCGTTATATCTGTGACACGATCACAAGAACTTCGCGGTTGCCCATCTCTATGTAGCGGTTGTTTTCCAGTGGCAGCCATCTTGAAAAATGCAGTTTTGTGAGTAAGCTCAGATTTGGCAATTAATAAATTTAATCGGAAAATACGCAGGAATCTGATAAAATCCAAGCACAGAAGTGTCCACCGAGACAAGCGGCGTGTGATCCCGATCACCGGCGATAGGAATTTCCCGAGATCCAACCGTTTAGAGCTTTCGATTCGTCCAATTTTGCAAGGGGTGCCAGTTTCGTCTGCCGATTCAAGGAGCACGTGGACACCAAGGAAGCTGTTAAAATCCCAGCACAGAAGTGCCCAAGGAGACAAGCAGCAATCCCGATCACCAGCGATAGGAGTTTACCGAGATCCATTCGATCGATTCGGCCAATTTTGCAAGGGGTGCCAGTTTCGTCCGCCGATTCAAGGAGGAGCACGTGGACACCAAGAGCTCCTGCTCAATGCTCGAACTGGTGCGCCGCAAGCTTAGTCACACGCCCGCTTTCCCAACATGTTCCTGATTCCTTGTAAGTGTTCCCCTCTACCCAACTCCTTAAGAGCCATCTAATCATGAGATCATATTCCCCAATAGGTAAGGGAGTGATGCAGCAGATCGTGCTGCTGGTAGAACAGCGGCTAAACAGAGATCTCATCCCCGACCCGGACAACGACTGTCAACTGCAGCAAGAACGAGACGCCTATGCGCTAGCGTTTGGAAAAGGAGTCACTTGCAGATCTTTGAGATCGGAACAGAGGTACTGCATCATCGTCTGATCTGCGAGCAGCAGGAGCGAGCTCGCATGTACCGTCTGATCACCTAGGGCAGCACACCCGACTCCAAAAAAGAATGTGCCACACTGGTCAAAACTGCCGCACGCCGGAAAGCATGTACATAGATGGAGTCGGCCTGTTAAAAGATCGCGCTGCCGGTAAATAGAGTGTTGGAGTTTTTGCAAAAGCGCGGCCAGACAACGAGAGCTTCCGCCGGCGGCAGGAGGAGTAGTGCGCCAACCAGAAGGCGGAGCTGAAGAAGTGCACTATTCAGCGCAAAGCAAAGTTTAATGTTTATCATGGCCCACGGCAGCCTGCAAAGAGTGGTCGGGAGCATGATAGCGGTGGATAATAAGAAGATTCAGATCATTGTCTCTTTGAAAAGTAATGTTTCCAAATTGCAATTGAAATATTTTAATTTTATTCGCAATGGCTCTTTTTGAACACATATTTTTTTTAATTTTCACAATTGTTCGTTTTTTGGAAAAATAAATTTTAAATTTCCGTTAGATCAGCAACGTTGTTCTCCGCCACTTGGTTGGATTTCTGGATTTCAGATACCAGGCGCACAGAAAAAACAGCAGGTGGATACATACTAATTTTTCGCTCTCACTAGAGATGTGTTGCCATAAGGAATACAAGGGATTCCATTGCCTATCGATCAGTCGCCCATCCCTAATTGCTCTCTGCTTTCAACTAACGGTTGTCTTCCAGTGAGCTCGACTGTGATTGGTCGATGGGGGAGGGGAAACATGCGAAGGGTAGCCATCTTGAAAAAAGAACCGTTATGTGAGAGAAGTCACAAAAATCAGCAGCGACCTACTACTTTTCTGCTGATTCTGTTCGCCTGGTGTAAAAAATCAGAAAATTTGTCTTGAAACGCACAAGTCGAAGATTACGGTAAATCTGGGGCCGAGTTGTGGCCAATTTGGTCCGCCAGATCGGACAATTCTCTCGAATTTCTAGATTTGAGGTACCAGGCGAACAGAATTAATAGTAGGTCGCTGCAGGTAATAGTGAACTCCTGTGACGTCATTATGCAAGTATGCTCCTATTGGTCAATGGCTTGGCCGCCATCTTGAAAAAGAACCGTTATGTGAGCGAAGTCGGAAATATCAGCAGCGACCTACTACTTTTCTGCTGATTCTGTTCGCCTGGTGTAAAAAATCAGAAAATTTGTCTTGAAACGCACAAGTCGAAGATTACGGTAAATCTGGGGCCGAGTTGTGGCCAATTTGGTCCGCCAGATCGGACAATTCTCTCGAATTTCTAGATTTGAGGTACCAGGCGAACAGAATTAATAGTAGGTCGCTGCAGGTAATAGTGAACTCCTGTGACGTCATTATGCAAGTATGCTCCTATTGGTCAATGGCTTGGCAGCCATCTTGAAAAAGAACCGTTATGTGAGCGAAGTCGGAAATATCAGCAGCGACCTACTGCCGATTATGAGCGCCTGGTGTCAGAAATCAAGAATTTAGCTCTGAAACCGCCAAGGTGAAGATTACGGTAAATTGTGATCAATTTGTGGCACATTTCGACCGAGATGCGGCACATTTGGCCAGTCAAATCGAGAGATTTGCAGATTGAAAGTACCAGGCGAACATAAATTGCAGCAGGTGGCTGCCCAATCTGAAAATCCTGTTGCGCCCTGATGCAGGCAATGGAAAATTCTTTTTCGGCTGCCCAAAAGTATGCTACAAAATGACTGCATAGGTATAGAATTTATTTAATTACAGTTATAACATTAACATCTATATATATAATGTATATATGTATGTATAAGTTGCATTTCGCTATGGGGTTCGATTTTGTTTTCCGGGCCAAGAAACCTATAGAATGTGGAAGGGCGAAAATAAAAACAAAACCAAGTGTAAGAAATAAGTGTAATTTAATCGGTTTCTTCAATGTAACTTAGAAAATAACTAAAAAGTCTCTTAAATCATACAACTTATACATTAACATATGTTTAACAGCGCTTCATCTGTTTCAACTTGAAAAATGTGTTCTCTTTACTTGCTGCTTTCTTCGCTTTTACTTTTCTTTTTATCGATTTCTGTTCCTGGGTGACCAATTGCAGATCTGATCTCTCTTATTTTCGTATAGTTAATTGTGTTATATAATGTACAGTTTGTTTCTCTTTAGTTTAGTTTTAAAACATACAACTAAATACGCGCTAAACACTAATTAAACTGTATTTACATTTCATACTTGTTAGAGTCTAAATAATTTAAATATTTTACAGTTGTGTTTTGTTTTCTTTTCTTTTACTCGTGTTTTTCTTTTTCATATTTTTCTGTCGGTCACATAATTTACAAGTCGTGTGAAAACTTACGTTTAAATTTAAGGAGTGTTCAGAGAGGGTACTATATAGGTTATTGTATCATAATGTGAGGGGTATGTTTATGTGTTAATGTTCTTGTGGGGTGTCAGCATAATGGTATAGAGGCCCTGAAACTACCCAACATTGTACAAAGTTTCGCGCACAAAAACTAAAAAGTGGGAGGAGATCGGAACGCCTATGTTTAGATTTAGACCAGTGATTCATAGATTTAGTTTTGTGGCAGTGATGGTGGTGGTAAGTAAAAAATAAAATAGAAACAGAAGGTAGGAAACAACAAACAAAATTACCAACAGCGTCGATTCGGGAACTCTATCGGATTTCTAAGAGAATATAAGAAACTCTGCTGCAGAGCGAAAGTAACAACACGAAACGAGACGTGTCTAAACTTTAAAGTATTTGGCTTAACATATTGATTATAATTAAATACGCGTCTAGATAATGTAATGTAATGCATAATGTATGTGTGTGTGTATGCTATCGTAGGAAAAGCCTCTGGGCGCATCTCTAAACCTAATTGTGCTTAACAGCATGGGCGACAGACCTGACCCATCTGAAGTTCTTTGGGTCTATGTCAGGCCCCGTATACTAGTTTAATAGGCAGGCATTCCATAGAGCCAAGGAACCGATCTGTCTAAAATAAAACGGTTGGTTGTGTTCGGGGCGGAAACTTTGTATAACGCGGAGCAGTAACTTTCCTATCGAAGCAGTCGAAAGTTATAGACCAATCAAAACTTAATCGTGTTAGGGATAGGATCGGATATTAATATTATGTTTGGGTAGTAGTATGCATAGTACAGTAAACAGTTAATATGTTGTAAGCTTTCTTTAACATTTCTTTCAATTTGCATGTGTAGGTTTTCGTGTTTTACGTGTTTCTTTCATTTTAAATAAAGCAAAAATAAAACTTTCTTTCTTGAGATCAAACTTAACGATACTTTGCAAGCTTTTTGTTAATGATTTTAAATTAGGTAGAGTTAAATAATTAATTTAGACAAATATTTATCGATTTGCTTCAGCTTTCAAAGTGTCGGGATTTGAAGGGATTTTTTTCGCTTTGTTTGAGTCTCTTGCGGATCTCTTTCCGTCCAGATGTGATCTTGGCCTCAATGTTCTTCTGCTTCTCTTGCATTTGTTTATTCAATAAAGTTTGCATGTTTCTGCTTGTTTAAGTTCTTTTTGTATCGTTTTGCTTTGCTTTTTTAAACTTTTGCTTGTTTAATCGCTATTTAAAATTACTTAAAATACTAGAAGAGCGTAACTTGTTTTTGTTGGTTTCTTTCTTTCTGGTTTAATTCTTGTAGTTCTTGTAGTATTTGCCTGTGGGGTGGACATCCGGTGATATTTTTATTTTCTTCATCCGTTTGTTTTGTTTCCATCGGTTAGTGGCCTGCTGTTCTGTGATTTAGACAGTGGCAATGACAATCAGGAGATGTGCCAACTCGGCCACGCGATTCTTGAGATCCGGAGCAGCACGCTCGAGGTTCTCGTTAGCGAAATCGCATGCCGGGAAGATGTGCACCACGTAGGCCGCCTGCTCGCTGCCCGGAATGGGTATGTTCACAATGCCGGCGGCCATTTTCTGTTGCAGGTAGGTGATGAATCCGGTCTGGAGGTTCCTTGAATGCTGCAGCACATCGGCGTGATCTCTTCCGCAGGGCAAAGCCAAAAGCATGCAATGCTCCTTGTCAACCTGGCAATTTAAAGGGGATTATGTTATTGTTGTCCAGAATGTTGAAACAATGTAGTACCAGCTACATCGGTTGTCTCTACATACCTGCATCTTTTTGGCGACTCCTTCCAGCTGTGTTTGCTCCAGTCGCATCCGCTGTGCAATTCTCAGCAGCGGCGTGTTGGTCTCCACCAAGCTGGGAAGTGACGCTCTAGCCACATTCGGGTTTCCATGCACAAAGTGCATTTGCACAGCGGCCTGGTCGGTTTTCAGGGCCAGCAAACCCTGCCACATCACTGGGTAGCGTTGCAGGAGAGTAACCAGCGAGTCACCCGGTGGTGGAGCCATCGCCGGTGGAGCTTGCTGGGGGGCCAGTTCCATGCCAGCGTGCAGAGAAGGTGGTAGATGCTCCTGCTGTTGCTTGACTGCGGTTGCGAGGGTAAAATCTTCGTTAGCTGGGATTGCCTTATACTGACCAAAGGACAGTTGACACTCACCGGCAGCTGCGATCATAGACATGTGGTCCAGATCGTGCATTTCCTGCATTTCCATTGGCTTGCCTGGATGAAGGTGGCTTCCCGGCTGCACGCTGCCATCGCGTCCAATAAACGGACTTCCGGCGGAGACTGCTGGCATTTGTGGTGGCACCACCACGCTAATGGATGCAGTTGGTCGATGGGCCGGCGGTGGCTCCAGCTGTAGGCCACCACTCTCGTACAAGCCTCTCGAAGCTATTTCGCTGAAGTGAGCCGGTGGAATGCGGGCATTGTGTACATAAACCTGCGCCATTTGCGGCGAGTCTGTAAATAAAAAAAGGGGATTATTGGTAATTGGGACTATGGATATAACAAGGCTTAAAGCTCTCAACACTTACCAGCTGCGGTGCGATCCTGCGGACTCTGCAAACTGTGAGGCACTGCAATGGTCCTTGGAGGTCCACTGCCAGGGCGTCGTAGCTCCAGAGGCGGACTGTTGCTCATCTTGTCATCGTAGTCGCCACCTCGCATCAAGTGATGCTGGTAGAGCATGAAATCCCTGGAAGCAGCCACTCCTCGATAGGTTGAATCGTTCTAGAAATGACACATGAAAGAGAATTTATTGATTATCTATTCTTTTACTTGTCTTAATGGTTTTTATATGGCTGCACAAGGGGATAAATTTGGTTACGCTACTTGGAAGCTCCGCAAGTAAAACTTGTGCATTACCGGTGTTATGGGCGATGCCTGCTGATGAGCTGGAGGCGGACTCTGGGTTCGCCGTCCACTGACGTAAGCGCCCAGGTCATGCTGCATCCACAGTTAGCAATTTTGATAGTAAAATTAGTTTAAAGTTAGTATGGTTTTTTTCTTGAGAATTTAGAGGTAATTTAAAAATACCAAAAGATATCAAATTATACTTAAAAATACAAGCAGTTGGTTCAAATTAACATAAATCTATACAAATATTTATTACTCACCAAGCCAGCGTCGAAAGGCGGCACTCCGGCCATTCCAGGCGGTAGAACCAGTGGCGATACCCTCGGCTGGCCTTGCGGACTGATGTTCGGAATCGCTGTGCGCAGCCCTGTAAAGAATTGAAGTTAGATAGGGTCTTGCCGAATGATATAGGCTGTATAACTTACCAGCTGCTCCTACGGCGGAGTTGACCTGCTGCTGAGCGGATTTCAGCACTGCAGCTGATACCGGCGGCGGACTTCCCACACTGCCTGCCATGATTTGGCCAGCCTGCAGGCCGTGCACTATGGGATTGGGCTTTCCAGGCGGAGGCGAGGGATTCAACTGATGCTGCTGTGGCTGCAGATGTGCTGGTAGTTTCTGCTGCAGAAGCATTCCAGGATGGGTGGGCAACATCATGCCGTGAGGAGGTAGTTGCACCTGAGCTGCCTTCTGCTGGTTGGTTTGCTTGTACAGATGCTGCTGTTGCTGCTGCGGAATGGATGCCGACGAAGTGGGTGGCAAGACAGAGGGTGCGTAGCCAAAGTTGGGCTTGCCCAGCTGCATGTGAACTCCTGCTGACGAAGTGGGTGGCGGCTGCTGCTGCTGTTGTTGCGGCTGCGCCACCACTGAAGCCTTGGAGCTCACCACATGCAGTATCTGTGGTGTCGCAGCTGAAGTCGTTTGCTTGATCACCAACGTTTGTGGCTGCTGCTGCTGCTGGGGACTGACGGTAGCTCCTGGTCCCAACTGTTGCTGGTGGCCAGGAATTCTGGGTGAGTGCGGCGAGTGTGCTGTTGGTGGCGGCACATTGACCAGAAGATGTTGCTGCTGCTGCAGGTGACGTGCAATGATCTGGGGCTGCAACAGTTGCTGATTTCCTGCGTTGTCTGTGAGCAACATGTGGCCAGAATGTGGCTGCTGCGGGGGTTGAGCTACTGGCTGCTTGGTGGGCGTCAATTGCTGCTGCAGATTCTTTTCCCTATTCAGCACGTGAGCCTTGAGTGGTTGAGGTGGCCGCACATTGCTGTGCTGCGCATGCTGCACCACCGTAGGAAGCGGATTCTGCTGCAGTACAATGGGTTGTTTTGGCGGAGCCACCATCTGTGGTAGTTGCTGCTGCTGCTGAATCACCGGTGGAGTGGGGTTTCCTTTCACCAGAACACTCACTGGCTTGTTGAGCAGGGCCGCTGCTGCGGCGGACTCAAGCTGCACGGATTTTCCCAAAGCGGTAATCGGTGTTGGAGCACCAGAAGCAATCACAGTGGTACTAATTTGTTTGTGTGGTGCTTGCTGCGGAAGTGGCTGCTGCTGCTGCTGCGAGGGATGAGGCGGTGGACCGGCTTCATTGCTGCTGTTGGCAGGAGCAGCGGCGGTGGCTGCTGGAAGATTGCCCTCCTTGCCCTGGGGCATTCCTGCGGTGATTACTCCCGTGACGGGATCAACTAGAGCCTTGCTGACCGCATCCGCTGCCCCGCCAGTGATCTTCTGTGTAGCAGGAGCTGCTGTTTGATGCATCGGCAATCCGCCGCTGGGAATGGATGAGTTGATGGCCTGATAGGACTCAATCTCCGCTGCCGCGATCGCTTTCTTTTTGGGATGTTGCGGCATTGTCGGCTTGGGCGGAACCATGACGGGCACGGGAACGGGAGCGGTAACGGGAACCGATACAGCCACTGGACTACGAGTAGGAATGGGTGCGACTGGAATGGGTATAGGTTCCACTTCCTTACTATCCAACTGCGGCATATGAGGTTGCACGTTAACGGCCTCAGGAGCGGCAGTGGTTGGATTTGCCGCGATCGGCTCATCCGTCAAGCTTGCTGTCGGCTCACCAATAGTCTTCCTGTCCTTTGAACGTCTTGGGCGTCCAACTGCGTTGGCGGGTTGCACAGCATCCGTCTTCTTTGCCTGCGCATTTCTGCCAGAACGGCGTGGTGGAGTTTGGGCGCCTTTCGGCAACTGTTGTCCCGCTCCAGTTGGAGTGTTCGTATTTCGCACGACATCCTCGATTATGTCGTCCACGGTGCTACGATCCTCCTTCTCCTGCAGTCGGCGTGATTTGCGTGTATTACTCGACTCGGAGTTGTCTCCGCCGATTGGATCACTTTGTGATACAACCTCCGGCTGCTGTTGTTGTGGCATAGGTTGCTCCGCTTCGGCACTGTTCTTAATTGAAGGTTGCGTCTTGTTGATGGTGAGAATGAGTCGTGGTCGCTGATCTTCTGCTGGTGGCGCAACCGTAGAATTGGCTTTGCCCTTGGGCTCTTCGCCGGCGTCTTCGTGGAACTCGTAGATATCCTGACTGGTTCCCACTTGACTGGCGACCTGTTGCTGAGCTTGCGCCTGAGTCAAGGCTTGGTTTCTGGCCTTCTTCTCTGCAGCTGTGAGCACGGGACTGGGAGGAATAGGAACGGCTGGCGGTGCAACCGCAGGCGTGGTTGTTGCGACCATTTCCATTGCCTTTCGCTGCAAATCGAGCTGCTGCTGCTGAAGTTGCTGCTGCTGCAAGAGCAGATTCCTCGGAGGACGACCTTTTCTGCCTCTGGTCACAGGAGCTGTAGCAGGTTTCCTCAGCCTGGTTTGCACTCCGTTGTCACCTGGCTGCAACACCAATCCCGAATCCGCTCCTGGGGCCGTAGCTGTTGCCGAGTTAAGCGGGAATCCTCCCACCTTTTTGGCTCCTCTCGGTTGGCGACCTCGCTTGGCGCTGCCTCCCCTTCCCGGGGGTCGGCCAACAGTGGGCATGGCAGGCTTTGCTGGCGGCAATTGCCTGGTCTCCGTCTCATCCTCTGTGTCGTGATCGTTGGAGCTGTTGGCACTCACAGAAGGAGTCGGAAGGGGCGGCTCCTCGTGATCCACAGGCTGCGGATTCGGAACAGGAGCCGGTCCCATTGCCTGCATCTCAACTGGTCGCTTGTCCTCTTTAGCCGCCAACGGAGTATCTAGTTTCTTTATCACACTGTCAATGTTCACCTCCTTGGCTGACCAGTAATCGCTGTCCACCTCCTTGGAATCCTGTTCGATCAGCTCATCCTGCTTCGGCTGCGAGATCTTGATCAGATTCTCCTCCGTCAGCAGGGAGGCTCCGGTCTTCGGTGAGATTACTGCCGAGCTGGTAGTTGGAGTGGGTGTACGAATTACCGACACACTTTCCGATGTCTTCAGGGCTGCCACAGCCGGTGATGGTTCTGCATGAGCAGCGGCTGGATTCTCCTTGCTCTGGTTTGGAGCATAGTGAATGGCATTCGCTGAAGTCGATTGTGGAGCAACTTGATTTGGTGGCGGTACAATATGTTGTTGCACAATCAACTTTGGTGTATTCTGGATCACGTTGTGTGGCGTTTGAAGAGGAAGATTTCCTCCTGGCGAAGACAGCGGCTTCTGATGATGGTGTACTGGCACTGGCGGCAGTTGTTGGTGTGGCTGCTGCGACTGCTGTTGGTGAGTCTGTGCCTGGGGTCCAACTCTTGTCAATATTGCTGCAGGCTGCGGCCCTTGAGGGACTGCAACCGGAACCGGAACCAAAGTATTCGGCTTGCAGGGTGGACTGTGCGGCAGTTGTTGCGGATGTTGCTGCTGAGGCGGCACACCTCGTGGTGGAAGCTGCGTATGATGTTGTTGCGATGGAAACATCGGCGAAGGAGCTCCCAAGTGGCCTGGGCCCTGAGGCGACTGCTGTTGCTGCTGCTGGGGAGTATGGATCTGTTGTTGTAGCTTTTGTATTTGCTGCAGCTGCTGTTGTTGGGCCTGATGTTGCTGGTTCAATTGCTGCTGCTGTTGGGCCTGATGTTGTTGGTTGAACTGCTGCTGAGCTTGATGCTGTTTCTGAGCCTGATGTTGTTGTTGAGCGTGATGTTGTTGGTTTAACTGCTGCTGGTTTTGATGCTGCTGTTGTGTTTGATGTTGCTGCTGAGCTTGGTGTTGCTGCTGAGCTTGATGGTGCTGCTGAGCCTGATGCTGTTGCTGCTGCTGCATTTGGTGTTGCTGAGCTGTCGTCAATTGTTGCGCCTGGCCATGAAGTTGTTGCTGTTGCATGTGCTGCTGCTGCTGCTGTTGTCGCTGTATCATCTGCTGGTGCATAAACTGTTGCATGTGCTGCTGGTGCTGATGCTGCTGGTGCGCCGTCATCTTGGCCATCATCTGCGGCGAATGCTGCTGTTGCTGCTGCTGCTGCTGGGCCTGATGGTGTTGCTGCTGGGCATTCACATGAAGGTTCTTGTGCGGCGGCAGGCTGCCCAAGGGTGGTGAACTGGCCACCTGGGATTGAGTGGCCTGTTGCGGCTGCACGGTCACCACTTTGCTAATGATCGTCGGATGATGGGGCACTGGCATAGCTGGCATTTTCTGCAGGGGAATGGCCATCAACTGCGGTGAATTCTGCACCTCAATCACAGATTTCGACGAAGGTTGCTGGGGCACCTGCTGTGGTTGTTGTTGTTGATGCTGGCTTCTGGGCTGGTAAGTGTTCGCCTTGTTGCTGCTAGGCGAATTGTTGGCGGCCAACACTCGAGTTGTGGGACTGGCCAACGGACTTATGTTGCTACCCTGAGGGCTGGTTATCAGCTGTGCCTGCTGAACCTGTTGCTGCGTTGCCGGTGGGTTTACCACAGGTCGCCCAACAGGACTTAGCTGACCCACCAGGCGGTTTTGGGCTCCACCGCGTCCTGGCGAAAGAAGCGGACTGTGTGGAGAGGGAGCCCGAATGCCAACCATGTACGTTCCAGCTTGCTGGGGATGATGCGGCTGCTGTTGCTGCTGATGTGGAGATAGCACCATTTGGGGCACCACAAAGTGGGCAGGCTGCTCTGGTATGTATATCGTTGGTGGCTGCATAATCAGGGATTGCGTTCGCAATGTTTGGTGTGGCGTTGGCGGAGCCTGCTTGGGAGTCGAAGCTTGAGGCATAATATTCTGACTTGGAGTTGGACTTCCAAATGAGATGGACGCAGAAGCTGAAGCTGTTGTAGACGCTGTGCTGGAGTTGGAGCAATTGCTCATCACATTGGACAGATCCAGGTTAATGACGGGTGTTGGATTAACTCCGCTTGCTCCCACGGGATGTGGAGCAGGTAAGACTGTCTGCACAGGCTGCACCAACGGCTGTTGGAGTTTACTGATGGTTGGCGGTTCAATCTTAGCAGGGGAAGAGGCTACCACTGCGTCACTTACAGGTGCCGTCTTCTGTGGCTCCAAGGATGGCAACTTTGTTATCACAGAAAGTTGCGGTGCGGCTTCCTTGCTGGGCTTGGGTTTCGATTCTTCCTGAGGCAATTCCACCTTTGGCGCTTCCCTCACAGAAGAGCTGCTGTTGCTGATGGACTTATCCGGCGACGAGGAGCTCTGGACAGTTTCATCGATCTTAAGACTGGGTCCACTGCTATCCGCCTCGTCGGGATTCTCCTCTGTGTCCGTATCAATCTGCAGATCCCTCTCCGATTGCGGAGTATCAGCCTTGATGTCCATCATATCCTCGTGCCTCAAACTTTGCACCGCCTTGTTGAGTTCGTCGGGATCACCGAGAGCAGGTTCCAGTTCAGCTTCGGGTTCTGGTTCAGGTTCGGGCTCTGGTTCCGGTTCTGGCTCCGGCTCGGGCTCCAGTTCGGGTTCCTCCAGGATGGCTGCCGGCTCTCCAGCTGCCTCGATGGCCTTGGCGGCCAGAGCTGCCTCTTCGTCGGGTTCTGCCACCACTAGAGCTGGGGTTTCTATCTCACTTACCGAGGTCATTTCATCCATGCCATCGAGCGAGTAATCCGCCGTGGAGGAAGTGCCAAAACTTTCACCCAAAAGAGCGGACACGGCACTCTCCGTCTCCTCCTGCGAGATGGTCACACGCGACTTGCTGTCCTCCAGCTTATCCAAGGGCTTGGTCGCACCTGGAGGCGATGCCACCGGAATTTTAGGCTCATCTGCCATATTTTCCAGCAAGGATGATGAATTGAACTCTGCCGAAATAGATTGAACGGCCGATTCGCTAATCCTATCATCCAGCTGGCCATCGAAGCCGGGTATGAAGTTATCCTTCTTCTTGTTTTGGCCAGAGGCACTGGTCGGCGAGCTTTCCAATCCTGCCGCTGCAGTTACTGCGGCACTGGCTCCGGCTGCGGTGGAGGATGTGGGCGTGGTGGCCAAGGCAGAAGAGGAATTCACTCCGGTTCCACTGCTCACCGGGGTCTCTGCAGACTGAGTGGACAGCATGGAACTGTTGGCGATGGTTGGAGTTTTGGGTATGGGACTGATGAGACGAGGCTTCTCGCGCGAAGGAGTGAGGCTATCGCTTCCGCGGCTCACGGGGGTCGTGGGTTTCGCCTTCGGGGTGAGCAGTACATCGTCGTCATCGTCGCCTATTAGGCAGGGTAAACTAGGAGATGGCTTGCACATTGGTGGCGATGAAACGTGCTTGGCATCCAGCTGCTCCTCTGCATGCTTGCTAGCAGCTTGAACGTTGACAGTCAGTTTTCCAGGAGTCGGAGGAGCGGACGAAGTGGGTGCCGCATTTGGCAAGGATTCCCTGCGCTGCTGCTGCAGCATCTTCTCCTGCTTCTCCTCCTTGGACCGCTTCTTTTTCTTCTTCTTGTCCTTGCTCTTATGCTGCTCTTGCTGCTCCGGTTTGGCGCCCTGCTTAATCATCTCCACCGAGTGGTTGTCTTCGTTGTCCGAGAACCGGAACACATCTGCCATATCGGATCTGTAGGTGGCGGCTGTGGAGGGAGTGGCTTCCTCTGGAATTGGCTTGCTGTCAAAGTCAATCATTAGCTGAGCCTCGAGAGCTCTTCCTGCTTCATCCATGTCCACGCTGTTGTCATCATCCACTTTGGTCTCAGCCTTAGAGGTTTGCTGTTGTGCCTGATGTTGCTGTTCTCGCTGAGATTTCTCGCGCCGCTTCTTCTCGCGCTTCTCCTTCCGATGTCGCTCCCTATCCGCATGGGAGGATGAACTGCTGCCGCCCGTCTGGCGACTTCTTTCCTGTGGCTGCTGCTGCTCATCCTCCGGCACGGGCAGTTGATTTAGCACTTCTTGGTTTTTGCTGTTGGGTGTGGTAGGTTCCTGTTTGTACGTTTGCAGAGCAGCCGAGACAATTGGACCAGTGGTTGACACACAACTGGCTATGGTGTCCTTGTTGCTCTCTGCTTGTTCGGGGAACTGCGATTCATCCTCATCCGAAATGATGCCAAAGATGAACTCCATTTTATCCTCTCCCCTCTTGGAAGGCTGCGACATCACAGGAGCCGAAGTGGGCGTGGCAGGCATGGGCGAAGCACTAGGATGGACTCCTCCTGAGTTGTATATTTTCGTGGAGGAGGAGGTATCCAGGCTCTTCGATTTCTTGGACTTCTTCAGACGATGGCGTTCTTCCTTCGACAGTTTTTCTGTAACTGCATCGTTGGTGGTAGGCGAATTGGCCACAGTGGTGCTGCTATTGGTCTCCGTCATATTCCTCATCTTTTCGCGTTTCTTTTCCTTTCTCTCCTTGTGCTTTCTCCTCTCACTGGCCGAAATCTCTAGCGGCAGAGAAGCACTCTCGGTTTTAAGGTCATCAAAACTATCGAACTTGGCTTTGCACTCGGTTGAAGAGTGAACATCAAAGATGGAGGGCGTCGATGGAGTCACCAGCAGAGGAGTCGGAGGAGCCGATGTCTCCGCTGTGGATGCGGACTTCAGGCGCCGCTTGCTCTTCTTGTGTTTTTTGCGAGTTTCTGGTGAGTAATCCTTGGGCTTCCCAGAATCAGAGTAAGTGTAGGCAGCTGAATTGTAGAAATCCCCAATCTCCTTCTTGATCTCCCTTTCCGTCTTCACCTTGCGCTCCTCCATCGAGGAGTTGGAGTCATGACGGGACTTGAACTTCTGTTCGCTGTCGGAGAGCTGCTCCCGCTTGATTTCGTGGACGGGAGCAGCGGGCTGTTCTTGCTTGATCGCCAAATCAGGAGGCGGTAGGGATTGCGACTCCGAATCGGATGCAATCCGTGTGGAGTGTGAGTTTCTCTTGCCCAGGTGACTGTGCTTCATCACATTCCTTCTGATCTCATCCTCGGAGCTGTCGTCGCCATCGCAAAGTCTCCGTAGGTTCTGCTGCATCTGACGCAGCCTTTTATCCGACAGGGCGCTTGCATCCTGCCGTTCCTGATCGCCAGGCTCTGCATCCGAATCGGAGGAAATTCGCCGCTGGTGGCACTCCTCATCGTCATCATCGTCGCTGCTGGACAGACCAGGATAACGACCATGGAAACTGCTGCTGCCACTATTACGATGGTGACGATCCTCAAACTCTGTGTCAGAGTCCCCGTCATAGCTGGTGGAACGCTTCTTTTTGGCACGAGATTGCTTGAGCTGAGAGAATTTCGCCTTGATCTTTTTCTCCTCCGCCTGGCGTTGCATATTCTTGCAGCTCCTGGCCTTTACTTTGTCGTACATTGAGACATTGGGACAATCGTCCGGAATGTCGAAGATGGAGTGCTTCTTGGAAGCATCATCTGTGTCGTCAGAGTCTGCGGAGCTCAACATCATCAGTTTGGCGCGAAGCGATTTCGAAGAGGAGTGATGGCCTTCATCGGATCCCCTCGATGATTTCCGCTCCGCACTGCGTCTGTGGTGGTGATGATGGGGCTTTCCACTCGAGGTATTGGTGGCTGCTGAGCTGAGTTCTCCAGCGGATCCACTTCCCGCCGCAGAGATTCTCCTGTGAGGATTGTGCTGCTGGGGCGTATGTTCTTCATCTGTGTTTGTGGATTCCGCCACCGAATGCCTCTTCTTCTCGCGATGGTGATGATGCTCTCTTTTGCTCTTATGCCTGGAGGATGAGCTACTGCCGTGATGGTGACTACTGGAGTGCTCCCTCTCCTTCTCCCTTTTGGGCTGAGGATGCTGCTCCTCCTCACTCGTATTTAACTGCTGTTTGCTTTGGGAAGAAGGATCCACCGCCATTTCAATGGAGGGATTCGTTTCAATCGAGCTGACACTGCTCTTCTGGTGGTGCTTATCCCGGCGTTGATGCTTCGAGGATGAAGAGGAACTCCCTCCGCTGCCATGGGACTTTGAGATGTGAGAGCTACTGGTTTTCTCCTCCTTGGAACTACTGCTCTTGTGCTCCTTGGAGTCCCGGCGGTCGGTCAGCCTCTGATTACTGTTGTGAACCGATGTATTCTGGGAGCCCTCCATTCTTATGCGCTTTACATAGTCCTCATGGTGATTCTGGTGGCTAGATCCTCCACATGCTCCGGCACTGTGGTTGCTTTCTTGCGAACTGAGTCGTCGCTTGTGCAGGCGCACTGGCGAATTTCTGGACAACTTCCGCGAGCGGTCCTTGGAAGCGTTGTCTGAAGGGGTAGATGGAGAAGCACTCGGAGTGCCGGGAGCAGTGGCATCCACGGCGTTCTCCTTGTTGTGTTGACAATCGCTTGGGGCAGTTGAGGAAGCAATATTGTTGTGGGAGTAGAAGCTGCTAGCCTCGACGGTGGCATCCGCCTTGCTCTTGTGGTACGAGGAGAGTTCACGCATCCTGCCCATGCGAGCTTCCTGCTCGGCATCCATGGCGCGCCGAGATTGCTCCTTTTCTCGCTGCTCTCTCTCACGTTGATCGTTCTCGCGGTGGAGCTCCTTTTCCCTTTGCTCCTTCTCGCGCAGCTCCTTTTCCCTCTGCTCTTTTTCTCGCAGCTCCTTCTCTCGTTGCTCCTTTTCACGCAGCTCCTTTTCTCTTTGCTCCTTTTCTTTTTGTTCCCTTTCACGCTGCTCCTTCTCCCTAAGCTCTCGTTCTTCCCTTTCCTTCTTTTCCCGATCCTCTTGGGCCTTTTTCTCGCGCTCCTTCTCCTTTTCTTTCTCCTCCTTGGCCTTTCGCTCCTCTCTGTCTCTCTCCTCCTGCAGAGCCTTGCGCTCCTTTTCCTCTCGCTCGTGCTGCTTCCGCAGATCCTTCTCACGCTTCTCCTTCTCCTGACGCTCCTTTTTCTCCCTTTCGTGGCGCTGGTCCTTCTCGGATTTCTCCGCCGGCTCATCGGGTTCACTGGAGTCGTCTTCAATGCGGGGAGTAGCTGACTTGGAGGACTGCGAAGTGGCCGAGTTCTTCCGCTTATCGGAGGACGAATGGGACGACGAGTTCTTGTCGGACTTTTTGTTCTTCTTGTCGCTCGATTCGGATCGATTGTTGTGCTTGCTGTGAGATTTATCGTGGCTGCTACTGATCTTCCTCGAACTGGAACCAGAGGATTGGGATGACGAGGTGGTACCACTCTTCTTCGGCTGCTCTTCCTCGCTAAAGGTCGGTTGCGGTGGTTTTTGTACAGGTGTCACTGCTGTGGTTGAGGAACTGTTACCGTTGGACGATGATGATGAAGTAGATGTACCAGCAGATGTACCCGCAGATCCTGCTGCTGCTCCGGAGGATGTGCTGTTGGTGGTGCCCACGTTGGTACTTCCTGGCACTGATGCGGATTTCTGAAGCTGAATTCTCGCCGGAGACTGTTGAGGAGCATCTGGCACGCTCAAACTCTTGGTCAGATTGCTTCCAGAAGGCTGACCAGCTGATCTCGGTTGTTTTCCCATTTCTGGAGGAGGTGGAGGCGCTGGCTGCACCGCTGGCGGAGGCGCAGCAGTGTTTGGCAATGGCGGGTGACTGGGAAACGGGTACTGGAGTCCCTTAGTGGGTCCCGAATTGGCAGCTGGTGAGGATGAGGCGGCGGTGGGTGCTCCACTTGCGACTCCCGGTGCTGCAGGTTTGGTTAGCTGTCCAAGGTTTGCGGAGGTGGCTCCTCCCACCGAAGGTGAGGGCGATGGGCTGTTGTAGGGCGACATCGAAGCCTGGGGAGAGTTCATTGGCGACAAACTGCTCAGCCTTTGGAGCAATCCCGCCGTTTTGCTACTCGTCGAGTTGCCCAATCCACCGCCACAGTTTCCAATAATAGGAGTTGTCTTGGTAGCCGCGAGATTGGGCAGCGCTGGTGAGGTGTTCCCACTGCATGAGCCTCCAGGATGTCGGGATACACTAGATACCAATGAAGATCCCACCATAATATTGGAACTGGAACCCATTGCGAAATCGGAGCTGGCTGGGTCATACCACTGGTTTTTGTTCAGCCGCTGGAAGTCGTCGTCAAAGATGCTCTTCTTGGCCAGCACGGATTTGACAATGTCCGAGGGCTGCAGCTCATCAATGTCCAGAAACTTGTGCCGAGAATTGCTGGTGGAGCTGGATACCGTCCCACTTGAACTGTTGCTGTTTCCGGACCCCGAACTCGGTTGATGCGAGTTCAGGCCGCTTCCCAGATTCATGTGCATGGAGAGCTGCCATGATGGCGTGGCACTCGAGGGCGTGTGACTGGAAACATGTTCTCTGCTGTTTCCTCCAGACCACCTCTCGTAGTTCTCCTCGAAGTTCCGAAGTCGTTCATCCAGTGATGGACTTCCTCCTGCATTTTGGCCAGGTACGTCAGAATCGCTGGAATTCGAGCTTAGTGAGCGCGGACGTGCCGGACTGGCCATCAAGCCAGAGTTGGAGGATGTGGATCCATGCAGTTGCTGCGACTGCTGCTGGTGATTATGCTGGTGGTGTTGGTGGTGCGAGGACGATCGCCAATAGCGCGAGGAGGGACTGGGCAGGAATGCTGATCCAGAACAGGAGCCCATTCCCTGACTGGTGTTTAGACTAGAGTTGTTGTTGAGGGAGCATGTCGAGGAGGAGGAGGCTCCTAGGCCTCCCAACCCTCCGGACGACCCTGCCCCCAGTTGCTGCTGCAGGTAGCTGCTTCCCGCTCCGCCTCCACTGCCTCTGGACTGCTGCTGTTGGAAGAAGAGCACACCGAACTTTGGCAGGGGCAGCCACATAACCTCCCTGACCCGCTCCCGCGCTCTTTCTCTGGGCGGAGGCAGGCGGCGTGGCTCTGTGGGCAGGACTTCGGGTCGCTCATCGCACAGCGGTGTTCCAGGGCGAGACCCATCCGCACTCTCTCCCCCGCTGGCCTCGTGTGAGTGATGGGAATGTAGCTGGTGACCTCTGCCCCGCGAGACGTGATGATGGTAATCATCCGCCGGCGCAAGACTACTTATCCCGCCCAAGCCAGGTCCACCAGAATTATTGCTGGTTGACGACGAGCTGGGCTGCTGCATGGTAGTGGTCACTCGTCTCCTCTTCGCAGCCAACGAGGCGTTCAACATGTGCTGCTGATCCATGCTGCTGGCTCCAACAATTCCGTGCCTGAAGGCCGAGGAACTAGAGAGCGCCGACAAAGCTCCCACATCGATGGACGGGCGGCGGCAACTGAGCATCATGGATGGGGGAGCCGACGGCAGGTGGCCGGGGAACTTCATGCTGGGGGAACCACTCGGGGTCTCGGAGACCCTCCGGATTTCGCTCTTGCGGTTGAGGGGATCGTGTATCACATCACAGTTGGACAGGGAAAGAGGGCTGGGCTTGTTGATGCTGCTGTGTTCTCCAGTGGACTCCAGCTAAAAGGGAAGGATGTACAAAAATAATTAGTTTTCATATATCAACAAGAACCGTTTAGATTTTTGATTTCCAACTTTGAGTGTTCTGTATTTCCTTTATACACTGTCTTTTAGATTTAAATATTTTTTGAAAGCACAATTTGTTAAATTAAATTGTTAATAAATCACGTCATTACTCTAATACCATTTTAGTAACCAGCCAATTAAAATGATTTACTTTATAGGTCATTCAATTTAAATCAATTTGAAAACCAGGAACAAGTTCGATCTTAGTTAAACATTTTACTCACCCCACTTGCATTGGAATGATGATGGTGATGGTGGTAATCCATTTTGATTCGCTTACGCGGACTGACCACGCCCTCATCACCACTGGACGGGCATTCCTCGAGTTGTTCTGCCGAATGGAAACGTTGATTGTGCACGGGGTGCAAGTCCTTGGGTGTCTTACCGCAACGTCTCCGGCTGAGGAGGCTGTTGCTGCCAGATCCTGTGAATCCCTCAGCTGCAGCTCCACCAACTTGGCTGTTGTTTAACGTCCCATCGATGGATTCTCCGACGGCTCCAGCAGATCCTTGTCGAGCGATTACTGGGGAATCGGAGCGGACTTCCTCAAACTGCGTGGGATTTCCTGCACCTCCAGCAACCTCCTCTGAGTTGCGAAACCGGAGGCGACCCACCTCGTTGAAGTCACAGTCGACGGTTTGCCGCGCACTTCGAGCCATTCGATGCCTTTGCGCCAGGGCAGCCGGTGACATGGGCATCGAACTGGAGGAGGAGCTGGCCACCGACGGCATGGATGCGGCAGCAGGCACCGTTCCCGAGGAACTACTGCCCACTATGGGAGCTGGCATCGCACTGCTGGCAGTGGCACCGATGTTTGAAGGGATGATGCTGCTGGTGCTTTGGTTAGTTGTACTGCTTCCGCTGGCGCTTCCACTGCCAGCTCCTCCCGGCGTGTTGCTTGGCGAGCAGCCGTCGTTCGAGTTGTTCTGGTGGCGGCTAAAGGAAGACGCGCGAGATCGGGATTGCGACGAGGAGGCGGTCGAGTCGTAGCGACTGAAGCGCGAGGTAGAACCTGGCAGAAATGACATTTTACATTAGTAAGAATGATTATCGTTATAAAATAAATTAATCGTACTCGAACCCTGTTGTTGCTGTTGCTGCTTCTCCTGTTTGTCGTAGAATGCGTCCTGACACTCCCTCGATGCAAAGTCCACCTGCAGCTTTCGGCCCCTCATGATCGTGCCGCGCATATCCTTCACCGCGGCCTGGGCATTCTGAACCTGGTCGTAGAGCACCAAGGCCAACTGCCTGTTCCGATCGATGCTGACCTTGGTCACCGTCCCGAACCGCGTGAACTGCGACTGAAGAAACGACTCGGAGACCTTTTCGCCCACACCATCGATCCAAACGCAGTTGGTGGGCATTGACTTGCCAAAGCCCAGCTTAATGCGGTTGCTGCCCAGGTGCTCGCCGTCCATTTTGCGCATTGCCTTCACCACGGAGACAATGTCCGAATACTGACAGAACGCGTAGGCATTCAGGCCCTGCTTCTTGATATCGATCTCGATGATCTCCCCAAAGCCCTCGAAGTGACCGCGCAGCTCGCCGGCGGTGATGTCCTTCTCGAGGTTCCCGATGAAGAGCGTCCTCGTGGACTTGGGGTGGTACTCATCCAGCTCGGCTTCGTACGGCCGAAACTCGTTGTCCTCGACATCGTAGCCCTGGTACGGTTCCACCTCGATCTTGCAGCCGAAGAAGTGCTTGTCATGGGACACCTCCAGCGCCTTTTCGACGTCGTCCGGCTTCTTGAAGCAAACCAAGGCATAGCGCTCCGAGTTCTGGCCCACCACCTTGACCCACGTGACCTTGCCGTGCTTTTTGTACTCATGGAACAGACCATCCTTGAGGGACGTGTCCGAGGAACGGGCGGGCAGGTTGCGGACACGTATCGCCAGTGGCCGGTTGTCTTCGGAATGCACCACGGGATTGGCCGTTAGGCAGGAGGAGGATCCGCTGGAACTGGAGCTACTGCTCGAGGACGAGCTGGAGCCACAGCCTCCGCCGCCGCCTGCGCTGCTGGCAGTGCCAGCATTGCCACTGGGATTTGAAGAGTTGCCTGTGGAGGTAGGTAAAGTAAATATAAATCCTCCGACTGATACTCGTGGGATCTCCCGATCTATAATACTCACTGGTTACTGCGACCGACTGGAGGGTTCGCCCGCTGCGCCCCTCGGCCATCACACAATTGCCCGCAGACTGGACGGGACTGGACGCGTGCGAGTGGGAGGAGGAGTGCGACGAGGACGAGGAGCTGTGCGAACTGCTGTAGCTGCTCGGCGAGCGCGAGTGCGAGCGACTGGAGGAGGTGGTGCTGCGTCCGTGCAGGTGGTGTCGCGTCCGGATCGGATGCGACGGCAGACCATTGTCCACGGCGGCGGCCAGAGCAGCGGCCACATTTAGAATGTCACCGCTGGCTGAACCGGAACCGGGATTGGAACCCGCTCCCGCTGCTGCTCCCGATCCTAATCCTAGCGATCCCGCAGCTCCGGATGCTATCGTGGGCATCGTAGGAGTTGCCGTGGTTATTGTATTATTTAAACTATTACTACTAAAACTATTGTTTGTGATTGTACTTGTCGTCGTCAGTGGAGTCGCTCCTCCAGCTCCTCCTGGCGACTCCGAACCAGAGCGTGCTCCTCCGCTGCCCGCCGCTCCCGCCCCCTTGAGCAGCTTATTGAGTTTGCTGCTGTGCAGGAGCATCTTGCGCGAGGTGGCGGTGGTCAGCGCGTCATCCGCAGCACTCCCCGCATAGGCCACGCTCCGGTGCACGGCCGTGGTCTGCGATTGGATCTGCACCTGTCCTTGGGCGGGAGACGGACAGGATCCTCCTCCGGCTCCTGCCGCTGGGCTGCTGCTGTAGTGCGGGTGTTGAGGATTCTGAAGATGCGGATGCGAGTGCGGATGCTGGTGCTGCTGATGATGGTGGTTGATCGGTGAGCTGCTCATTGCGAAGCCACCGGCTGCTGAGGCGCCGGCATTGCCACTGCCACCAGGACTTTTTAGTTGGGCCGTCGTTGCAGCAGCGGCGGCTTCGTACCATGACTGTGGTGGTGCCACCCGCGCGCTCTGCTGGTTCTGGTGGATATTGTGGCTGCTGCTCCTGTCGCCCAGCGCCTGCGGCACTCCTCCAGCTCCTGACCCCGACCCTACCAGTCCTCCAGCTCCCCCCGGTCCAGATCCTCCAGCTCCAGCTGTGCAGGCTGCTGTCGTCGTCGTCGTGTTGCTGCTGTTGCCGCTGCTGTTGATGCCGCCGCTGTGACCGCTGGCAGAACCATTCCTGTACAGGCGATCTCGGTTGCGCGATCTCTCGGAGGATCCCCCTGCCGCCGATGCGGACACTGACGCGGAGGTGGAGCTGCTCACGGACGAGGGACTGGAGTTTGAGTTGGAGTTGGCCAAGGAGGCGGAGTTGCTCGCCTGGTATTGACTGACTAAGCGGTTGCTGGTGCGGTCGTAGTAGTTCCTTTCGAAGCTGTTTGTCGGTGGTTCCTCTGTAGACCTAAAATGGGATGAAACAAATGTAGAGATCTTAGTGATGAAAGTGTTTAATTTCGTTATCTTATTAACTACGTATATTTTAGTTTAACTAAGCAAAAATAGATTATCTTAATAGGTATATTTATCTATTATTTAATGCGTAATTGATCATTTATATATGTAAGACGTACATTTTACATATGTTTTTTAATTGTGTGCAAGTAATGCGAATCTTAAAATATGTTGAATTTTGTCACATGGTGTTTTGTTCTGTAATTATTATTGTTTTTCCTAATTATCCTCTTCAAATAGGACAATTTTAAAATGTTAACAAACATCTAAATATATAAGTATGTATGATAATACATGTATTTCGTTTAGGGTTGCCATGGTCGGCTATCACAGTTATACGAGCATTTTTGTTTTGCTTTTACGAGTGATATTCTAATGACCGATATTCATGATCTTTGGATGAATATTAACCCAGAATTTTAACCCACCTCCGCATAATATTATTTCTCGGTTTTCACTGGGAAAATCGTTGTCGTTGTTAACTTTAGAAGGTAATCGCGGATTATTTTCACAGCCCCAGAAACGGGCGCCCCACCATTTGGGCCTATCATCGGGGAATAGTTCAACCGAATTTATGGCTTTTTGCACTTATTCGCTTCCGATTTATTTGCACTGTGGTGGATCAGCACTTGAAGAAAAATTTCACTCGGCCAAATAAATAAACGGGCGCCAAATAATTTAATCTGACGTGCGACCCGACTTCTTCTTCTTGCTCTTATTCGTCTGCGTCTGTTTACGCGGCAACACACACACGCACAAACAAATAACACGCACACTGCCACGAAGGGGCACAAATACAGACTCAGAAAAAGCCGGGACCGGAGCCACGTTCTTTTGATTTTGTTGCTTAATTTGAAGCCCAAACCGGTTTTTTCGTTGAAATGGTATTATTCCTTCACTTTTGCACGGCTTAGGTTTACGTTCTTTGTCGTCGCAATTCGCTCTTTATTTAATAATTCGCTCGTCTGCTTCTGCTCGTTTCGGTCGCTGGCCACCGATTTCGTTTTGTGCCGATATTCGCGTGCAGAGCTGCCAGACTGTCTGGTACTCACGAACCGTGAGGAGGGCACGTAACGTAAGCAGCCGGTACGTAACGGAGCGCCTTAACGTAACATCGTGTAGAAGTCGTGTCGATTTCAATATTTCTGGGTCGGTCCTTAGAGTTTGAGTTTAATTAATATATTATAATTAGAAATTTTCCTTAGTTCTTTTTACGCTTAGTAGGGATTTTATATATTTTTTTTGTATTTAACTTACCACTTATATTTATTGCTTTAAAAAAAAAACAAACGCAAACAAACAAACGCCCTTGACATACCAAATTGTTAATAAAAATATCCACAAAATTCTAAACAAAAATTGTATTGTTAATTCACTAAAACGCATTTAAGTCGATGACATACCATATAGCTACAAAAAAAATATCCACAGTTTAGTAGTTTATTCTACACATTTTCAGTCCGAACGTTTGGTGAAAACTACGATTATAATTTCACTTATGGGCCAAAGAAACTTTTTTCTACTAGTGCGAAGGAGACGGAAAACCCAGGTAGAAATGAAGCGTTCCTTCTACCTGAGTATCACGGGTTACAGGCTAAAAACAATGCCATTAAAGACGCAGAAACCAACCCCTAGATAAATTGAGGCTCAAAAGGCACAACTCACTCCACAGATCGACTTTTGAATGGAAAGAGGGTTGATTCAGTTCAGCATTTGTCTTCTTTTCCTGAGGAGAACAGTAAAAACAGGCGCGACCTTTGCTAAACGTATTTGTTTTACTTATGCGACCATTGTTGAGGCGGACTTCTCGTATTCAAGAAATTGTGATGCCAAGAGTTTCTACAAATTATGCTAAATTCCCCAATAAAAAGCACAGAACAACCAATCAATTTGAGCATAATTTCTATTTGATATATATTTTCAAAAATAGGTTTACAATATTTAACAAATCACAGCAAAGAGTCCAATGGACACATTTGTACGCCGCAGTGAGCAATTCTGTGAATAGCGACTTATAAGTGGGTTTCTCCCAGATCGATTTACAATTGAGGCCTACCCACCGGGAAAGTAAGAAGGTGGTTCTTTGTGTGCTGAAAATCCTGTTCCTTTTAGCAGAAAGTGTTGGAAATCCTGTTTCTTTCAGCAGGCGACGGTGTAGGGAAAATGTAAATTCCCAAGGAAAACCACATAGAAACCTCATTCCCCCCTTACTTTTTGTGTCACCCCCGTGTATTTTGAAACCAGAGACGGAAGAAATGTAAGGGGTGAATGAGGTTTTGTCCCTTCCGCTTGTATGGAGAAACCTCTTGAAAATATGTTATTTTCCAGAGGAATGTTCCCGCTGGGTACGAACGCGTTCAATGGCACAGATAATACTTGTACAACCTCAGGGGCACAAATAAATGTAAATATGAGATCGCCTACCGGATCGTATGTGGTCAACGGCGTCTCTGTGCTAATCTATTCTGTAGATAAGAAGTGTCGCAAACTCTGCCCCTTTTTTCGCAAATAGGTTTTTGGGACTAATCATCCGAAAATTAGGGACCTTTTTAGGAAATCAAAAAACGCTTTGGAAGAAACGCATTTTTAGCCAACACTTATTAGATCGTTACTTTCAGCGGAAAATAATCAGTATTTTGCTCGAAACAATGGAAGTAATAGTCCAAATATGAAATGGCATACCTCGATAAGCTCGTAATAAAATTCCGAATCCGATTGGCATTCAAACATGAACATTTTATTTTTTGTCATTTTTGTCAAAAAATCATGATGTAAAAATGGGTCAAAATATTAAATTTGTTTAATCATTGAGAAAGTGATAGTATTTAATATATTGGGTTATTAGCTGCACAAAACACTGCGTCTTTTAGATTTCAGATCGTTTTCGGCAAGTTCAAGCAAAAGAACACTTAAGAAAAAATTTCTAATTAGCAAAAATGTGGAAGCTGTAGTATAGAGGAGGTTTCTATATTCTTCCGATTTTTCAGTCTGCATTATTAATGAGTTTCCAGAAAGAAATTGTAATCTGTTTTTCGGGTAAAATCATCTAGTTAGATAGACCGTTGCTTGATTTCTAAATAGTCTTAAATGTTTTTTGGGGCCAACCATTTAAAAGTAGAATTTACTGCAACCTCGGGCAATAGTTCAATTCTAATAATGAACAATTTTAACAACATACGTATTTAATAATGTTAAAAAAACAGCCAAGTCACTACTTAACCGTTCCTTCTTGCTTTAAAATAATAATGTTATGGTTACACGTTTCTAATCAAAAAGTCGTAATTAAATTTTGTTCAAACAAAACCTCAATGTTATCTCAGACTTTGAGAAGCAGCAGAGGAACACTGTAATCAGCAATCGTAAATTTCACAAGCCAACTCACATTTTCAGCCCCCATATAATGCCCAAGCTGATGAATTGAAGCCATCCTAGTTTAGCCTGATCCCAGGCCCTCTGAAGCTGGCACAACGAAGATTTTTTAAAGCCGCATTAAGAGCTTTAAGCAGCGGCACTTAAAATATGGTCATATAGAACAGCCAGTAAGCAGAAGCAGTTTGCCATATATGTGTGCCTATTATATACATGTACCATCAATGTGGAGGGAGGTGGAAGTGGGAGGTGTATGCTGCAATTTCCAGCTCTCTGCTCAGGTCACAGCTTTTGGCTGGCAGCGGCAGAGGCAGAGGATTCGACTGCAGCACCAGCAGCAGCAGCAGAGGACGTGCCAGACCAAGTGGCTATGGTGCATGTGGCGTGGGGCATGACTCAGGCGGGTGGCACATAAATGCGGTACAGTCCTCACTCGATTGGTGAAAAATATAATTTTAAAAACAATTTTTTCTGTCATTTATTAAAAATAGCTAAGATAATTATAAAAAACCACTTCGAATGAATTTAAACCAGATTTTATATATTTTTATTAGGCCTATTTACTAGGCTCTCTTTAATTTGTTTAAAATGTTTAGAAAAAATGTATTTAGTGTACATGGGAGAACGTAAACACAGTAGCCACTGTATGTAAAAACACATCTTGGCCTGTGAATGCAATTCAAAGGAGAACGGGACTGAGAAGGGGCAGAATTGCCCGGCATGCGCAGTTGAGGCCATAGGAAAAATCAATTCAGCTAAAAGTGCGCCCGGTTCAGGAAATTGCAGGGCCACGCCAACCAAAGCTACGACAACGACAGACCCCACCAGCAATAACAGAATTACTGAGCAACATTTGTTGCGCCCAGGAGGGATGTGGAGGGGGTTTGGGGGCTCGGAGATCAGGGGGAGGGAAACTTGTGGCTAGTCCAAGTAACGCTGCCGCCCAAAACCACCCATCGAACAACCACAGCCGCAAAGGTGGGTGGACATTTTTGGGCGTCTGTAAATTGCATTACTGCCATGTTTCCAGCGCAGCTGTATGTGTTGAGCCGCTTATGTAATACATGGCAAAGAAGAAGTCGTCGCAGTAAATGGCTGAATCGCTGGTGCAGTGAAACAAAAATATTGGTATAAACCAAATTAATTATTTTGATACTTTTAACTCAAGATCAATGGTATGATATTTTAAATTTACAATTAATGCATCTTTTTATTAATGTCATGTATAGTATTTTTTATTATTAATTTTTTTTTTTAAATATAAGTCATTTTGAAAATTTTTTAACATTTATGTTGATCTTCACTATATACACAAAATTTTAAGTTCAATCTTATTTTTGAATATCCTACTATGGAGACCTATTTGTACAGGTGCATTGTATCATCGGTTGGCTGGACTCCCTCCCCGCAAGTCGCCCTGTCATTGTCCTGGCAAAAGTTTCTCACTGAACGTCCTTGTTTGAGGTTATTTATGTGTATATTTGGCTGGGTCTTGTACACATATCAAAGAGGCAGCGGAAGGGAAGGCTAAAAGGAAGCCACGTATATAGCCAGCTGGATATTCCCGCATTCGAAACGTGT